CATCAGTACGGTAAATAAGCAAAGAACGTTTTGTTTTACTTTTATACATTAATAAGATTTTTTTTTATTTTAAGCCGCTCTAATAGGGTTAGATCAATTCCGGATAGGTACCAATCCGTTGACTTTAGGCGAACCATGCCTTCGCGAAATAGGAGTGCTCCAAGACCACTTTCAACTACAACAACATCATCGGGGTCAACTGAGGCCTCATCCACGACCACCGAGTCAACTCAAAGATCATCTTCTGCACCTTATCTGGTTTTTGCTTGGGGATTTGGAGAAGTGGATGTTAATGCTTTGCGCCGTCAGTTGTCGCGTTATGGATCCGTGCAATATATACGTCTTTATCATAATAGTCGTCGCAATAATAATAAAGCCGAAATGTTTTTCAAAACGAAGAGAGGTGCCCTGTCAGCACTTCGTGCCATTCGCCTTGGAAAATTGTTCCACGACTTTGGAATTTCCTATGCTGTCATGGGAGATAGAAATCCTAGAGCTGCGCGAATGCACGCTGAAAATGACCCATAGATGTTTTTTTGTGTTTAATTTAATCCTCAAATTTGTTCAATAACTATGTGATTTTTTGCTATATATTTATTAATGAATTATGTTTATAATCCTATAAAATTATTTCTCGAAAAAAATTTTAATTTAACTTTCCGAGTGCATTATATAGTCTTTTTAAAGACTGAACAAAATAATAAATTGTGCACTCGAAAGGTTAAATTGATGTGTTAATTTAGTTCGATTAAGTTTAAATGTTTATATGTAGAAAATTGAATACTTATATTTATTATTTATTTCTCGATGTTTCATGAATTATAAATAAAAGTTTCTTGTTTTCAATAAAGTTATTCGTTTGGAAAAATGACTTTTAGTTTATGAGATAAAAATTTTTGAAATTGAACTCATCCCAGAAAAGAATGTTGAGTAAGGTAAGTTTTCTTTTGTAATGATATAAATGAGTTATTAAAATCTCATGATATCCTTGCTAGAGAAGATTTAAAAGCTTTAAAGAAAATGAAAATCTTCTAATACTTTGGTATCGATAGTTCAAGGTTGGGGTTTTCTTAGAGACTAATGCCTAGGCAAAGATATGGCGAAAAGAGCAACTTAGACATGTTTGTTATCCATAAACATTGAAAGGTGTATCCATAAACATGTTCACAGACAGTCAAGTCGCCCTAAAAACAATTCAGGCCTACATGTGTGACTTCACACTGATCAGACAGTGTACCAGCAACCTAAGAAAACTTGGGATCTCGCTATGGGCAATGATGTTACTCTATGGTGGGTTCCAGGTCATAGAGACATTGAGGGCAATGAAAAGGCAGACTCTAGTCTAGATACTTGAGGCGGCTGACGTCTTCGAAGTCGGCCGAGATTATTTCTTCCATGAACTTCAAGCATGGTAGACTTGGGTCCCAAGTTATGTTCGTGATATAAGAAATTATCTCGGCCGACTTCAAAGACGTCGGCCGCCCCAAGTATCTGGACTAGTCTAGTTTGCTTGAAGTTTATAGAAGAAATAATCTCGGCCGACTTTGAAGACGTCGGCCGCCTAAGTATTGTTCATAGTACTTGGCACGGCCGACGTCTTCGACGTCGGCCGAGATTATTTCTTCCATAAAGTTGTTAATCTTATTACTTGGAATTCGGAGCATACTACGAAGAAGCTTTTAAAACAAAATTTGTAGCAAATTTAATACTTAACAACATTGCTCTCTTACACTTTTGCTCTCAGAAGCGTAAATATCGAGAAAAATACCAAAATATAAAAATCAGATGAATTCCTAGTTTTATATGTTATTAATGGTGACATTCGGGATTCGAAGCATGTTACAAAAAAACTTTTAGAACAAAATTTGTAGCAAATTTAATTCTTAACAATATTGCCCTCTTACATTTTTGCTCTCAGATGCGTAAATATCGAAGAAAATACCAAATTATGAAAATCAGATGAATTCCTAGTTTTATATGTTATTAATGGTGACATTCGGGATTCGAAGCATGTTACAAAGATACTTTTAGAACGAAATTTGTAGCAAGTTTAATTCTTAACAACATTGCTCTCTTACACTTTTGCTCTCAGATGCGTAAATATCGAAAAAAATACCAAATTATGAAAATCAGATAAATGCTTAGTTTTATATGTTATTAATGGTGACATTCGGGATTCGAAGCATGTTACAAAAAAACTGTTAGAACAAAATTTGTAGCAAATTTAATTCTTAACAATATTGCCCTCTTACATTTTTGCTCTCAGATGCGTAAATATCGAAGAAAATACCAAATTATGAAAATCAGATGAATTCCTAGTTTTATATGTTATTAATAGTGATATTCGGGATTCGAAGCATGTTACAAAAAAACTTTTAGAACAAAATTTGTAGCAAATTTCATTCTTAACAACATTGCTCTCTTACACTTTTGCTCTCAGATGCGTAAATATCGAGAAAAATACCAAAATATGAAAATCAGATGAATGCCTAGTTTTATATGTTATTAATGGTGACATTCGGGATTCGAAGCATGTCACAAAAAAACTTTTAGAACAAAATTTGTAGCGAATTTCATTCTTAACAACATTGCTCTGTTACACTTTTGCTCTCAGATGCGTAAATATCGAGAAAAATATCAAAATATGAAAATCAGATTAATTCCTAGTTTTATATGTTATTAATGGTAACATTCGGGATTCGAAGCATGTTACAAAAAAACTTTCAGAACGAAATTTGTAGCAAATTTAATTCTTAACAACATTGCTCTCTTACACTTTTGCTCTCAGATGCGTAAATATCGAAAAAAATACCAAATTATGAAAATCAGATGAATTCCTAGTTTTATATGTTATTAATGGTGACATTCGGGATTCGAAGCATGTCACAAAAAAACTTTTAGGACAAAATTTATAGCAAATTTAATTCTTAACAACATTGCTCTCTTACACTTTTGCTCTCAGATACGTAAATATCGAGAAAAATACCAAAATATGAAAATCAGATGAATTCCTAGTTTTATATGTTATTAATGGTGACATTCGGGATTCGAAGCATGTTACAAAAAAACTTTTAGAACAAAATTTGTAGCAAATTTAATTCTTAACAATATTGCCCTCTTACATTTTTGCTCTCAGATGCGTAAATATCGAGAAAAAAAACAAAATATGAAAATCAGATGAATGCCTAGTTTTATGTTATTAATGGTGACGTTCGGGATTCGAAGCATGTTACAAAAAAACTTTTAGAACAAAATTTGTAGCAAATTTCATTCTTAACAACATTGCACTCTTACACTTTTGCTCTCAGATGCGTAAATATCGAAAAAAATACCAAAATATGAAAATCAGATGAATTCCTAGTTTTATATGTTATTAATGGTGACATTCGGGATTCGAAGCATGTTACAAAAGAACTTTTAGAACAAAATTTGTAGCAAATTTAATTGTTAACAACATTGCTCTCTTACACTTTTGCTCTCAGATGCGTGAATATCGAGAAAAATACCAAATTATGAAAATCAGGAATTCCTAGTTTTATATGTTATTAATGGTGACATTCGGGATTCGAAGCATGTTACAAAAAAACGGTTAGAACAAAATTTGTAGCAAATTTCATTCTTAACAACATTGCTCTCTTACACTTTTGCTCTCAGATGCGTGAATATCGAGAAAAATACCAAAATATGAAAATCAGATGAATGCCTAGTTTTATATGTTATTAATGGACATTCGGGATTCGAAGCATGTTACAAAAAAACGGTTAGAACAAAATTTGTAGCAAATTTCATTCTTAACAACATTGCTCTCTTACACTTTTGCTCTCAGATGCGTGAATATCGAGAAAAATACCAAAATATGAAAATCAGATGAATGCCTAGTTTTATATGTTATTAATGGACATTCGGGATTCGAAGCATGTTACAAAAAAACTTTTAGAATAAAATTTGTAGCAAATTTCATTCTTAACGAAAATATGAAAATTATTTATATTAATTATTTTTTTTAATAATTTCGAATTTGACGTAACTCGGGGATTCACATGAATCCAATGAATTTATAATACATTTATTAATACTTATAATCCTATTAATATGACTAAACTGTATGATGTGATAAGATGACTCATCATATATGAATATAAAATCGTTAAGAATAGTAAAATTTGTATTCTAAACCCCCTTCGGTTGGTACTGTTGTACAAACAAAAAGCGAGCCTCCTCATAAAAAACATACGGTGTTTATTCATTCGAGTTTACTTTGTTGAAACGATCGGGAATCATTCATCGCGTAACTGATCGCGACCTTCGCCACACGACGTCACATATTTTCGAAACCGAAGCGTTTTTTTACACTCGACGAATTTAGTGACGACGTAAATTCCTCCTCTCCCCGCGCCACCAAAAAGTTGCCCCCTTTTCGGTGTCAGTCAGCGACGAGCCGATTCGAAACCTAAAGGGAGCCATGGATACGTCGCCGTTGGGCATTGATTTCGATGTGACCGCTAAGACCTGCAGGATGGACGCCTGTTTCTCTGCGTTCGACAAAAATGGGTAAGACACAATTTTTAAGAAATTAAATTCGGCCGAGTTTTGTAGTAGGGGATTTACTCAATTTTTGTGGGAGTGACGCGGTTAGGATAGCCAACAGTAAAATGTTAAAACACGGTTACGTTATGTTATTAATAACTATTAAAGTATTACTGAATGTAATTGTAGCAAACGTTATCATTTCCGTTTAATGTTTACTGATAACACTTTTTTTTGCGAAGTTTTTAATCACACAAAGTATACAATACATAGAGAGAGATAACACGCTTTAGTTTAACGGTTCGCACGGTTCTCGTTAGTTATTTTTGTTTGGTTAGTTCTCGTATTTCGGTTTTTTCAAAAATTGGAAATATAAACAGTGTTGTGGGAGTAAATATAATAACGGTTATGAATGATTTCTAGCGTGTTAGATATTTATAGATTCTTAGGAAGTGGTGGGTTTTAAATGCGTGTTATAGGTCTATTATAGTATCTTTCTTGAGTTTGGAAAGGAGTTTTTATTTGAGATAACACCCTAGTGAAACTAATATATATCTAATTACGGGTCGAGTTCAAATTTAGGAGTATAATTTTGGTTACTGGAAATTGTTGTGAAATTGGTAGGGGATTACACAAAGGTGTTTTTGTTGACAGTTCAATTCTGTTTAATCAAGTAACATGACCTTGGTATTGAAACGAAATAGCCTTAATTACTGATGAACCTATATTTGAAAATAAGCGTGTGCCATATAATTATTACCGAAATGTAATTTGAAATGAACGTGAAAATGGTTGGGGAATACGAATACCAAGAGATGTTTTTGTTGAAAGTTCAATTCTGTTTATCCAGTAATATGACCTTGATATTGAAATGAAGGTCAATCGAGTACGATGGGATTTGGAATAATCCGGAGAAGGTCGCATCAAAGCCGTCGGAATATATCAGTGATAATTTAAATCGCTTCCCCGTATTTTCGCTTCCAATTAGGGAATTCGCGGAAACGGTTTCAAAACACGCCGCCGGGAGCCGAGTGCTCGACGGGTTTCCCCTCATCGATTTATTTGTCGCATTGGCACCACGAACCAGAGGGAATACCTGTCCATTTAAATTCAAATGGAATTTTTTAATAATGCACCGACACCACCACCGCGTAATGGCTTCATATTGAATTTTATTCCGCTCGCTCGACTCTCGGTAATGTATTTTGCCACGGGGGTCGTTTGAGTGTGTTAAATTGAAATTCAAAATGTCAAACCGAACGACGCTTTTGACCTTCATCGAAGGTCGCGCCCCTCTCGTTAATCGGAACGTGTTTTACACAAGTTTCCCAGCGCTAAAATATTACCATCGCGTGCCCTATCGAGCATGCTTCTGGTGCACGTCAAATAATTTGATTAAATCCGGGTTTGATCGATGAGGTTGCTCCGGCAACATTCACGTACCTAAATTGGGCTAATGCAAAGTTTTTCAGTGACGGCAAGTTGGACCTGGACGAGTTTCGATTAATTTGCAAGGCCCTCTTCAGGAACGACAAAGGAAAAATTTACTCTTTAGAAGAAAACAAATTAAAAGAAATTTTCGACATTTTCGATCAAGATGCTGATGGTTTCATTGACAGGGAGGAATTTATCTTCTGTTGGAATCATTGGATTAAAGTCATAGTCCGGCCGATTTCCGCTTTTCTTATCGTAGACGTCCAAAATGACTTTATCACTGGAACATTAAACATAAGTAATTGCTCAGCCCAACAGAACGGTTTTGAAGTCGTCGAACCGATCAATAGACTTTTAGAAACCGTTGAATTCGACGCCGTTTTTTACTCATTAGATTGGCATCCAAGCGATCACGTTTCTTTTATCGACAACATCAATCAAAGGGAAATTGATCCCTCAAGTCCCGTTGCAGCTGAAAACGCTCAATGTTACGATACAGTTACGTTTGCAGGCCCCCCACCGATGAAACAACGTTTGTGGCCTCGACATTGCGTACAAGATACCTGGGGATCCGAGCTCCATAAGGACTTAAAGGTAAATTCCCCACCGAAGGTCGATCGATAACAATTAATCCTCTGAATAATTAAACAGTCGGAACACGTTATTTCTGCAATTCCGTTTAGTAATGATTTAAAATTTTATTTTATGCTTTCCTCGAAAAACTTAAAATAAAAATAAACGTGCACTTTCAAAGTAAAAAGCTCACACGTGACGCCTCCTGGGGGTTGCTGCTCTCAGCGGTTTTATTGGTGCGAATCTGGCTTCCCGGAAATTTAATATCACTACCCTGACTTTTAGCGGCTGCAGACGCATTGTACCGTTAAAGGTCACGAATAAAAGAAATTAATAAACGCAACGGCAGTCTTATAACCGTGTCTGGCGTTTTCAGGTCGTCGAGAATGCCATTAAAGTGTACAAGGGTACCAACCCGGAGGTGGATTCCTATTCAGTATTCTGGGATAATAAAAAACTCACCGATACCACTCTAAGCGCCCAACTTCGCCAGAAAAACGCCACCGATATTTACATCTGCGGCTTAGCTTACGACGTTTGCGTCGGTGCCACCGCAGTTGATGCTTTGGCAATCGGGTACAGGACGATTTTATTGGACGATTGCAGCCGAGGCGTTGATTTATTGGATATCGAAAAAACCAAAAACACTGTTATTAAAAACGATGGAGTCATCGTTAATTCAAACCAAGTCAAAGCTATGGTGGAGGGAAGAGATCGACGACCAGAACTTGGTTATAAATTAGCTATCGAGCTAAAAGCTCATCGAAATTAGATAAAACAATTTTTCGCGAGCTAAATGTTGTACTTAAAAATAGCTTCTTAATTAAATCTTGCATTGTTACTGAATACATAAATCAATTATAATAATAATAAAAATAGTTTTGCAGTAAAATATAAAAACATCTTTTTATTTAATCTGAGTTTAATGGAAAAGTTTTGATTCAATATCCACGATGTTTATGTTTGAATTAGAGTTTAATGGAATCGTCGGATTATTTACATAGTTAAATCTAACTAATTTGAGTCAATATTATTACTTTTTGGTGGATGCGCCGGATTATTAATTAATTATAATAATGGGTTAATTGAGTAAAAGCATGTTTGGTTGTATCAAGTTGCTCGATGTTTTACGGGTTTTGCTTCTGGGATCGATTAAGGATTGCCGCGTTTTGATTAGGTCGGAGGTTCTGTAGATGTGACGTCAACGGTAGGAGTGACGTTTGCGCTGACGTAGCAGGTATATGGGCAGTTCTTGGAATAAGAGACCTACTTGGCGGAAGACCAGAACTGTTTGGGCCACGATTTTGGATTCAGCTGAGTGTTTCCATCGGGAGGTGGCCCCGAATTCCCGTGCGCAGTCACCAGACGGTTAGGATCTGCGCGTGGACGCCGGACTTACAGATCAATACAGCGTCGTCACTTGCAACGGACAGTCGAGTATGAGCGTCGGACCCGTAGTAAGTTTCCGGCGACCGTCGTGTTTGGACGTGCACGCCTCTGGGCGTGAAACATCGCAACAAACTTAGTTTTGATAGCGACTATCCGGAAACGGGTGGACCGCCAGGAAATGATCGTCCCTGCGCTTGTACTTATTACTATTTTACTTCAAGCGGTCACGTAAGTTAAAAAAAAAAGTTTTCAAATAAAACTTCTAACCTCCACTGTAACTTAGATGTTCCAGTATCAAGATCAACTTCAGGGAAAAGGAAAAGGAGGTGCTTGATCAGATCTTAGGTCCAGGACGATACGACGCCAGAATCCGACCGTCGGGAGTAAACGGAACAGGTAAGAACATCGACCTCATACCTATATCTCTTAGAGAGTACTACATCAACAAACAACTTCCCCAAGTCACAAAGTCACTCAAACCGAAAACTGAGTTTCCCGTTTGGTGTGTGCGAAAAACTGCAAATGTAACTTGTTGTCCATCGCTTTAGATGGACCTGCCATTGTACGAGTAAACCTGTTTGTTCGCAGTATTGCAACTATCAGTGACATCAAGATGGTAAGTCGTGGGCCGGTGACACTCTGTGCTGTAGCTTAGTGTAGAAGTGCTACACGAGACCAGAGAACGCATGTTTTATTGGCGGCGAGCGGCTACTGATTCAAAAATAGGTTCTTTTAGGCTAAAAAAAAAACAGATTTTGACGAAACCATTTTGCCGCTCGTTTTAGATTCCCTAATTTTACCAAAAAAAAAGTCGAAATTAAATAAATTTTAGACAAAAATAAAAAAATATTAATCAAGTCAACTAATAATTATATTATTTGTTATTTAAGTTCATTTAGTTAGAGTTTTTGCCGCTCGCCACCTACTATTTGGGCCTTCGTTGAGCTTTTGATAGTAGGTTTTGATAGAGTTATGCTAAGAATGTACGTACTTTTGAGGTAGTGCAGCTCGCCGCCATTTTTTTGAAATTCCGGTGCCATTCTCTTGTCCGTCCAAAGACTAACAAAACCGTTTAACGTCAGGACCAACAAACAAGCAACCAGACATCAACGCCCAACCAGTCTTTCGGTAGCCTTAATAGTCACTGACCACAATTTTCTTTCTAATCGATATAGATGGACCCGCTATAGTGAATGTCAACATTTTTGTGAGAAGTATCTCAAAAATTGATGACGTCACCATGGTAAGTTGACCACTTGGCCAAGAAAAAAAGGGAATGTCGATATATAGTAGTGCTCTAGTAGACTATTTATTATTATTATTATTATTAAAAAATCCTCTTTCCACGTTCTTTCCCAACAGAGTAGTTGCTTGTCATCATAAACATCCGTTGGACTCCGGTGACCGACCAAATTTAAACGAGACTACTTCTCATTAAATTTTTCGGTCGTTAGCAGTAGGGTGCCAGCAACAACGTATTATCTTATTTTCATTTTCTATGTTTAGAAAGATTAAATATAAATTTCATGCGTTTAAGTTTAATATACAATGAGAGAGTAGTTATTGCTGGTTGAGATAGAAAATCATATGCAATCACCTAATGAAATAATTGGGGGTACGTCGTGTGTTGGGGTGAGGTGGCGAAAGTTCGTAAATTTTGTAGGGGTTGACAGCCAATGCTCGATGTGATTGACTCTGGGCCCCAAAATGAAGTAAAGAACCAGATAATTGACGTTTGTTTTTCTTCGCACTGGTACAGGGGGACCCACTGTAGTGGCGATCAACATCTTTCTACGCTCTATCAGCAAAATAGATGATTATAAGATGGTGAGTTGGTCTGCCAGTCATGTCAAGTATTGGATGGATGTACAAGTCGAAGAAAGGCGGTGTACTGTTGCGCTACAGCAAATCCTCTTCCCTCCAATAACCACTAACACGCGGTGTACTGTCTTTTAAACTTCCCGTATCAAAACCTCTTTGCATGCACACTTCCGTTTCGTCTCTATCAAGCTGAGCTTCGTCTTCACTACGCAAAAATTGGGGAAAAAATTCTGTATATAACAGTTTTTATCTACTTTATACGCTGTATATATCAGGTCCACAACGGAAAAGACCAAAAACTGTGTTGCGGTGTTGGTATTTGTTGCTAGTGTGGTTCGTTGGTCAGTATAGTAGCCGTATTTAAGCTTGCATGCGCTTGCATGAACTCACCTTAACTAATCTCGTGATTTCATAAACTCGCTACTATTTCAGGAATACAGCGTTCAACTCACCTTCAGGGAACAATGGCTCGACGAAAGGCTCAAATTCAACGATTTTGGAGGAAAACTCAAGTATCTCACCTTAACAGAATCCAACAGAGTTTGGATGCCCGATCTCTTCTTTGCCAATGAAAAAGAAGGACACACGCACAATATCATCATGCCGAACGTCTACATAAGAATTTTTCCATATGGATCTGTTTTATACAGTATAAGGTATTTTTAATATTAAGTACACAAACATCTTCAAAATGCTTGTGTACAAATTTATGAACATACTTTTATATAATATATTTTTAGAATATCCTTAACGCTTTCATGTCCAATGAATCTCAAATTATATCCTTTGGATCGACAAACGTGTTCTTTAAGAATGGCTAGTTGTAAGTGTATATATAGAATTGTAATAGTAGTTTTATTAATGTTTGTGAATTTAGATGGTTGGACAACGAATGACTTGGTGTTTCTTTGGAAAGAAGGGGATCCTGTGCAAGTTGTTAAGAATTTACACCTACCACGATTCACATTGGAAAAATTTTTGACTGATTACTGCAACAGTAAAACGAATACAGGTAAAGTGGTGTAAAGGTGTGTAAGTGTGATGTTATTTTTGTTTTATTTGTTTTGTAGGAGAATACAGTTGTCTTAAAGTAGATCTTCTCTTCAAACGTGAATTCTCATATTACCTTATCCAAATTTACATCCCTTGTTGCATGTTGGTAATCGTTTCTTGGGTATCCTTCTGGTTGGATCAAGGGGCTGTACCAGCTCGAGTATCACTAGGAGTGACAACTCTTCTAACGATGGCCACACAAACGTCAGGCATAAACGCGTCATTACCTCCGGTATCCTACACGAAAGCAATTGACGTTTGGACCGGTGTATGTTTAACATTTGTTTTTGGAGCATTATTAGAATTCGCTTTGGTCAACTACGCATCTAGATCGGACATGCATCGTGAGAATATGAAGAAGCAAAGGAGGCAGTGCGAATTGGAACACGCTGCGTCGATGGACGCAACATCAGACCTGATAGACACTGACAGCAACGCCGCATTTGCAATGGTAAGGCTCTTTTCGCTCTGCACGGGATCGGACAGGCGCATTACGCATTGTGTGTCCTTTCAGAAGCCTTTGGTACGACATCCTGGCGATCCGATGAGCCTAGAGAAGGTCAGGCAGTGTGAGATTCACATGCAACAGGCGAGGCCAAATTGTTGTAAGTCGTGGTTGTCAAAATTCCCAACGAGATCCAAACGGATCGACGTGATCTCGCGGATAACGTTCCCATTGGTGTTTGCCGTTTTTAACGTGATTTACTGGTCGACGTATTTATTCCGGGAAGATAGCGAAGAGTCGTAAAAAACTTTTGCGTGCCGCGCACTCACTGAACTTCTTGCTCAGAGGATATTTTTGAAAAAAATTAACAAAACTAAAAATAACTTAAATAAAGACGGACGCATAACTCAGTAGACATCATACTCTTACTATATAAATAAGTCGTATAATACGCAAACGCTTATACAGGGAGGTATAATTTACAACAACAACATCAACAACAACAGCCGGATGAAAAAAAGATATTGCCCCCGACAAATATCAGATATCATAAGGGAACTCGTAGATTTCACACGTCTGTTAGCGTATAACCATACAGACACTAATGCACCACAAAAATCTAACTATGTACCCAATCTTCCAGTTGCGGAAAGCGGCGATTATCGTCGGCCGACTTCAACCTGTAGCTGTTTTTAAGTGTCTTGTGTTGAGCGCATGTTTTAACAACTATGTACACAAAACTCACTCATTTATTATTGGAGATAAACCCCCTCCCCGACCGATAAACGTTAAAAAAAATCATGCACAGTATTAAGTGGTGCCAATTGCGAGAAACAGAACAATCACGTATTTTCGACTGGTTGAGCTAGAAATCGCTATATCATAGGCATTCAACCACAAGGAAATAATCACACTGCCAAAGGAACTGAGAAGATTAAGAAGACGGACAAGTTTTATTTTTGAGTTTTAAGCGGTTTTATGGAATTTGTGATCTCCAATACTAAAAGAGGACGTCAGTGCAGACTGTTTTTGAACGTTTGTCGTTTTTTCGTTACGTTGCTCTGTTGAATTTTATCTGTGTGATCCTTAACGGTGAACCGCACAATCAACAAGGTTGATAATATTAGAGTTTTAATACGACATAAATTACTTTCCATCGTACAAGTAGGAAATTGTGATATGTTTTTTAGGGTATTTATTGCGATATTACCGATACCTATTATATAATTGAAATATGTAAAATGATATAAAATGAAATAAAAAAAACTCGGATAACTGTACAATAGGACATATTATATTGTAATATTAAGGATATATAAGTTTATAACTTATATTGTTTAGCATATAGGTTTAAAATACTATCTTAATATTAAATAAATTGTTTTAATTTTAACAAGTCCCTTTACCTACAAATTCAAAACACAACAAACCCGTTTAGTTCCTTAAATAAACCTTGTTTATTCATGTACTAAGAAAAATGTTTATATTTATCGCACCTTAAATCGTGCCAAATAACATTACACATTCGGCAGTTGACGAAACAATCCCAATGAGAAAATACCTTAGAAATAACTCGAAATAACTCTTTCACGTTAATACATATATATATCAAAGGATGTACACGTGTAGAATTCGCAAACAAAATTAATTGCAAGATTTCTAATTTTATTTACAGAACCGTTACGATAACAGATGGCGTAAATTAATCCAATTTATTAAAATATTTTAAATTAATCGATAACATCCTTACTTTCACTTAGATTTGCATAATTACGTGTTTGAGAAGTCAATGTCACGACATTTCTAAGAGAATCGATCCAAATATGATCCGATTTAAATGTCATTTGATTACGTAACGCGGTTTTTGGGATCAATACTTTAAATTCAAATTTATGTTAAAACGTTTTCTCCTCTATACGCTATATATTAATACATCAAAATCAATTTAAATCATATTTTGTATTATTTTTTAATAAAAATGTTTTATATTTGTGTTATTTTAAGTTATAGGAAAATAAAAAAATTCAAAAAAAAATATTTTGTTTTAATACCGAATTTTTTGATTAATACAGATTCTTATGTCACCATATAAAAAGATGACACGACTAGTTTTGGGTCCATTTCGTTGAAAGATATCGCTGATTTAACATGCATCTAAAAATATTTTTGGTGTTTCTTCTCCATAAAGTTTCTTCTTCACCTATCGGTAAGTATTGTCTTCATTTTTTTATTGAGTAATCGTTTCAAACAACTCAAAAATAGGCCAACTAACCGGATTAGACGCAATAGATGGCCCATCCCCCATAGAAAACCAAGACGACGACTCAGAATCTTTCATTAACGTCTTACACGTCAATGAAAACGTACCCAATGAAGTAACAATTCCCGATGACATAATAAACGACGTTACAAATGACGATCTCGAAGAAACTAACTGCGGAACAGATAAACCATTCAGAATTGGGATATCCGTTGCAACAACCCCCATGGATGAATTAACTACAACTGAAGAAATTAATTTTTCAACCGAAAGCACCACAAAAGAAGACAAAGTAGATACAACAACCTTAAAAGTTGACGTGGAGGAAAAAACGGTTAATATCGGGTTTAAAAAAACCACCATAACTGAATCCCCTACTTGGAAAACTTCCACAGTAAGAAACATCGAAGTTATCACCGAAAATATTCCAACCACGCAAAAATTAGAGGGAAGATTTGGAAACGATTTAAACACCACTTCAGAAAGAACCCCAAAAAAACTTGCACCGACAGAATCCGAAAATAACCCGCACGGGTATCCACAAGCCATATTCAACGGCGTTTTTGCAATCGGCAGATCAGATTTTGCCCCGGAATCATCAACAACCCCAAAACCGGGTAGTTTCGGATCATCGTTCCTAAATTTAGCAAAAAAATTCGACGCTCGTTACAAATATAAATATTCATGGTCGTTTTCTGGTGTGGAAAAAACAACTCCTAAACCGCCAGAAATTGACGGTCCTTTATTTAATCAAAAATTTTTAGCTAAATTAACATCTTCCAACGAAAACATTAAATTAAACGCTACAAATTTATCCGAAACGGGAATTTTAACAACGAAACCATCCGATTACAAAGGATTAAACCTGTATAAACCAACCATTGGTACCTTTTTATAAAAAAAAAAAACAAAAATAAAATTTTAATTGAGTTTTATTTATCGTTACATAATTTATTTTAAAATCCTGCTCTTAATGCTGCACCTGACCGAATCTTCCAAAGTTTCCCGCAAAACTACGGCTCGAACTGCTGCTGGATGAAAACGATCCGGATGCCCCATTTTTCGAGAATGAACCTGAATTCGCAGATGATTGCGATTTTGAAAATCCAGAACCGCCGCCTAAAGAACCCGCTTTACTTCCTGAATTTGAATTGGAAAATCCGCCAAAACCTTGGCTTTGTGAATTTGCGTTAGATCCGGAAAATCCCCCGTTTTGAAAACGATACGGAGTACCGTAAAATCTTCCGGGGGTGTTTATTGGCGCATAATCTAAAGGAAAATACAATAACGCTAAAAAACGAATTGATAAAATAACTTGTTTTTGAGCTTACTTTGATATAATCCGCAATGTCCACAAGAGAATATTATAAAAAACGTTAATAACACTATGATGTTCCTCATTTTGATCGCTGATCAACCTTCACTGGTGTCATGGTTCAATCGTTAGACTTTTTATAGGTCGATTTTGTTCGTTTCTGACAAAAAATCCCCTCTTTCGGAACGTATTCAACCGGCTAATTTTATTTGCCGTAACCGTTAACACTTTTAAACCATTTCATAAAGGAAAACAGTTTCGTGTTATATTTTCCAAGATTATTATCCTTCCTTTGAATTTAATTATTGTTTAGTGCTTTTGTTCCTTAACCTTTTGTTTCCTCCGAGACCTATCTACGTGACCCTCATATTAAGCAGGAGCAATAATACACATTTTCGAGGGTTAACGAACTGTAGACCCTGTTTTTCCCAACAGACCGTGAAGCATGTGGATAGTCAATTAATTTTGTGACCTTTATAAATCACTTTTTATTTTTGCTCCATTTTCTAGTAATTCTAGATAAAATCAACTATAATTAAAATAAATAAATAAACACAAACACTGTAAAATAAAAAAAATCGTAAAAAATAATTCAAACAGTTTACCTGTGTCTTTAGGCTTGTTCTTATTCTAACTTTTCCATATTTCTATGACGAGAATCCTTTTTATTATCCCTTTTCGTTCTGTATTACATGTATGTTTGTTGTTTAAATATGATCTAAAAGATAAAAATAATAAAATCAAACGAAAGAAATAAAATCGACACGTTTTTCTGTATACACACAGAAATTCCATACATATCTACATTCATCCCCACACAATACAAAAAAATTTCATTCAGACGCGATCTTTTTGATGGCTTATATCTGGACGTGCGGATCCTTTTTGGTATTTAAAGCCACAGCAAAGATGCAAAGGCAGCATATCTTTCTGCAAAATACCAATCTGCTACGCAACCTTGCCATGCACAAAAAATAAGTCGTGCATATGTATACAAGTCGATTGTGGACTTTCAAGTTGACCAAAAGAACAAAATTGAATTCCAACATATATTTAGTTATGGATAATGATTTTGTACGTTGACATTGAATTTCTAAGAGGTTACAGGTGGTGGTTGTTGTAAGCATCTTATTGTAGGTAAGTTTTTGACGACAGAAGATGAAAGCGTTTCTGGAGAGAAAGGATTAATTATAGGATTCCGGGATGTGATAAAGCATTTCGGAGACGCAAGAGATGGTTTGGGTGAAGATTGAGGGTAAATTGGGTCGTTTTGAGGTTGGGGGTGGCGGTAAATATTGACGGTGACGTCTGAATAATAGACGAGTGTTGTGGCCGAGGGTGGAGAGAGGTCGCGCGACTCGCCGTTTGGTAGTTATTGATTGAAGCAACAGCTGTGGGCGGGCGCGCGCAGCGCCGCGACGCTCCGGGGGGCGTAGTTTATATAAAGTAGAGCCGTGAAGCGGCGCCCGTTTGTTGCAGGGGTGCACCGGTCGCGTCCTTTAGTCCAACGCCGCGACGATGACCAGGGTGGCAATGGCGCCGCACCCGCTGCTCCTCGCGACGGTCGCGGTGGCGCTGTGTGCGGCCATCCCTAGGGCAGCCATGGCCATAGACCTCAGCCGTCTTTACGGCCATATAAGCTCCAAAAGGAACGGTAAGCATTAACGAAAGAACTTTAACCTTGAAACAGGGCGTGTCGGCGCGGAGTAAACCTGAAGCAACAGATGTCATACCATTGATTTTCAGGCGATGCCTGCCACCCCTACGAGCCATTCAAGTGTCCCGGGGATGGTAATTGTATTTCCATACAATATCTTTGCGATGGGGCTCCGGATTGTCCGGACGGCTATGACGAAGACTCCAGACTTTGTACAGCTGCCAAACGACCCCCTGTTGAAGAAACGGGTAGTTTTCTCAAATCACTTTTGGCTAGTCATGGACCTAATTATCTTGAAAAATTATTTGGGAGTAAAGCCAGAGATGCTCTTAAACCTCTAGGGGGTGTTGATAAAGTTGCCATTGCATTATCAGGTAATTTATTCGATTTACTTAATAAATGCATCTTCCATGGAAAACTTTGATAATGGACCTGGTGATGCTTACTTTATTAGTAAGCCATCGAGGTCTATTATCTAAATCTGCTTTTTTTAATAAAAATAATTTTGTTATGTAAATTAAAGAATCACAGACGATAGAAGATTTTGGAGCGGCGTTGCATTTAATGCGCTCGGATTTGGAACACCTGCGATCAGTGTTTATGGCAGTGGAAAATGGTGATTTGGGAATGTTAAAATCGTTAGGGATAAAGGACTCGGAACTGGGTGATGTAAAGTTCTTCTTGGAGAAGCTAGTAAACACCGGCTTCCTCGACTGAACCATCTTCGACCCTGCTGCCGTCCTGTTTGCCCATCCGCAACCTCACGCGCCCCTCAGCAAGTCGTTTTATTCGTATCTCCCATACTGAGGATCCCGCTTAACCCCTCGGCAGCAGAGTCTTGCGCAGTCCGTCCCTCTCCCATCAGCGGGCGACGCGTTTCTGTCCCAACGAGCCGCCCGCGCCGCCGCCAAAAAAAAATAAGAAAAAAAAACGAAAGTTAACAAGAAACAGCAACACAACAGAACTTATGAATACATATCAGCACCAAGGTCTATTTGGTCGAACTTAACAGATACATATCAATAATAAGTGTGAACTTTTTTCCTCGACTATCTCGGTGTTTTATAAGAAAAATGGAATTTTTCCTCATCACTTTTTGCCGTGTGAAACGCCAGGTTTATATGTAATTATATACATATACATAAAGTATATCGTGTACTTATGGTAATGTCGATTAGATATTAGTGATATTCGACGATAGTCTTTAAAGTACATTAATTATCCTTACGAAACAAACAAGCAAAAAGACAAAAAAAAGACACGTAATTATAAATACTACATATCATATTGCATAAAGTTAAATTAAAAGGACTCCCGAGACAATTATTGCGGCACTAAAAATCGGACGTTTGGAGCACGCCGCGATTATGCAATCGTTGGTAAAGCATCAATGCTTGCAAAACCGACAGATAATAGGGTAATTCGTCCGCCATGATATCTGTCGGTTCCATCGAGATGAGAGCTTCTTATTCGCCGTTTATTTCCAAATGGAATAGAACGAACTTAGGGCCTACGTTCTTATCCCAACAGCGAATACGTTGCTTTCAAGACTAATACAGAACAAGATTATAGGCGATGTGCCTAACGCGGCGTGCTTTTTGTAAACGTCGAAATCATTGTGATTTTTGTATGTACATATCAATGAATAAAAAAAGCGACGCGCGGGTCCTGTTCTCCGTTTCGATAACGACCTGACATTTACCATTAGCGTCGAACGGGCCCGCGGATCGCGACGGCCCCTCCCCGAACAATACAATGCGATGGTAAAAAATGAAAACCGATGATTTCATCCTTTTATGACACTCAACGTACACAATCAGGCACGGGGATTTCAAAACCGTAAACAATCTAAGTCAATAAGGAAAGAAATACAAGAAATATATATAAATGTATATTTTTTCGATCTTTGTGCCCGAAAACGCGAACTTTGGTTTAGTCACGTACACTATGCCTTCAAAAGAAAAATTTTAAAACAAAGGGCAGTGCAGGTGACACTACGAATATTAAAAAAAATTATATACATAAATATATATACATACTATACGATATAATAAATATATTTCATATATTTATCGAAAGTTAACTTCAATATATATATATATTTTAAATGACGAAGGCTGGTTTACTATTATGTATACATATCAGATGTTTTTAAGATCATTGTATGTCATTGTATATTTGTTCTAAAGGAAATTTATAAAGTCAAAATAAATATGTTGTCAACGATATAAGAATTTTTTTATTTTAAAATTCCTTCAAAAAGATTACACTAACTACATAATACTATTTTCACCTAAACTTTTTTTGTCCGCCTCATGTTTGTACTATTGATTCGACGTTCATGGTGATAAACAACAAACGTAAATAGCATCGTTCTAATTAATTATTTAAAGTTTGCACCAACATTCTTCGATGACCTCAAAATATGCTGTTTTTTAACCGACATTTTTTAATTAATTAAACGTTCGATCTGATAACATTAAAAAAAAATGTATTTATTCAAATATGACGTGTTGGTTTAGTTAATTTATGCCATTTTTTTTTTACCCGTCAAACTGTTGATTTATTTCCCGTTCCGCTAGCATGATATCCACTTTTTTTTTCTTCCGGAATTCATAAAATATTAATCATATTTTGAGGATATAACTTTTTATATTATTTGTTGTAATAATAATAATTTATTGTCTCTAGAAGATTACAATATTAAAAAAAAAGAATATTATCCATAACTAATCTAAATCCTACCCCTTTCCTCAGCCTCTCCTTGCTGCCCACTCCCTCAACACCTATCACTAATCCATCACCTCCTCCTTCAACTCACTACACTCTACCAGCAGATAGTGTAGAGACTCCATACAGCCTCGTTTTGAATCCCATCTTCTTTTGGGTGCCCATTATTTGTTGTAGTATTTTATATAAATTAATGAATTTAGTGATAAGGTATTAATAGCTTGTGTATTTAAATATAATTTATTAATAATATATATTCATATAGATAATATATATGTCAATATAATATAAAAAGTTAGAATGAAATACAAAGTACAGAATTAGAATTAGACACAAAGTTGAAGTTGTAACTAAAAAAAAATTCTTGGCCGTGCATTGAACGCGTTCCCATCCCACTGAAGTAACGTAGAAGAAGCTTTTTTAGAGGGTACAATACTGAATTTGGCTAAGATATGTACCTTAATTAATGAAATACAATGTCGTCGTTATCGCCCGGAGGATTTTATTTTGCAAGCACATGGTTTGCAATCACACTATACTTACGCGGGGTTGGAATCGGATTTAAACCGATTCCGTGGGGCTTTGGAATTCGGATAATGCGTGTATAGGGTTCTGAACTTTTTTCTGGGCGCCTTTACGTACTTTAGCGCGAGCTTCTTCCGGTTTTTCCGGCCTTACTAATGGTTTCTTTTCCGGTGCCTTCATTTTCCAAACAACAATTGGGGACTATAAATAAAAATTATTTTAGCTTTTCTGCTATGGTTGTTTTGTTTAAACACGTTATAAGTACTTACGTACTAACATTCCGAAAAATAGCGATAATATTTAAGAAAAAGTTTGGGTTAATTAAAGATAGTGTTTAAATTAATACTTACCGAAACAGTTCCGTGTCGGGGATATTTCGTTGAAGCAACATATGAAGCTTTTACTGTGAGAACAACAGCGTTCATCAAATTTTTAGCCGCTTGAATTAATGAAGTCGCACTATCAAGCTGTAATAAATAAATTGGGGACAATTATTATCACAAGGATGTTAACATTTAAAACAATTACATTTACCCCAGAAACAATCAATTCTCCACTTATATTTTGAACATCAGCTTTAACTTTTGAAGTGATGTTCATTTGGTGACAATACAATTGAATTCTTTGTAAGTAAGCCAGCAAATCTTTTTTGGTTGAGCTTTCAGGGCATTGATCGGCTATCTGTCTAGTAAGTTTATCAAGTTTAGTTCCGTATTCGGAAATCTTTTTGGCAGCATTAATAACGTCCATTGTGGTTTTCAATGGACCCCTTCCTCTAGTAAAATCAGTCATTTCCATCATAATCATACACATATGCTTAGCTAAGACGATAATATCGTTTCCGGTATCATCCCATTTAGCAACTTCACGATCAAATATGAGCTTTTCGCTACGGAAGAACTCAACTTGTTGCAAAATCTTTTGTTTATCTTCTTCGGGCATTTTGCCCATAGCTTCTCTAGCAGTTGTGATTCCACTAATTTCTGGGTATTCATCAACACCATGCTCACCAGTGTGAGCACTCGACTTACTACGGTTATCATACGGGGTATTTTCACCTAATTCAACATCTTCTGGATCCAAATCTTCATCAGCCTAAACAAAAAAAATTATGTATAAAATATTCCTAAAATAGGATATGTTTACTTACGCGATTCATTAAAACAGCACGTCGAATTTCACGTACTCCATCGTACACCAACCGGGACGCATCAATAAAGTCATTTTCATCGACATCTTTCGCGGGATTACTCGATAAAGCAGAGACGGCAACGGCAACTCTTTGTCCAAACTTGGGCATAACTTGGTCATTTAAAACCTTGACGGCTTCCAAAACCCGTTTGGTGTAAATGCAAGGTTCGTAATTGTCCATTTCAGCCGTGACGACGCTGCAGACTCTATTGGCACGTCCCCGTATGCCTCCAGCTGTACGATCGAGCGTGTCCGCATCACCTTCTTGAAGTGCGTGAACGCATTTGTTAACATCTTCCAAAATATGATTTTCGGACACCGCCAGAAAGTCATCGATGGTTGTAATATCGTCGACGGCTTCCGTTAAAATTCGTACTTGATTTTCCCAAGATTGTTTGAACGCTTCCATATTTTCTTGGGCGACTTTGCTGCGCGGGCGAGCTGCCAAGATTCTTGCCGCGTTTATAACTTCGGGGCAAAGACTATCTATTTGAGCCGCGGCATATCGAACCATTTTTACGCCATCCTCATTATTTGACATGCTACAAACCAAATTGGCAACTTCGACCAATTTGTTTGAGTGTTCCTGAAAAACTACCGCGTACTCCTCCACTTCTTTTTCGTTGCCATTTTGAGCTGCCTTGATTAAAACCAACAATGGTACGTTGGTGTCCAAGAAACTAATCGAAGATATAATTGTGTTAATTGTAATTTTGGTTGTTTTTATTTTTTTTTAGTTAATTAGTACTACATGCATTGTGGACACAATTATCAAACAATTACTGAGAACGCATTTACCTATCAGAAACATGATCAACAACCGCTTTGCGTAGCTGCCGACGAAGATCTTTGGTCTTACGACCCATCTGATCAATAGCACGGGCCAATCCATCACTTTGTTCCTTATTTCCAGTCTGCAATTAATATTAAATCGTTTTGTACATGCGGCGCAATCAAAATTAAAAATTTAAGAAGAGAACGACACGATATTATATCGTATAAAAGCGAAATGTATCATGTTAATGTCCTGAGGTTAAAAAATGTATTTATTCCAGCGGACACTGATAAAATGCACAAACAAACGAGTTACAGCTGCAGATAGTTAGAGTGCGAAGGAAGTGTATTTAGCTAGCTTAGTTTCAACCGCTCGAAAAAAAATTAAAAATAATAACAAAAAATTAAAAAATAAAACGAGTTTACACGAGTGCACATACATCATACATACAATTTCACGTCAATATTTACCCGAGGCAGTCCGCGCGGCACCTGCAATTGCTGTGACGGCGCGTAACAAAAAGATATGATCAAAAAAACGGGGACTTTTAAAACCCTCTAAAATAATTCGACGTTTATACCTACGTTTGCCATATATTCCGAAAGCAAATCTTGTAGAGCTTGTCGCACCGCATTGCATTCAGAGACAATACGATTACGACGTTCATCTCTCGTACAACTCGAATCCGCCATCAAAGCTGCACCACTTATTATACTTTCTAAACGCTCCTCAAGGGATGGTCTTGTTTGTACCTCATTGTAAGCTAAAGGTTCCATTTCCATTTGTTCCTATAAAAAAAATCATTTAGTTATTTTTTTGTACAGGGTGTCTCAGCGAGACTTAGATTCTGGGGTTCTGACCAAAATAAAAATTTGAGAATTCTCTTCGACTAAAATATATTCAGATTTCTAGCACTTCCGGTTAAATCGGAGGTTCTAGGTTTATGAATAACTTTACTTTTTGCAATTTGATTCGGCCATTATCGAGTTATTCGATTTTTTTCGACATTTGTTCAAAAAATCAGAGAACATTCTGTTTTTGGATATCAATTTAGGATTCAGAACATGCTTATGCAACATGATGGAGTATGTTTTGGTGCCGAGAACGGCTGTCTAGATCCTTTGGTCGGTTCTCAATGAGTTCGTGTCAGTCTCACTTGTTTACGTCACTTGATGCATGTGAGCTAATAATTATCTGTTAGGTGCCTTAATATTAATACTAAAAATAGTTAAAACCGATAACAATAACGAAAATGATATTTACACATATCAAGAAATTCTTAATTTATTTTTTATACATGGAAAACGTGACAAAGTTCGTAGTATGATTCCCAGATATTCTTTGGCAGCTCGAATTGAGGTGTTGGGACTGGGCTCGAAATAAGCCAAGGTATTCACCTCTTCCACTGTATAACCTGTATCTTTTTAACTTAATTCTCAAAAAGTGCGAGATGCCTACACCTATTTTGATCGTATCATCCTATTTTGATGCGAGATCGACCTATTTCGTTACTGTGTGGCTTCTCCAAGGTATTTAAATTAATTTTATACAAATATATCTACTTAGTTTGTTTTACACAATTTGTGTCTGATGTGCTAGATGATAGAGGCCAAGTAGACGTTGTTTATCTAGATTTTCAGAAGGCTGAGTCATCAGTTGGATCATTATGTGTTGTTGCGCAAGTTAAGTTCCGTTGGATTTAGTAAACCTTCGATCTTCCTTATGGAGTCTTACCTTCGAGAGCGTCAGATACTTCGAACTGCAGTTCGTATCTTATTCGGCCAACGTCGGGAGTGCCTCAAGGTTCAAAGCTGGGTCCACTTCTATTTCTCATCTTCATCAATGACATCACGGACTCCATTGATCGCGGTAAACTACTTTTTGCAGATGACTTAAAAATTTTTACTTCGGAGAGCGGATAGTGTTGTTATTCAGAGTGGTTTGGATAGTGTTATCGAGTGGTGTGCGAATAAGCGATTGCCTCTAAATGTTTCGAAGTACGCCGTTGTTTCCTACACCAGAAATTCGCTGATACACACAGAGTACTGTATTGGTAATGAAGTCTTGCGGTGCGCTAATAATATTACAGACTTGGGGGTAACTTTTGATTCAAAACTAACATTCATAGACCATGCAACTAATCTGTGCGCGAAATGTTATCAAACTTATGGTTTTATATATCGCAATTGTGAAGAATTTTCAACCGTTGGAGTTCTTACCATTTTTAATGCTCTGATTCGCTCGCGCTTTGAATACGCATCTTTGATTTGGCAACCTTTTTATGCTGTACATGTTAATTTATTAGAGCGCATTCAAAGATTATTCTTACAGTTTTGGCCTTACTGAATTGAGGTTAATGAAAACACAAAAAATGTGTGAAGAATTAGTGTTTATTAATTTGTTTATCTGCGCAACCGGTTTCGAAAAAATTACTTTTCGTCTTCAGGCGCAACGTCTAAAACGAACGATGGACAGAATTAAAAAACGCTCCATTTATTTTAAGATTATACACATATATATATACATATATATACAAACACACATCTATCCCAGTATATGTTAATAATTAAGATCAAAGAACGATAAAAACACTACATACAATGACTACACGACTACAAGAGAAACGTAGTTTATTATTATATATGTGTATAATCTTAAAATAAATGGAGCGTTTTTTAATTCTGTCCATCGTTCGTTTTAGACGTTGCGCCTGAAGACGAAAAGTAATTTTTTCGAAACCGGTTGCGCAGATAAACAAATTAATAAACACTAATTCTTCACACATTTTTTGTTTTCATTAACTAAAATTTCCGAAGAATTATGGAGAAATACATTCCTTTTTTACTGAATTGACCAAAATTTATGTTAGATCGACGCAGTGTCGTTGATGTGTAGTTATTATAACCAGATTTCCGCTGAATGCGACATTTTTACCAATATTTGGTCATTCATTAACAATAAAATCATAGAACACTTCACAATTATTAATGGCTAATATACCTTTTCGCCTTGATTACCATTCATTCTATGTATAATACTATTTTTCCATTTTGATATATTCATATATCTTACAATTATTTTTTGTATATTACTACATTTGTATTTTTTTTTCTTTTTGTATTCCTGTAATTGGGTGGAGACCTGTTGGAATAAAGCATTTATTATATTATATAATTTACTACATTTTTTGGTCAGTTTAACATTTTTCAAAAAAAACCCTAATTATTTCCCAAACTATTAATGTTAAGTATAGGACATATAGGGTATAAAAGATGTAAAATGAGACGTCGAGTAATAAAATACGGGGGGTGCCATTTAAAAAATTGAAGTTATGGTAGTTCCAAATTTCGAAAAATTAACGTGCCTTAGTAAAGTGTCCAAACGATCTAGATAACCGTTCTTGGCACCAAAATCATGTTGCTTAAGCATATTCTGAATCCTAAATTAATATCTCAAAAATCGAGTTTTTGAACAAACGTTTGCGGGAGCAGATTTTTCTAGAAAAATTCGAATAACTCGAGAATGAAGTTAACAAGTAAACCAAAATATGTATCTGAATTGTCAAATTTTTATTTTGGTCAGAACCCCAGAAACGTCTAATGACCGGCCTCGCTGAGACACCCTGTTTATTAATTAATGTGTCATACATCAAACTCATCCAATGCAGCGGCTAATTCACCAGGTCCTTCATATGTAGGTTGTGTAGGTTGTGGTGTACGACCTTGAGCAACATCACTGATAGTATTAACGGCTTCGCAAACTTGTTTAAGTACATAATCCCGATTAGCTTTTGCAGCGGCTAGCTCGGGATGACGTACGTAAACTTTCGAAGCGGTAAGCAACATGGTTGAATGTTTTTTAAGTACGGCACGTGCAGCAGCTAAGTCATCTCGTAATTGGAGATCTTTCAGTTCTTGCTGACGTTTGTGAGCTTGATTCATGAGATCGTTCGCGCTGCGACTAAAGTCTTTGATGTTTTTCAATAACTCATCTTGGCTAGATGCGTTTTTTAGTTTTTCGATGTCTCCTTCGACGACGTGAAGTGATTTTAAAAGTAAATGTACGTCTACCATGTCGGCTAAGATGAGAAGACGCGTGACAGCCGATAATAGATTTCTAGCTGCACGAACCATGTTGCCTCGTTTAGATGAAGAACAAGGATCTTCTGAAAATTCTCTGGCAGCAATGCTCATTGCGTTTCCCGTTTTGCGGACTTCATCGACGGCTGAGAGCATTTCTTGAGTTATATCTTTGTTCTCATAAGCGATTTGTTCACCTTTTTGAATAAAATTTTCTGTGGCTTTTTCGACTGTGCTTACGAGGGCGTTGGCGCGCTTGGATTTGCCTTTCTTCTTTTTGCTAGGACCTTTGGTGTTGACAAGAGTGGTAACTTGTAAAACAAGGGGTTCTAATGTTTTTTCAACGGACATTGTACGAATTTGTAAGTTCTTTGGATCCCATTTTAAACCAAAATGCTCCCCAATTATTCCAGCGGAGAGCATATCTTTGGTGTTTTGCTCTCTTAAACTGTGCATCTTAACGGCGTCTTTAAGAAATCACTATTAGAGAACAAACAACTATATCAGGTATTAGTCATAGCTGGTTTGAGTTAGAATGAAACCACTCCCTTCTACTTACCAATGAACAATGGAGACTAACGTTTTTTATATTTAACTCGATACGTATCAAAACTTAAGAATTAATATTGACCACAATTTCAAATAATTTTGGCAATTTCACAGTCTTTACATCGAAAAATTTGTTTTGTTTAGCACTGCAACTGTTTTGCCTAAATAACGACTATCTGTCAGAAATTTGGCACTGTGTCGCACTACCAACCGTACAACTAAGAAAATTCCTAAACCCCAGTAGGAGGTATCATCTCGATCTCAATAGATGGCAGCACATCCTCAACAAAATTAAAGAAGTATCGAGTGAAAACGTCATCACCTACAAACGAATAAGCCAATGAACTCGCTCGAATTCGAGATTAACCAATGTAAACGCTTGTTGCTGTGAGATAACGAGAAAATATAAAGAGATAGAGAATGAACTAACCTAAATCTACCTTATCCAATTAAAAAAAAATCAATACAACATATTCTAGATTTTAATTTTTGTCTTAATCGATTAACTGCTTATCTAAAGTCATTTTAATGATAAAGATATACTATTAATATAAACAAAGAATAATTGATAAATAAAAAATTAAAATAAATTTATTACTTTTCAAACTGAATAATAATTCTTCTACAACTTCTAACACATTTTCTTCAATAATTACATTTCTTGCAGTTAAAAGTAATTTTTGCCTTAAAACAACTCTGCTCTCTACAAAGCTGCAATGCAATGAAGGAATTCTCCGATTCGCTAAGAGTATAGTGTATAGTGATTGAGAGAATAAAGCAAAGATTTTTTATTTTTAGAACATCACTAGTTGTAAATTTTATGTAAAACATTTTGGACCCAACCCAAGCAAATTTAACCCAACCCAACCCAACTCAACATATTATCCAAAACATACAACGCAACCCCATCAGGATCACCAAAACTATTAATCTTAAGGTATATCCACACCAAAGAAACACAGGGAAACATTCTATTCCTGATTGTCGTAACCTGTTGAGGAAGCAGAAACAATAACAAATGTATCGTAAACATTTAAACACAGTAAGCGGTGGCTGCAATTATTATTTTACAAAAACAGAAAAAGAAAGTTCGTAAATGTTCCACTAGGAAGACCCTCTTAGAAAGAAATACACATGGTATCTGCACCTTATGAGTTCATTAAAGAAAGATGAATGAATAGCAGAATCCAGGAATAGAAATATAAAGAACTTTTGTCGTATAAGTAGCACTGCTAACGTAAATGTAGGCAAAACATTAGCTGATAAAATATGTTTTGCACCAGATTTACCCTTAAATATGTTGCGCCAATCGCTTTACTAATCTCCACCCAGAAATCTTGCTTTTTGTAACGATCTTTAAAATTTTTGCATATCTTAATTAAATGTATAATATTTTCGGTAGACCACTAGAACGACATATTTTCTACTTTTAACAAATGTTTACGCTGCAAAAATCGCTACTCGGCAAACAACGTTGCGTCCGAAATAAAAATTTTTACAAATGTTTCTAAATTTTCTAATAATATTGATCGCTAAACACGGAAACAAGCAACTTGTAGGAACATTTGTTTCTGCAATCATAAACAATAAGGAACATTCAGAAACTTTGAGATGCAAGTTCCAGGAACAAGCAACATCAGATTGGTTTAATACATTTTGCATATTAGACGTATGCGCGGAAAGCTTCAAAGCTGCCTGGAACTACAGAACTCTTGAACCAAAACAGGGCTCTTTAGTTTCTCTATCTACGACTATTCTACCTTAACCACTCTCTTCTCTCTACTCTTCCTTCGGATTATAATAATATGGTGTATTCAATAACCATTACAAAATCTATCCAGTATCTTGTCTATTAACTTCGTCTAGAAACATTTCGGAAACGAAGCTGAAGGGCCAAACATCCCCCGGGTATCCGATCGATTTTGTTTTTCGGTGTAACATAATTACTCATGTTCTAAAGTACTTCCAACGTAATAAATTTAGGCATAAGGGTGTGCTAAAGAAGGAATGGATTGCAATCCCCAAGAGTTTTACTTTAACTAATAAATATAATATTTATTATACATAAATAATTATGGTATTTAAGCTAAATGAATAAGTTGAATAAATTATGAAATCAATAATAATTTAAAAAGAATTCGTAAATTCTCTAAATAAGTAATATTTGTAGTGATCGCTAATAGATGGCGATGGTAGATAATAATATGTTTATTATTTGTGCGGATAGATGGCGCTATAAGCAGTTAATGGTTAGCGGTTTGTTGTTTGCGCAGGCGTTGTGTCGATTGTTTCGAAGGAAATTTGGCAACGGTTAGGCAAATAGTGAGTCCATAGTTGCGGGCAGGTGGAGTCCGTGGTTGGTCGGGGCATATGACATACCGAGCGAGACATTACTAATGGGTGAGTTTAGTTTAAGTGGCAACGCGAGCATCGGTTTGAGTGGCGTCGAGATCTCAGTGAACAACGCGGGGAATTCTAAGGCCACCGCAAATACCATATTTTACACCACACCTACGTCGGAGGCGGCGAGTATACATCAGGCGCAGCCTCGGCCGGCGATGCAAGATGAACTCTCCGAGAAGGCGGCTATCTCCAGCAGTACCCAGGGCGGAGATGAATTGGGTGTGACCGCGATCTCATCAATCTCGGCGATCACCGCGAGCTCTGCTCCCGACAAGCCTAAGGATTGCGACTCCAACTCAAACGTAGACTTGACGGACAAGTTGCCCGAACACGTGACGCCGCAAGCCACCAAACAAGCCCCTGCGGTTCTCGGGAGGGAGCCGTTGTTCCACCCTGCCGATGCCAATCCTTCGACCCCGACGCCGACACCGACGCCCGGTCCTGGTCCGGGCCAGTTATGGTCAACGGGCGTCGAGGACGGCTACGTCCACAACCTAAACGTAAACGGCGGTCTAGGCTTCCAGAATTACTCCTCCCAGCAGCCCCAGCTCTTTGGGAACCAAAACCAGGGCAGGAGGGCGATTACTGCGGCCCACAACTTCCCGCATAACGTCGTCCGACAACAATCTAGTCATCCGTTGTTCAAGAGTTACGGCTCTTGGACGAATCCCGGCCAGGGAAGCTGGTCGGGGGGTTCCGCTTGGAACCGGGGCAGGAGCGTGCCGAATTTGACCCCGCTGCAACAGATCGGCGTAGGGAATCGAAAACCGAGCCCTACATTCAATCATCAACAGCCGCAGGCCATCTCCCCGGTCAAGTTCCGCCGGTCGACCTCTTATCCCGGCAAAGGCCACTTCCAGCAACCTCCCACCTTCGAAATAACCGCCACGGACGAACCCCGGGAACTCCTGTCCTACCAGGTAATGTGTGGCCCTCTTGCACATCTCACCAATGCGCTAATGTTTGTGTACTACCTGCTCATGCCGCTCATAATACGCTGTTCTGCTTGTGACGTTTTCGTTTTGTTATTACCACCCTCTGGTGTATAGACTTTTATAGTTCTTTTTTTTTAGCCTCTAGTACCTGTGATATACTTATTTATTTTTTTTTGTGTCCTTTATTTTTTACATTTATTTTTTTTTATTTGTTTGTTAAATAAACCATTAACTACAATGTTTTGTGTGTTATGTTTTTATTTACAACTACTGCTGCGCCTCGTTCTCGTCCTCGCTTCTTATTACCTCTAAACCGCTTACGAGGCGTTACATAACGCCGACGCGAGGTTTCGCGCGAATGTAGGTCATAGTGTACCGCGCGGCTCGACTTAAGGGAAAACGGTCCGCCTTATAAATATTGATTTTCCCGCATTGTGACCCATATAAATGTCGCGCATGGCTCCCGATCGGCGGCTCGCTTTCTTCAGCCGTCCGTTTTCCCGACGCTTTTTCAAACGTCCGTCGCTTCGCTACCGTTACGTGGCAGGTGAACACGACGCCCGAAATATCCGCACCACCGATCCACCAGCTAAAAATACCCGCAGACGCAGCCGCAGGCACTTTTACTTCGCATTCCGTCCGGACAGAAAACGATATATTCGCCTCCATGCTTTGGATCCTCTCCCTATGCAATCATCGTCTGCACTGCACTCTACATACATACATCCTACATCGCTTAGCATCTTACTCTTCTTTGTGGACGCTATAGACGTCAACCTTCATTCAAATATAAACAGACAAAATATATACACATACCAAAAATAACACTGTATAGACGATTTTACTATTTGAGTTACACTTATACACTACATTTACATCATATTGAGTTTTTATAAAAAAGTTGATTGATAAATACATTTCAATTAAGATACTAATAAAGCGATTCATAAACAAAAACACATGCACTTGCCAAAATGCTATTATATTTTATAAATGCAGGTTATTAACTAACAACATGTAACACTATCAAGTCTATGTAATACGATTAACTCGATTCAACGAAATTTAATAACATATACAACAACAATAACAGAAAGTTTAGTTATTCTTATTTTCTTGTAATATAAAAAATGTAATAAAAAGTATTAAAATTTAAATAATTTCTCGTATAACGATCGAGCGAAGGTGAAATTACAGGGACTGTATCGCATTGTGTATGCGTTCAAAATATGCAATGATTAATATGAATTTCAAATGTCGACATTATTAAATATGTATTAGTAAAAAAGTTCCGTAAATTATGTTCTGGTATCGTCAACGTGTGTATGGCGTGATGTTAAATAATTTTTGAACTGGGAATATTTTTTAATGAAAATTTGCTCGTATCGATCAGACTGGCCGGAAAAGGGTAATCGAGTTAAGGGCCCTTGCGACGTCTAAAACCTCTTTGTAAAATTAGATGCGCATCGTTTGAGCTCTCGTCGTTGGAGAAGCGAAACGGTTCGTTGCAGGAAAATTACAATCCTCGTTTTTCTTATAAGGCGAGTTAATTGTAATCCAAATTAAAATTACCTCGTTAATCCTAATCGGTTTGAATATATGCAATTTAATTATAATCAAAACAACACCTCACATCATTTCAATATATAGGCGACACTTGGAATGCATTTTGACGACATTGCAATTTGCTTATTAATAATAAAAAATCGCACTCAATTTTCATACACTATTTCTTGGTAAGTATATCTGGATCAATTATTTGATCTAAGCTGCTTTTTATAAAAAATTTTTAATAAAATGAAATATGGTAAATGTTATTTATTATTTTCAGGATCGATGTGGAGTAAATGCAAACGGTAGCAGCCCATTGGATACAATGCGCGGGTTGGAGCATTATTTGAACGATTTCATGCGTCAACCAACCGACACGTCGGACTTAAAAGGTAAGTATTTATGAGAATTTACCACCCACGTGAGAACGAAATAGACACGGAGACGTTTTCACTAAAATTCCGATAAGATATCGACCGAGAATCGTTCACGATAACACACCTTACCGTTTCCGTCAGGCGCAAGTGCGTTTCGCAAGTGTTTCGACATTCTATAATTTTTACAACAACCTCTTGATTTGTTTAGTAAATATTTTTACGAGAACAAAATATACATTCGCTACCTTCAACGTTAAACGTTTTTATTGCTCACTTTATTGTTTGCAATAGCTATCATCATCTGACGTACACCTGATACGGGGTGGAAAAACAAATAATGTGACGACACAATCTGTCTGGATATAAAAAAGATTTATTCCATTAAAAAAAAAGAATTCTGATTCTGCGTTATCCAATCGTTGTGAAAGGGGGAATAATTGATTAGAAAAACCGTTCTTATTTCGCAAAAGTCGACGGCGTGATCATTCGTTGGAACCGCGATTATCTCATAACCGAATCTAATGAGGAATGAAATTTTATTCGTTTCAATTATTCAAAAAAAAGAAATTTTTAAAAAGGTGTTGTAAAACAAGATAACATCATGTTGAGTACTGCTGGAGGGTTGGAAACTGTAGGAAAGGGTAGACGAATGCGGAAGCCATATTGATTTTGGAAGGGCTTACGAAAAGCTTGGTAGTGTTTTTTTGCGCCCGGCTCTTTCTGCGAGAAATCTGGGAATCAATACCCATCTCAGCCCTACAAAAGGCATCATCTTCCTCTTTTTCCATCGTGTGTCCTTTGAAAACTTGACGCCGCTTTGACTGCGAATAGAAAATTCAAAAAAAAACACTTTTAAAGTGTTCCCATAAAGAATAAAATTTAATTGTCGATAATTTAATGCTTATTTTACAGCGGGATATTTAACTGGATATCGCAGTTGGTATAAAGTTACAAGTTGTGGCATCTGTTGCTGTAACAGTGCGTTGGTCTTTAAACACTTTAATATATCAGAACAACTGTTTCGTGGTACTAAACAAAACTCGTAATATAATGACTACTTAACACGTCGTTATTATAAATTCAAAACTAGAAAATTTAAAGAAGTCTTAAAATAATAATTGTACACCTAGCTATTTTACGCTTTTCTAATTTTCGAGTAGAAACGTCGACGCGTCCCCGGACTATTTATAGTCGAAAACGTCTGTTGATAACGTTCCACGTGGGCTTCGAACTCCCGGTTGCTATAATATTTCGACGTTTCAAACTTTACAGCTTCATTATATTGAAAGGAATTTCGACGCAATAATCTATTTTAATCCGTTGCAATTCGGCATTTAACCATAATTACCAGTTTGCATTCGCTTAATTGATAACGTATTATACACCGTTCGTGATCAATAAACGAAATAATAAGATTAAAAAATTGTGTAGGTTTAAATTAAACAAGATTTCGCGAATCATTGAAAATTTAATTTAAACATCCGATTGTTTGTTTATTATATCTATAACCGTTTGTTTTTGTTTTTAAATCTCCTATCTAATCAGGATAAGCTAATAAACATTTTTATTTCATTATTCAGAAAATTACTGAACACATTAAGTTATTTGAAATTTATTTAAAAATGCGTTATGAAGGTTAAAATTTTATATTTTCTAAAATCGCCGGCTCCAAGCAATGGCCATCACTCATTTTTAGAGCGTGCGCAGAAATACTTTTGTGTTCTAGATTAGGTAGGCGTAAATGCAGAATGACCAATTTTTTTTATTTTATTGACTAATTGAAAATTTTATTTAACGTGAGTTCAACACAAACTGCTTCATTTGCACAATAATAAAACATTGCCAATCCTTTTCATAACATATATACCAAAGTAATAAAATTTTTTATTATTTTTGTTGGTTTGGTTTTGGCACAAATTGAGAATCCATGATTAATCATCATGGTCAAGGTCGCTTGCGGCCGAGGCGCTACAATAAATACCATATCGACCTAAATCTGCTTAACACACGCATTGCACTACCAAATCGGAACTTGCCTACAAGAAAAAGTATACCTATACTATTACTATACTATTAGGGTGCTGGCTTTATTTACTGCTTTATTTTTGAGTAATTTCGATCTAGTATATGTATTTGCTGATAATGCAGAGAAAGTACAAAGAAAAGATTTCTAACTATACCAAAGGGACTTGATATATATACACATTAATAACTTCGCTGAGTGAAATGTACAAACTTCGTAATAACATAGTAACGAAAAGCAGTGATGTTTTGCCCAAACAACTACCAACAAACATCCAATAATCAATACCCACATTAAATATGCACAAGTGACATCGCGGTCTACTAATCAAATAAGTTTAAGTAGTTGTTTCTAAGTTAGGTTTTACCATGTATATTTGTCTATTCTTAAATTTTTTTAATTCTGGTATTTTATTAGACTAATATGGCTTGACATAAATATCGATAAATATCTTTACGGACCCGCCTTAAACGCAATTCAAGATTACATGATACACTCGCCAGGGGCAAAGTTACCTTATGGTGGGTTCTAGATCACAAAGGCATGGTGGTTAATGAAAAGTCAACTGGAACTGCCTCAATAAAAAGGAGTTAACGTCGCTCTTAGATTACACGTCTCTAAATTACCATCTCTTCAACATTGAACAAGTTGAGGATCAAACTTTTCGACTTTGCAAACGATAAGTCAGAGATTCTATGTAACTGCGTCTCCTAAGGCCCAAAATTTTTAGAAAGCTTTGCTTGACACCTTCTGCCACAAAAAAACAACACCTTGGAGCAATACTAGGTTCATCAAGGACTTAAATCTGCCTTAATCTTTTGGAGGGTGTAAGTTACAATCCACTCAGCCCGGCAGCAACAAAAAAAAAATGCTTGAGATGGATTTCGCGTTTCATTTTATGACTCAACTTTTACTCTTTGGTCTCAAAAGCTTTGGGATGAACATGACCAGGTTGAAAAAAATTTAAATATTTCAATTTCATGGTTTCTTAGGACAACTTTTATAAGAAGCTGGTTTTAGAATTTGAAACTAACCATAATACTCTGTTACCTAGCAATACTAGGTTCATCAAGGACCTAAATCTGCCTTAATCCTTTGGAGGGCGTAAGTTACAATCCCCTCAGCCCGACAGCAACAAAAAAAATTCTTATGATTCAATTTTTACTCTTTGAAAGAAGCTTTGAAGAAGCTGGTTGAGGTGAAAAGTATGAATTAACTATGATAATCTGTTATCTTGATAAAATATATTTCAAAAATAAATTTTGTGTGAAAGGAGTTTTGTCACCTGTTCTATCAAGTATTATCAATAGAGAAATAAAACTTGGTCAATTTCCCGATATCCTAAAGATAGGAAGAATAACTCCAGTGCATAAAAAAGGCTCAAAAATTCTTCCAGAGAACTATAGACCAATCTATCTATGCTGGCGGTCTTTGCCAAAATATTTGAATTGATTTTAAAAAGTAGACTACTGTCCCATTTGAATACGATTGGTTTCCAAACTTGTGAGCAGCATGGTTTCATATTCGGTAAGAGCACACAGACTGCTATTATTTATTGTTAGAACTTGTTTATAGAAATCTCAATGAGAGCAAAACCGTTTTGGCTGTTTTCCTGGACTTGCTATAATGCTTAGTAAGCTCGAAGCTTTGGGTGTTCAGGGACCATCACTGAGAGTTTTTAAAAATTATTTAAGAAATAGAAAGCAGTACACTGTTTACAATAATGCTACTAGCAGCAAGACTCATATCAAGTATGGAGTACCCCAGGGATCTGTCCTCGGTCCTCTGCTTTTTTTAATATATATAAATGATATAACCGATTGTTGTATGCATCGATCTTGCAACGATATTGCCTTGTATGCTCCGGAACCGTTTATCATACAGAAAATAGCGTTTGTAAGCATTTTCTACTCATAATAGCTGAGTTTTATAACATAAGCTACCGCTTGTCAAAATAACAATTAGTTTGTACCTGCAAAAAGTAAACTTGTATTACAAAATTAAAAATGAATTACACAAACGTTGAAATGTGCGAAATGCATTACATTGACATCCTGATCGCCCAGTACCAAACCATACCTTGTTTCTACGTATTCACCAACGACTATGGAAAAATGGAAGTTTTAAAAGGAATACTGCTGATAATGGGCGGCCTATGGAAGTTGCAAATCCCCAAGTAGAAGAGGCTGTCCTCAACGAAATTGATGAAAATCCGACCACAACTACCAGAAAAAGTGCTCACAACTTAAACCTATCTCACTTGATGGTTTGGAGAATTTTGAAAAGGCAACTTTTGCCTTATTGCCAAGAGATTTTCCGCCAAGATTGGCTTTTTGTATATGGATGCAAGACAAAATAGCTCAAAATCCTGAGTTTAGAGTCGAAATTCTGTTTACCGATGAAGCATCTTTGTCGAAGGATGGTATTTTGACAATAACCACATATGGGCAGAAGAAAATCCACATGAAATTGCAGAAGGCCATCATCAGCAACAATTTTCCGTAAATGTTTGGACTGCCATCATCGGTGATCATTTGATAGCCCACATTTTTTACCGAACAGATTAAACGGTGCAGATTATCGACAATTTCTAGAAGAAGTACTGCAAAAGTAACTGTAAGACAAAACATGTACTTTATGCATAATGGATCTCCTGCCCACTTTAGTTTGGTTGCTTGCCAATACTTGGACGATGAATATTCAGACCGTTGGATCGGTCGAGGAGGTCACCGCGATCTCCCGAACTTAATTGTTTTGATTTCTTCTTTTGGGACCATCTGAAAATCCTAGTCTATGCTACTCCAGTTGAAAATGCTGACCATTGTTGTATCTTGCGACATAATTCGGAACACTCCAGGAATTTTCCTGCGTGTTAGACAGTCAATTTGTATTTCAAAAAATTGACCATGTTAATCAACATAAAAATTGATTTTTCTCGAAAACGGTCGAAAACTTTTTGTGTAGAAAACATTGACGCTTCAAATGGACGTCTCAAAACCGTACTTTTTCCAGTGGCGTAGAAGTTGGGGAGAAAAACAACCAAATCAAAATCTTAACCAATTATGAGTTCAAAAAATTTTTTTTTCGCACAAAACTTAGCTTATTATGTGTAGAAAATGCTTACAAATGCTCTTTTCTGTACGATAAACGGTTCCAGAGATTCGCAAAAGACGATTTTTTTAATTAAATTTTAATACCTTGTATCTCGAAAATGATGCATTTTGGAGAATAAGTTGATAGAAACTTTTTTTCAAATTTTTGGACAAGCTATTTCATCCTGAAGTCTTGCGCATATATTATGAAACATCCTGTATATATATGCAAGCCTTGCCCCGGCCCAGGGTAAATACCCAAACAGTTCTACTTAAGCTTTGCCACAATGTTGATTTAATCATTTACGCCAGTTCTTCTTCATAGATCTTCATTTCGTATGTAGTCCCTCAGAGTTAGAACCAGGATCGACCTCTCCATCTATCTTTGCGTTACTTGGATCCTTCTGGCAGTGCCTACCGTTGATGTTAATGTTTCGGAGCCTTATGTCATAACCGGAAACACGCATTGATTGAAAGCCTTTTCTTTTGGAGCTGTCTCTAAGTTTCCCGTAGGCTGCCCATACGAATGTGATCCTTCTGTTTAGTTCGCTTGTTTGATTATCTGTCAACCCTCTCAATCTCATTATCTCCAATATTGATGTTAGAGTTGGGAACAAGATTTGTCATAAATTTTGATTTCTCCACGTTGATATTTAGTCCGACTCTTGCACACACCTCCTTTAAGTCGTTCAGCATTAGTTTAATCTCTCCAAGGCTATCCGATATTAGAACTATATCATCCGCGCAAATTACTTAAGCATTTGCAATCCCGTCATTGTAGCATTCTTGTAGATGTTATAAATAAGTTTGGTATATCGATAATCGACTCAATTAAAAAAAAAAAAAACCGAGTATTTAACAACACTTCTTCTTCTTGCGTTGTTGTTATATTTTGGTGTTTATACAGCGTGGCCCGTATCTTCCGCATCAGAGCATTATACGGTTGTGGGATACATGATTCTGAAGCGAAAATTTTTCGGAACTGTTTTTCCTCCAATAACAATTTAAGGGAAACGCCTTCGGAGATCGTAAATCACACTCAGGCAATCGGTCTCACCCCCGTCCGGTCCACCGCGCCGTTCTAAACTAGTTTCGTGTACTCACCAATAGATTCGACACGGAAAGAGAAATAAACTTTTTGCGCTATTGAAGTGAATCGGTATTGGAGAGACTTTAAACAGTTCCCGCTCGGTTATTATATTTTATACATTTTTGAAAAATTTATATCCTACAACCATATAATGCTTTGACGCGGAAGATACGGGATAGCTTGTATACCTGTTATGGATTTTTATGTCTTAAAAAAAAGTTATAAAGCCGTTGCAAAATTAGTTTAATGTTATATAAAGGTAATATTACGGAAGTAAACGGAGAAGTTGAATTGGCTTAAGATTACTTAAAAAAATTACTTCTTACAAACGGTGGTTTTCCGCTGGTTTAGAATTTTAACCGGACGCGCTCAGCCACGTGGACCGAAACCTTAAGTGAGTAAACGCAATTATTTTTGCTTAAGTACATTGAATGTATTAAGTATAAAAATAATTTTTTGTTTAATAACTATTTTGAGAATATAAATAATTTTTGAAAACGGTATGGTTCGTTCGTATGTAGCGGAAGCCTTCAAGTGGGGGACTTTGTTGGAGTCGTACTCGTTGTTGTCGTTTGGCCCCGGCCCCGGCCCCTCATCGCGTTTGCCCGAGGACAGTGCTGCTGGCCACGGAGTCCGTGGCGGTGCGACGCAACCGAAGCGCGGTTCCCGAGACTGTGAGAGTCACGGTCCGCGGTAACCTTCAGTGCGAGGCCGGCCACGTCGCGTGCAATACGAGACGTCGCGGTGAAAAGTGCGCGCGGATCTCAATTACGACGCTAAAGACACGTGACAAAACATTAAAAGAAAAAAAAAAAATTGTTTTTCAAAATGTACGGTTCCGTTTCTAAATGGTCTAACAATCAATTTACGCAAATCAACCGTATTCCAAAAGGTTAGATATCAAAGATAATTATTTACAACTTTTTATTAGTTACGAGTTAGTTCCGGATGGGTTTTTAGGTTTAAGGGCATTGGCACGTGCGAACACTTCCTGTGTACACTCCGCCCCCTCTTAACGATGACACATGCGTGGCATCGCGGTTACGGCGGCGGCGGCGTCGCGACGCCTCTCAAAATGCGCCGATCGATAACGGACAATGAAGAGGTGGAGGCCGTACCTGCTACGTCTCTCTACACCTTTTTTGCCCTCATAACGCCTTCTTCAGGGATCCGAAAATATCATTGCGCAACGAAAACCTTTGTAATTATTTGATTACCAACAACGCGCTATCGGAGTTTACTAAAAATGTTGCGCAATATTCTTACTGCTTATTATCTTCCCGGTGCTAATCGGCACTTATTTTTCTGTTTTCCTTATGTTACCGTCCATTATGCAAATAATAGTAGTTATTGTGTAAGCCGTAACTCGTGCCGATCAAAAAAAATGTACAATAAGCACAAAAATTTGTTATCATACATACAAAAATACATAACTAATTTTGTATGGGGCGTTAGTAGTTCGTAATCGTTGGTTTCCTCTTTAGTAACCCACATTTGGTGTCGCCGAAACGGCCCCGCTTCAATTCCTGGTTCGCCCCCGCCTCCGGTTACGCAATCTAATCGAATGGAATAATTAACCTGAATACTTTGCCGTTACGTGCTACCGTCGATAATTTTTATTTTTTTCCAGTCGATCAGTTTCAACCCCTTTTTTTCTTCCTTTGCAGGTTTAATGAATTGCAATACCAACGCATATCCGTCGCTTACACACTCCCTACATGGTAAGTACCCCCGCTATTTTTTTAACATTACCAAAAAAGTTTTGTAAAAAAAGTTTTTTAATAACTGCTTATGTAAGTATTAGAAATTAAACTTAAAATGGAAAGGTGCTTTGTTAAGTGTGGTAATTCTGACGTCACTTTTTAAACAAAATTAAAACAAAAAATAAAAATAATGCAACCACAATTTCATAAATATTACTAAAAACAATTAATTAAACATTTCATAAACAACAAAAAAAAAGAAATTAAATCTAGCAATAATTTCGAACAATTACATAAGGAATTAAACACAACAATAAAATTGAAAGGCACCTTAACGACAAAAATCCAATTCAATTTTTTTACAATTTTGAAAGCATTCCAAGACTTAATAGCTAAAAAACCCATTGTCATAAATGTAAGTAAAAAGGAAATAAGAAATTAAAATTTAAAACACCTAAAATTAAATTTAACGTCACTCCTCTATAACAGCTATGTCAGTCCTTTAATTAATTACATGAATGATTAATCTGAACCAACCCCACATCGAAACTCCCCTAAAACCCAACGATCGATGTTGCTGATGATGAATGCTTTTAACTCAAATATTTAATTTTAAATAAGAAATTGTTAGTTACGGTTTATTTCCTTTACGTATCTATAGTTAAATACGTACTTTTAACTATAAACACACGTCCGCAGTGGTCTTATACCGTTTTTAAATACCTTATCAGCACCTTATCTCTACATGAAAACCTTGGGGATTTACACCTACAAAAAATCAGGTACAATTTCGATTTTTGTCTGTTTCATTTAAGAAAAATTTTTAGTTATCGAAAAAAATAATTTTTTTTTAAAAGTCTAAAAATACATCTAAAAATAACCGGGACGTGGCTGCTGTCATTCGACGGGGTTGTTTTCGTATCCCTTGGGGCCGATTTTCGAAATGAGTGCCGGTCAATAGTGCACACGGAAGGTGGAACGGCGCGCCTGCGTCCCAACACCCTGCGATTCGGAAACTACCCCAATTTTATAGGGCACGTGGATAGGGTGCAATAACCTTAAGACGACGGTATGGGGTCAACCCACCTCCATTTCGGGGACGATTCCCACTTATTTATTATCATTCCTAAACCAGTTCACTAGTATTAACATATAAAGTCGTCATCATTGCAAGTATGCAACCAATATCACAGTATTGGTATTGCATATTGTGTTGACGATAATTAATTAATAAAAAATTTTTTTTCTAACATAGGAAAGTCGCCATATTTTGGTGGTTTGGACGAACAGGCTGGTCCTGTTTTGTTAGAAGAACCAGGTCATTTGGTGGATTCATCATTGGGTGGTGGTCAGCCGTTGAGCTCCCCATCGAGGTCTTCGCCCCATTCGCAGGGTTCGGAGGGTGGCGAAAGATTCTCGAGGAAAGTTTTCGTCGGCGGATTACCTCCCGATATCGACGAGGATGAAATAACGAACAGTTTCCGACGTTTTGGACCGTTGGTCGTCGATTGGCCCCATAAAGCTGAAAGCAAATCTTATTTTCCACCGAAAGGATATGCATTCTTATTATTTCAGGTAAAATCAACGCAAAAGTGTTAATAAAATGTTGATGATTTCATTTTTAGGATGAGAATTCTGTTCAAAGTTTGATTGACGCTTGTATTACGGATGAAGATAAATTATATTTATGCGTATCTTCTCCAACTATCAAAGATAAACCAGTGCAGATTCGGCCGTGGAGACTCTCGGATGCTGATTTCGTGTTGGACGCGTCGATGCCGTTGGATCCACGAAAAACGGTTTTCGTTGGAGGCGTTCCACGTCCGTTGAAAGCGGTGGAGTTGGCTATGATTATGGATAGGCTTTACGGAGGGGTGTGCTACGCGGGCATAGACACCGATCCGGAGTTGAAGTATCCAAAAGGGGCCGGCCGGGTTGCTTTCAGCAATCAGCAAAGTTACATAGCCGCCATTAGCGCTCGTTTCGTTCAGTTGCAACATGGTGACATCGATAAGCGCGTTGAGGTTAAACCGTATGTTTTGGATGACCAAATGTGCGATGAGTGTCAGGGGCAACGATGTGGTGGAAAGTTTGCACCTTTCTTTTGCGCCAACGTTACTTGTTTACAGGTAAAAATGTTTGTAAATTTTTAATTAAAATTAAATCTTTTTCGTAATTTCTTTTTAGTATTATTGTGAGCATTGTTGGGCAACGATACATTCGAGACCTGGTAGAGAATTTCATAAGCCGCTGGTGAAGGAGGGTGCCGATAGGCCAAGAGCGGTGCCGTTCCGTTGGTGTTAACGTAGGGGCGAGAATCGCGGTGCGGACTCCGTTCCATTGGAATGGGAGGACCCGTGGAGACGCGTAGGCATAATTACAATTATCTAGTAGCAATTATACATATTTAAAAGTATATTTGAATACGATATGTGTAATCAAATTCTCTTTTCTCGCGACCGCGAGTGGTCGAAGGCGAGCTACGGCGCCGATAGCGATAGCGAAGACCACAAGCTTCGTTGACATAGTCAGGCCACTCCTCAAAAACAAAAAAAATTAAAATAAATAACACCCTAAATTTGTACCGAGCAATTCTATTGTATTTTTGGTTAGAGAATCGATCGAGGACGTGTAATTGAACACTAACAATATAAGCTGGGGCTTTTATAGAGAATTTTTTGCGTTTTTTCAAACACAGGAATAATTTAAATAATTTTTTTAAATATAAAAAATCACTTCAGTTTCCTGTGTAACACATTCTTAAAATAGCTCAGCCTAAATATAGCCAGAACACGCTCGCGGCGACCTGAAAAAAATCTGGTCGCCATCTCGCGAACGTTATACAGCCAGTATATACAGTGATGGAAATAAGTATTCGAACGGTTTCGATACGAAATAGTTTTTGATGCAAAAAAATAAAAAAAAGAAAATGGGTCCAAGTAGATAAAGGATACGCACGCATCCTTTTTAATTTCTCTAACCGGAAATGACAAATGAAAGAATGAAGTCGAAGTGGAGTCGGCGCAGACAGTCATGATGCTTGTGTCCCAGTCGGCAACGTTCAGGGTATTGTATATACTAGTCTAATCTGCGAGCCTGCCGGCGATCCACGTCGCCGGATATTTTCGCTGACGGCGGCGCAATTAGCCCCAAGTACCTGACCGGACCGCCCCACAGACACCCCCGCCCTAAACCCCCTTAAATACCGCCTTTCCCTCAGCCCCAACTAACTCAAACTATATAAAACGCCAAAAATATTTGGTATATTAATTAATTACTTGGCGTTTGAAATTGACCATTTCAATTTTTTTAAATTAATTTTCCCCCAACATTTATTCGTCTCAAATTCATAGATAATACACCCTGTATATTAGAGATTTATTATTATTTTTATTATTTTATTAATTAAATGTAATTGGTGTTAGTTTATATTTTTTTTATATATAGTGGTGTTTAATATTTTGTGTTCGTATTTTATATATATATATATATGTAAATTGATATATATATTTTGATGGAATTTATTTATTTAATATACAATGTCTGTTTACTCAAGCTATATATTTTGATCTAATTGAATTTGAAAAGCCTTGTTTGCGTTATTTGGGGCGATTCTCAAAAAAGGAAAATCTTGTTTCGCACTAAACGTTACGTTACTTCATATCAAAACGAAATTTGGAATAAAATATGATGATTTAAAAAAAAAAAAGAAGTGCGCGTAATTTAATATAAAGCTTTTTCAATTAATCAACTTTTGATCGATATATTGTAGATGTAAGTTTTATATAAAAATGAATTAATTAAACGTGTGGTGAATGAGAAAGGAGTATAAAAAAATAGAATTGAAAGTTAATGGAAAAGTGGGTGGCGTAGAGTGCGAAACGAGGCTCAAAACTCCGGCACTAAAAAAATTTTTCCAAGACCGCTTCCTATTCACTTGCGTCCGCACGTTATACCTACCCTATTACCTACTATTTTATTTTTTAATGTGTGATAAATATTAGACGTCTTAATGTATTAATATTAAATAAATTGCACGGATGATAATGTATAGTATATTATATATATAGTATCAGCTATTCTAAGACTTGTATTTTTTAAATTTGAATTTTTATACTAAACTGTTATAAATGGTAATTAGCGGAGTTTTTGATGTGTGCAATAAACAATATTGCGGCCGTTGGGCCGTGGCGGGCGTATTTTTTTAAATTTTTATTACATCGTATCGGCGAGTAAAGCGAAATGAACGATTAAAGCAAAATTCTAATAGGGGAAAAAACGAAACCAAACAAGTTAAGAAAATAATAAAAATAAAATAAATGAAAACAAGAGAGAAAAAAAGGGGAGATCGAAAACGCTGTTTAATCGGACCCTTTTTGAATCATCTGATTTTAGCGACCTTTTTTATTGATTAAATAAATAAACGACGCGTCACAGCGCGACTTCACGCGTATATTTTTTACTTTTTATAACTTTTCGATATACGGATAGGCTTCTTCTTCTTTTTTACGATACGTGGACGGTAATGATAATAAGCGAAGTATAATTATTATTATTACTAGTTCGTAATTCTTATATTTACGATTTAATATGTGGATTGAAATGCAGTTTTTGCGGCTGCGCGTAGTTACCGTTAGTGCAATATTTAAAAGAATAAATGCGGGACAGATCGCCCGGCTTAGTACATAGTCAATTGTCGACACAAGACGATAAGCGACGCGAAAAAAAAAATAAAATGAAATTTGTTAACCGAGCCGCCCCTTACCTCGATAGCTAGCGACACATTTTACTACTACTACTTTTGAAATAGCGTGTATATGTACCAGGGTATCGTGGCGGCCCGGTCTACGATTAGCACCAAAGTAGATTATATTTTTTATTTATCTAAATACTTTTTAGAAAGTTTTTATTACAAGTAACGATACTATTGTTTTTATATTGTTTTTTTTTGTACATTTTTATATATGTTTGTTAGTAAAGCGCGGTTCAAGCGGTCGATTTCTTTTGCCAGGGAAGTTTCTAGTACCACCTATTTTGTTGAACATGAAACTTTTTATGTTTTATATAAATATTATAAAATGTCTGTGTTTATTTGATAAACTGCTGTTATATATTTTAAACCATTCGTCTTATTCTTTTCCATTATTCAAATCTTAATCCTATATCTTACCATATTCATATTCGTATTCCACCAATAACAATAATTTTGATACAATCCATATTGCAGGTTTAAATGAGGTATTAATAATAAAAAACTTAATAATTTTTAAAAAACTTCTTTCCTGCTTTATTTAAATTTCCTCGGAACCGGTTTCGACCTTTACTTTAGGTCATCATCAGCCGAATCAAATCTTTCAAAAATTAACATAAATCAATAATATATCAAACTTCTTTAACATTTATAAAAAACTATTATTACAAACACTCGAAAATAAAAAAAATTTTGGTATCATCTTAATCACTTTTATTCCTGTATTAAGCTCTCTCCACTAACGGTATTAAGGTAAAAATCACAAATTTTTATATATTAATTATAAACACCAAAATTATTTTTTTATCCAAAATATATTTCAAAAACAAAAACCAATCTTACAAGAATTACAAACATAAAAAAAAATAATTTTTATCAATAATATGAATATGACGCATCCGGAACACTGGCTTCGGCGTGATGCTCTTCGGAACCATTTCCGTTTTGCTGACGGCCATCGTGACCATCATAATCAACAGAAGCCGCAGCGGCGGCTCTTGCGGCATTATTTTGCGCTTCTCTTGCTGCTTGTTCTGCATTGGCCGCTGCGTGTCTAGTTGCTCTAAAATCAATTAAAACTCCCTTTAATTGATCTGTGAGTTGTTCCAATCTTTGTTCGGCAGATCCAACCATCGACTCTTGGGCGGCTAATTCTCCGGCAGCTTCAGCGGCTGCTCTGTTAGCTTGTTCAGAAGCTGCTTGGGCGACGTTCGAGGCTGCTTGGAGTACATTAACGTGTTGAGCGGCTTGTCTCGATGCTTTTTGAGCTGCGTCGGCTGCTCTTTCTGCTTGGCGAAGTTGTTGTCTTTCACCTTCCAATGCAACCTTAGCATCACGTACTTGTTGTTCTAAACCTTGGAGGAGAATTTGTTTTCCAGCTAAAGCGGCTTGAGCTGTTGCTGATGCCTAAAAAATTTATTAAGAAAAAATATTAAAAAAAAAAATTTGACTTACTCCTGCTGCAGCTTGAGCTAAAGTATTTTTAGCAACATAAGCAGCTTGACTGGCCGCTAAATGTTGGTTTTGAACAGCGTTGTGAGCTTGTTGTGCAGATCCTTGAGCAATACTTCTCAATCCAGCCCCAACACTAGCACCTTCCTTTTTGCCGATATCATTTTCGTCGTTATTGATGGACCCATCTCCATGGTTACTTCTAATGTGACGGTAAAATTCTGGGGTTGCAGAAATAGCAACTGAAAAGTTAACGAAGTGTAATCAAAATTCTCGAGGGATATTTTTTAAAACTCACGGGTGAAACAAGCCACTAAAACGAGTTGGGAGAACATGTTGAGTGTGTTTAAACAAATCTTGATTGTTGGCCAAATGTAGCAATCCGCCGATATTTATACTTAAATTTCGGATCTATAGGGAATATTGATTGGGTGTTTAGTGGGAGATTATATAAAAAAAGATTTGAAAGTACAGGAATTATCAAAGAAAATTAAACACAAAGATGTGTACATAAATAGGACATAAAGATGATTGATTTTTTTTTGTAATGAAATTTTTTTTAATTTATTTCAAAATTTGTGATTAATTAAGATTATTTTCTTATTATTTTAATTTACTTTGTCTTAATTTCACATTTGATCCTCTCTGTATAAACTAAATTCCGTGAGGTAGGAGAAAAAGTACAACCGATATAATGCGGTCAAGCAGAACACAGCTTTTTATTGTTACGACATCATTTTCTTCTAAATTTCTTTAGCTACATAACTTTGGTTATCGTAACAAAACGATTTTCCTTCAGGAAGTTTAAATAATCAATATTAAAATGTTGATTAATTTTAATCGTGCGATATTAATTAAATTAGGTATTAATTTGATATGTAAGGTTTTTTTGTTGTTTTTCCGATGGGGTAAAGTTTGTGTACTAAAAGTTTAAGTACCAATTGATGCACTCCGACGATACGGCTCCTAAAAGCCTCTATAAAACCACAAATATAATCATAATTACGGTTGAGACCATTAAAATTTCTGCAATACAAGATTTTTTTAATCTCCTTAATCACTTAAATCACCATCATGTTGAATCATGTCTTAAAATATTAAGATTTTTTTTAATTCTTCAAAAAATACAACAGAATATGTTTTTTGGAAGCCGAAGCAGCCGAGGTAAGGAAGGGTAAAAAATTAATTTCTGATTTTAAGAAAATTGTGTAACATAGGAGTCGATTCCACCATGTTGTTGAGATGTTCTTAATTTTAGAAAGTCATTAAACCTTGTTTTTAATTTAATTGTGTTTTTCAGTTGAGCCAGGTTTAGTGGATAAGATTTCTTTGAAGATTAACAAACCTATTTATAAACATGACGAACGACGATGAATACATTTTCACCAGAACTATAATTAGAGCTACGGCGTAACAGTGACGAACATACAAATACATTGTTTTTCTTAAAAACACTTCTGCTATTCAATTTTGATCCAAAGAGTGTGTGAAACACTCAAAAATGTCGACTACTTATAAATAAGGAAACTCTACTCCTAATAATAATAATATTTTTGACTATCAAGAATTTGGGAATTGACTAGATTTGAGAATTGGAAGTATTTTGCCGAAGAAGTCAGATCTACGTGATTATGGCGAAAATATTAATATTTTAGCAGTTTGTTGCTGCTAGCTCATCAGCCGTTTCATTTTCATTGAGGTTGGTACGTTTTGTAATGTAGATTATTTATTTATTTATACATGGGAGTAGCGACACGAGTATGTATAAAAACAAAATTAATTCTATCTGGGTACAAAACTGAGCATGGCGCATCGAATAACACGTCTAAAATGGTTTGGCGTAAGGACAAGTATGTCTAACCTAAGGCGATAAGAACTAGTTCGAGCTGTTGGTGTGTAAAATAAAAAATCATATCATAACCTGAAGAGGAAGCGAACATCACTACAATATCTACGCTGCTGAAGCGTGGGAATATGGTAGATTTGGCAGGCAAACGCGATATAGTAAACCATGTTGTACAGATTATGTCAAAACTAACCACAGCTGACTTAAAGCTGAGTAGTAGCAATGACCATTGACTAATCTGAACAGGAAACGAACATCACTACAATATCTACGCTGCTAAAGCGTGGGAATATGGTAGTCGCAATAACCATTGAACAACCTGAAGAGGAAGCAAACATCACTACAATATCTACGCTGCTGAAGCGTGGGAATATGGTAGATTTTTCGCGATTCAGTACACCATGTTGTACAGCTGACTTAAAGCTGAGTTTATCTGGAATGTTGTACAGCTGAGTTTATCTGGATTCAAACTGATGGAGAAAGTAATCTTGGTCGCCCCAATTAATACAAACACCAACATCGTATGAAATCTGGTAGATTTGAATTGATCTTGACCAATTTCAAAGGCATGGTAAATAGTATTAAAATTGTAATTTGATTCATTTGTTTATTTACAAATAATTTAACACCAACTAATTAATAAATTTTAAACAGCTATGACCCTTTTTCTTCTATTTCAACTTTTTGCTCATTTACACTTTGCTGTTCCTCCAACATTTTCTGTTGTTCCAAAGCTTTTTGTTCCATTTCTTGAAGTTCCTTCATACGCCTTTCAACAATCTTCTCCTGCATTCCTGAGTAAACTTTAATCAAGCGGTTGTTGCAGTTTATGTATTTAGAGGCGCAACGATCAACGCATAATTCTTCTTCGGGGTTTAATTCTCTTGAATTAAGTGTCGTTATACAATTCGAGAAGCATAAGTCGGACATAACATTATAAAGTTGTAGAAAGTCTCTGAACTAAAATTGTATAATAAAAAATTTATTGATTAATTTGTGGTGAATTACCGTTTTTAATTGATGAGTTTCCATAATGTTCGATTTTTTTAAAGGTTATGTTTGTTTTGTAGGTTAGGTTACTAAATTTTATGATTTTTTAAAACGTTAAAGAATTTTAATTAATATTTAAAGAAAATTGCGTTTTAATTTATCAAAAATGCTTATTAATTTTTAAATTAATAAATACATTTTTAATTTTTGTGTGATGTATTTAGGGATTTTATTTTCTAACTGCCTCGTTTTCTTAGATACACACTAAACAGACTAAACAGGCATGTAGAAGCTAACTTCACATTCGTGATGTTACCAGCTTTGGATGGTCAGGTTTTTGTACAAAAAGCAACAACAAAATGTTCAACAAAACGCGATTAATGTTACATTAACTAGTGTTGTTGCTTCTTAATTATTAGTTTTGGATAAAGCACCCACGATGACGGACAAATTAAAAGTGCGTATCCGTACGAATCTGCCTTTAAAAAGTTCTTTGATTATTTGTGTTTTTTTAGAAGATACCGCAACAAAAACTAAAAGCATTTACCATAGGCACGATGGGGAAAAGGCCCCTTTCAAAAAAAGAGTTAGAAGAACAACGCAAAAAAGAAGAAGAAAAAGCGGCGGCTCATGTAAGAATTCATTAATAATCAGTTTTTTTTTTCATAATAATAATCGTTCTACAACTATTTAATTATTTTAAAGGCGTTTCAAGAGTTTGTTGAAACATTTCAAGAAACACCGCTTAATGGATCAAGCAAAGTTTGGGTTAAAGCCGGTACTTATGATGCTGGGGCAAGAAGTAAGTTTAAATGGAAGTTAATAATAATTATGTACCATTCTTTTTGTTGATATTGAATGTTTTAATGACTTTTTATGATATGAATCATACTGTTACATACCACAATACCCAATACAGGCTTTAAATCCAATCATAATTATAAATCTAATGATATGTATTAAGTAAATCTTTGTAGACAACAGTTGTCTGTTATGTTCATAAGTTTTCAACTATTAAGTGTTTTTTAAATTAGTATTGTGTAGAAAAAAAATAAATATTAAAGAAAAACAAGAAAAATTTTATCCATTTCAAGAAATGGAAAATTTACTACTTATATTAAAGACAAAGAGATGAGAAGGAAGTGTATTTATTTGTGAAAAAGCACTCAGAATTTTTAATGACTTAAAAAGTTGAATGACAAATATAGAAAATATGCGTTTTAATGGCTAAAGTTAGTAAGGGTTGGTTTAATTGATTTAAAAAAAGTTGTGGAGAAGCTACAAAGGAGGCAGAACGTTTTAAAATTGAATTCGCTAAATTTGTGGAAAATAACTGTTTCTTCTCCCAACAATTTTTTAACACAAGAAATCCAGGTCATAAACCTATAAAAGATAACACTTCTTCTTGTTGCAAATTCTTCTGGAGATATGAAATTAAAACCTATGTTTGTTTATCACTCTGCCAATCCTAGAGTATTTTAAACAAAAAAAGTCAATAAAGAGAACTTGGGAGTTTACTGGCAATTTAATAAGAAAGTTGGGGTTACCCATTACCTTTTCAGTCAATGGACAAACTCTTACTCTTGATACAGAATTTGATTGGATTTCTTGCCCCAAATACAACCTCAATTCTACAACCTTAAAGAATTTTGGAAAACAATTTAATATCTTAGAATGCGTTAAATTAGTTGTAAAATCATGGGATGATCTATCCAACAACTTTAGACGCGTTTGTTATACACAAAAAACCTAAAATATAAAGTTCTCCTCAACCTTAAAGTTCCATTTTAGAGGATACTATGATCAATTTGTTTTTTCTTGATAAATATATTTTCTTATTTCATTAATTTATTATGACACCATACTGAGAATACTTGTTATCTTCAATTTTTACTACATGCATATTAATTCATGTCATTTTTAACCAAATTTGTTAAAATTATTTTTTAAATTAACCATTTTTTTAATATTCCAAATAATAGAAGAAGATACTAGAGAGAAAGGAAAACTTTATAAACCTCAATCGAGGCTCTCGAGTAGTCATGATTTACAATCGAGTGCTGAACAAGCCCAAGCGTACGCAAAATTACTCGCTGGGGATAGAAAACCGGAACGGTTAGGGAAGAAAAAACCGTCAACTAAGAGCAATTTAGAATCATTTAAGGAAGAATTAAGACAGTGAGTAATAAACGTGCAATTTAAATCATAACTTATTTATTATTTTAACAGAATTCAAGAGGAACGAGAAGAACGCCACAAATACAAAGGTTCAATTCGGACGCCGATTGAATCCGAGTTGGATTTATTTTTAAAAAGCGATGTTGGATCTTTTGATAATGGAGATCCAACGACGACAAATTTGTATTTAGGAAATTTAAATCCTAAGGTACATTAATCAAAACACTAATTAATTAACACGTTTGCTACCGCGCCTTCTCCAGTAGTTTTTCATTCATAGTCAAAATATCAGCATTGTGCCACATTCTGAAGCATGGATCTACGCATAAACCAGCGTTTTCTGGATTTCTTGTAAACTCCACCTCTGCTACACTTTCGATTTCATCGCGAATTTGTCTCCAGATAATGGAATTCATCATTGACCTTTATAACTTCTTTTCTGAACCTCAAGAGATCGATTTTGGCACATATAGGGTGTGTCAAATGTTTGAAATAACTTAACCATTTGTGGTTTTAAAGAAAAATGTTTCAAATACCATGTGTTAATTAATTAACGTACCCGACTTCATCATTGAAAGTATGTAACCCATATCACAGCATGCGTATTGCAATACGCATGCTATGATATTGGTTGCATACTTATATTGCATTAATTAACACACTGTACAAGTTTCTTTATTAATCGTGGCGCATTTTTTGACGAAATTTGCTTGTTTGTGATGTTGGCAACAAACATTGTTATTTTAAATGGGATGCATATTTTGATAACATAAGAAAATAGTTTTCGCATCATCACCACAGAAACAGCCTAGACTTTCAAGTACATGCTACGATATTATAACTTATTATAAGCACCATTTAAATGCATTAACACACGCGTCCAGTACGCTGGACGCCGGTAGCGAACGTGTTAAGTTGAGTTTACACGATTCTTTTAACAAACCAGATTAGTGTTTTCTCCTTTACTGTACTAAATATCGCGTAAACTACTTTATAAATTAGTTTAGGTATCACAATATAAATAAATTGTTTTAAATTAATTAGATAACGGAACAACAATTAATGGAAATTTTTGGTCGATTTGGTCCATTAGCAAGTATAAAAATAATGTGGCCCAGATCCGACGAAGAAAAATCGCGGGGTCGAAATTGTGGTTTTGTGGCTTATATGAGCCGAAAAGATGGCGAGCGAGCTTTACGTAATTTAAACGGCAAAGATATTATCGGTTATGAAATGAAATTGGGTTGGGGAAAATCGGTTGTTATCCCACCTCACCCGATTTATATCCCGCCATCCCTTTTAGAACTTTCACTTCCACCGCCACCATCCGGTTTACCGTTTAACGCCCAACCCCAAGGTAAAGATAAAGATGTTTTACCGAAATCCACCGAAGAATTTAATGAAGTTCTCGGTAGAGCTGTTGTCAAAGTTGTCATTCCAACCGATCGAAACCTTTTGATGTTGATTCATCGAATGGTGGAATTTGTCGTACGTGAAGGGCCAATGTTTGAGGCGATGATTATGAATCGGGAGATTAATAATCCAGTATTTAGGTTTTTATTTGAAAATCAAAGCCCAGCGCATCTTTATTATCGTTGGAAAATTTATTCAATCATGCACGGTGATTCGCAAAAAGAGTGGTCCCATAAAGAGTTTCGGATGTTCACGGAAGGTTCCATTTGGAAACCGCCGCTAATGAATTGTTACACTTCCGGTATGCCGGACGAACTTGTTGTTGACGACGATGAACGTGCTTCAACAAAAGGAACTTTATCAAATACGTAAATATTTCATTTCTATTACTTTTAAGTAAGACTTATTATAAATTTTGTTTTTGTTATAGACAAAGAGATCGATTAGAAGATTTAATACGAAACTTAACACCTGAATCAAAAAAAATCGGCGAAGTTATGGTGTTTTGTATTGAACATAGCGAAGCCGCGGAGGAAGTTGCTGATTGCATAACTGAGTCGTTATCAAACGAACTCACTACGATTCTTAAAAAAATCGCACGACTTTATTTAGTATCCGATATTTTACATAATTGTGCGGTCAAAATAAATAAGGCTTCATCTTATAGAAAAGCGTAAGATTCTTTTAAAACAATAAATAATAAAAATAAACATTTATTTTATAAATTAGATTCGAAAGCAGATTAATAGATATAATGAAACATTTAAAATCAACGTTTGATAAACTCGAGGGGCGAATGAAAGCTGAAGGATTCAAATCGAGGATTTTAAGAACGCTTAAAGCTTGGGAAGATAATATTTATCCAAAAGTGTTTATGGATAAGTTGCATAATGCGTTCTTAGGGCTCGAAATTGAAGTAATAAATGCTAAAATATACACTAAAATGTCTAAATTAAAAATCTAATCCTTCAGGTTAAAGAAGAAGAGAATGAATCGGACAACATCGATGGCGATCCCCTACAAGACGCCATCGAAGACGAAGAAGACGCGCCGATGGACGGAGCAACTCTATTAAAAAGTGCAATGAAACAAAAATTCAGAAGTCCGTCACCTTACGAAGATATTGATGGTAAATATATTAGTAACAAATTTAGCCTCTCATTGACTTATATTTAAACATAGGTAAAGCAATCGATGATATATTAGACGAAAAAGATAGTGATAAAGTAGGTGTAGTGGCGTTATCCGGATTTATTCGATCAAAATGGGAAACGGTGGACCCCGAACAAGTTGAAGCTCAAGCGATGACGACGAGTAAATGGGATCTTCTCGAAAGTAGCGCGGACGCGAGTTTGGATAGTACGCAGAACGACACTCAAGATTCGAACGATGGTAGCGACCTCAGGTAATACGAATTCGTAACAAACAAAAATAAAACATAAACACACACTTAAATAATAAATTTAAAAAAATGAAATGAAAAGTGGAGAAAAATAGTATGGGAACTGTGTTGGGTGCGGTTTATTTAGTGAACTTTACGGAGCTGTTTTATTGAGTAGGGCTATGACCGAGGAAAGGCGTACAAAATTGCGAGAAATCGAGGTTAAGGCGATGGAATATCAAGATGAATTAGAATCGGGGTCGCGATCTCTCAAGACCGGATGGTCTGTGCCCCAACAAGTTGAACATTACAGGCGCAAGTTGCTCCGGAAGTCAGAGAAGGAGCGTAAGGAAAAGGAAAAAGCCGAGAAGACCGCTTCATCTAGACACAAACGCGACAAAACCGACTACGATGGCGACAAAATCGATTCCTCCGATGAAGAATCCAATTACTACAAAGACATGTGAGTATAGGATGCGAACATAACGCGGATTTTCATTTTAAAATAATAAACGACTCAAATTCAATGCAAAATTATTTTGCATTTAGTTTGATAAACGCGATTTATTTTATTTTCTACGATAAATTATTCGAGCTCACGATTGTTAATGATGTTGTAGTACTAGAAAACTTAAAAAGCATGTTCGAAGCTCTTCGAGTGGTTCCTCTTCAAAACACAGGTAACAATTTCAATACAATTTTTTTTATATAGATATATTTAGATTTAAGTAGCAGAAATTGGAGAGTTTTAGGTTATTCTTCCCAACATTTTTACTTTATCCCACCATTTTAATGATTTTTTGGTGAATTTAATTTTGAAAGTGGTGGGGTGAATAATTTAGAACATTTCAATCTCTTCTACTCATTTAATAAATTATTTATGTATGAAGGCAGTAAAAGTCGAAGTAAGGAATAATTATTGTATGACCTAAAATCTATAATAAAGTTATTCGATTTAGGTCCTAAAATAATTAACATAGACTCTGTATTAAGAAAGGAAAATGATATTTTTACTAAAATGGGGTCTCTTTTCTATGTTCTCGGAGTATTTTAGCTCCAAGTAGATAAAAAAAACACCCTAGTATAGAAAAACTTTTTGCTTAATAATTTGGTGTAATAAAATTGTAAGTAAATTTGGATGTAAAAATGATTAGTATTAGAGTTTAATAAGTACGAGATTGTGTGTGATTTTAGGTCAAAAAGTCGTTCACCAACACGAAAAAGACCACCAAGAGCGCCAAGTCCGCCGAGTCCCCCCAGAATACGTCGACATTCCCCCTCGACGACCTCCCGTTATCGACACCGTAGCCCTTGTTCGCCGAGTTCGAATGGCAAGTACAGCCCTCAGACTCGGTACCGCACTAGTAGCCGCTATTCCCCGTACTCACCCCGCTCTTCCAAATACGATCACAAGTCTAGTTCCAGATCGCCGTCTAGATCCAAACACCGCACTTCACCGGAAACTTCAAGGAAACATCGTCATAAGCATAAGTTTTAAAAAAATATATTTGCTTTTCGCAGTGATTTTTTGACGATGATCCGTTTTTCCGATTTCGAGGTTTGTATTCGGAAGCAATTTCTTAACCCATACGAGCAACTTAACGGAGACTACTATTCTTTTCTTATTTTTTTTTTTTTTTGTTTTATTTCCTCTGATTTAGTTCAAGATTTTCCCTTTCTTGGCTTTAACGATATCACGATATATAATAAGAAGTTCCATTTAAGGATGTAGTAGGTGGGGAGTTAATTAAGTTTGTCCACAGCGATGGACTCTCCATCTACTGCATTCTTAATAACAAAGGTATATATATATATGATTTGTAATGAGATGAATCCACATTTCGGAATTCAATTTGGATAGGAAAAGGTTAATATGTATAGTAATTATTAATGTATTGTTATTCTTGCAACCTACGGAGTGTTAATTAATTATCGTACCCGATGTCATCATTGCAAATATGCAACCAACATCACAGTGCAATACGCATCATGCGCAAATCGCGTATTGCAATACCAATACTGTGATTTTGGTTGGATACTTGCAATGATGACGTCGGGTACGATAATTAATTAATATTCTGTATTTCGACGTTATGACCGAATTACCAAAAAAATTAGATTTTGATATAGAATTATGTATTTTAATTTTGTGCTAATTCGGTTGTATGATCTATTAAAACGAAGTGGGTGTCGAGAATCATAATATATTAGTTAACATTTTGTATATCTTTTTCTATCACTACTATTTTGGTTTCCTTTTAAATATTTGCAACTCAGGCACTTTAGATATGACATTGCTAAACAGTTTTTTCCCAAACGTTCATAATTTCTTTTTTTTTATTAAAAAAAATATGTTTTTCTCTGTTCGTTTTTTGTTTAAGTTTCTGTCAATTTCTAATTAAATAATTTTCACTCAAAGAAGTACAAACGTATATGATATACATACCACTTAACTGTTTATAGTCTGTAAAAATATGGTATGTATGTGTATGTAACTGTGTACTGGTGTAATAAAATTACATTTTTATTTAAGCTGCAACGCGTTTCTTTTCCCTAAAAAATTGATGTAATTTGAAATTGTAGGTGTGCCTATTTTTATCTGCAAACCTAATTTTTCCTAACTACGACTAAATTGTGGTTTATCGATAGTTATCACAAGTTGTTTCAATTAAAATTAAAATGCGTTTAAATCAACGCTACAATTGGTAGATAGGTTGCAAATAAAAATTGGATTGAACGTTGATTTTTGATACTTGTCATGAAGACAAACAATCAAATCTCGTCATTAGATCAATAGACTTTTTTAAATTATAAAAAAATTATTATCAAACTGATTGTTATATATATATATATGTTCCGGTTGCGATTTCTCAGTACTAAGATCGATTAGTGTCTGATATTAATAAGTGTATATTAGAACATTTCAAACAAAAATGACGGGAACTACCAAACACCCCCACGATGCCGAATATCGCCTTTTGGATACGGAGTATAAAATGTAAGAAGAAATTTAATTTTAAATATTTCATTTTTCACCTTGGCGTTATTCATTATAAATTAAAGTTCAAGTATTTCTGAAACAATTCAAATAGTTTTGTGTATACATTTATTTTAATAGATAAAAAAGTTAAAATCTAAGATTTCGCTTTGATTAAACAATAATTTTTTTTATTATGAGACTTTATTTATTAACTACGCAAAAATTGATTGACGCAAATGGTACTGAAGAAATTAAGAAGAAAACAATTTCAAAATTTATTACTTCAATTTATCTTCAATTGAAGTTAAAAATTGTTACATTTTATGTTGTGCAAATAATGATACGGTAAATCCCAAAGTTTTTCAACTATCATCAAAGACGATAACCTATTGTCGAAATCCTAAAATATTTTCGAGAATTTAATTTGACTAATATTTGGTCGTTTTGATATCTTAATTGTGATTTACAAAACAAACGTATTCCTGAACTCCCGTAATACTATTTTTCTGGATATCTATGTATCTGAGAGCAGTATTGTTAAGAATAAAATTTGCTACAATTTTTCTTCCAAAAGTTTTTTTCATTCTCCCATTCCTGTGCTGTGTATTGTTCATGACACTTGCGGCGTCAAAGACGTCGGCGAGATTATTATTATTATTTTTTCCATAAACTTGGTAATGGTATCATTTGAGATTCGGAGCGTGAAACCAAGTTTGGTAGACTAAGTATTGGTCGTGATATTTGGGGCTACTTCGAAGTCTAATTATTATTATTTTAACTAATTGTTACTATAAAACTAATTACTCAACCCCAATTTGATTAACATCTACTGCACTGCCCCATTAGAAAGCAGCGTTAGCTACATTCAGAACAGAAAATGTTATTAATTATAAATTAAAGTTCAAGTATTTCTGAAACAATTCAAGTAGTTTTGTATACATTTATTTTAATAGATAAAAAAGTTAAAATCTAAGATTTCGCTTTGATTAAACAATAATTTTTTTTATTATGAGACTTTATTTATTAACTACGCAAAAATTGATTGACGCAAATGGTACTGAAGAAATTAAGAAGAAAACAATTTCAAAATTTATTACTTCAATTTATCTTCAATTGAAGTTAAAAATTGTTACATTTTATGTTGTGCAAATAATGATACGGTAAATCCCAAAGTTTTTCAACTATCATCAAAGACGATAACCTATTGTCGAAATCCTAAAATATTTTCGAGAATTTAATTTGACTAATATTTGGTCGTTTTGATATCTTAATTGTGATTTACAAAACAAACGTATTCCTGAACTCCCGTAATACTATTTTTCTGGATATCTATGTATCTGGGGTCAAAACTGCATAGAGCAATATTGTTAAGAATAAAATTTGCTACAATTTTTCTGCAAAAAGTTTTTTTATAACATGCTCCCATTCCTGTGTATTCTTCATGATATAACAAATAATCTGGTGGCGGTGTCTTGTATGTATGTATGGATTGGGGAGTGCATGCAAAACCGCACGCCACACTTAGGCCCCATTGGGCCCCTTGTGCATCCTCCCATTACACACTCTGGTCACATCAACCAGCCTAAGGATTTACCAAAGGCTAGGACAGCTCCTAGAGGTGCATTCCTGATGTCATCTGTGGTTGGCCATTCCTCCCCGAAGGTCCTCATTCTGAGGTCGGTCAGAGAGGGGCAATCACACAAGATGTGTTTAACCGTCTCGTCATCCTGTTCACAGGCTCGACAGAGAGGAGAGTCAGCAAGCTTCATGTTTTGAAGGTGCTTATTTACTTTACAGTGTCCCGTGAGGAGACCTGTGGCAGTGCGAAGGGCACTTTTACCGAGCCCTACGAAAAACTGGGCTGTTGCGGCTGAAGGATATTTTAACAATTCCTTAGCGAGATGACAGCCCGGGGTACGGTCCCACCCGTTTAAAAATTTTTTGTGGGTAATGTGCTTTATTAACTCGATATGAGTGGCTAAGGAGGGGGTAATTATCGGCTCGGGTGCACAGGGCGCTCTACCGGCAGCACGTTTGGCTAGCCTGTCCGCGTGGTTGTTACCCTTGGAGCCGGAATGCCCTTTAATCCACTGGATTCTGACAGAATTGTATTTCGCGGCCTCCTCCAGTGCTTTGTGACAATCCATAACTACTGCAGACGTTATAATAACTCTGCTTAAAGCTAAAAGAGATTGTTTACTGTCTGTAAAAATAGTAAAACACTTACCCCGCTTGTTGGATTCAACAATGCAGTCAGCAGCAAGTTTAATAGCAGTTAGTTCCGCTTGTATGACGGTGGTGCTGGACCCTAAAGGTTCTGAGAGGCGAATCAGGGGATCGTGAGAGAATACCCCCGCGCCTGCACCATTTCGTCCTTTTGAACCATCAGTGTAGATCTTTAAGGTTCTATGTACATCTACAACTGTGGGACTGGCGTGGGTGAGGTACTTCCTTGAGAAAACATATTTTGCTGGTCTGTGATCAGTCTTACACTCGAGTAGGTGTCTAGGGTGGCGGTGTCTTAATATTAATAAAAGATTCAATCCAGTCCACGCCGGTGCTTAGTACAGATGATTACTGTCAGGAAAAGGATGTGGAAATTACAGCTGTAACCCTGAAAAAATATAACATTGGTGACAAGGAAAAACTGAAATGGTACCTGGTAGACATTGCAGAAACGTATCCTAACTATAGAGTGCTACTTTCCAGAGATTTTAACACAAATTGTATGCATAGCAACCAAGATTCCATGGCGGTTCGTAACATATTCAATATGTTTGGAATGGAAGGTTTCTTGTATGTATGTATGGATTGGGGAGTGCATGCAAAACCGCACGACACACTTAGGCCCCATTGGGCCCCTTGTGCATCCTCCCATTACACGCTCTGGTCACATCAACCAGCCTAAGGATTTATCAAAGGCTAGGACAGCTCCTAGAGGTGCATTCCTGATNCCATGTGTAGGTCTATTTGGAGGAGTGAAAGATGTTCGAAGATGGCATCCGATCAGGCTGATACCGCTTCTCGCCTCGCCTTCAGCCGGGCTGGTACTCCAACGCCCAGCAATTTGAAGACGACCCCCAAGCCGGGCTGGTACTCCAACGCCCAGAAACTTGGGTGCATGGCTGAGTACCGCTCAAAGAGCGCAGACGCGCTTTCAACCCGTTTTTACGTTCACAACCTCCAACTACACATGTATCTGACGACAACCAGAGATGTTAGACTGGTTGCCGGGACCGACGGCTTAACGTCCCCTCCGAAGGACGGGGAGGCGACTCGGCGTGTATTCACTGGGAATCGAACCCAGGACGCCGGCGTGGTAGCCCGAGAGCTTACCACGGGGCCATTCGCCCCCCCTGGAAGGCTTCTTTTCCAATCCTTCTACTTAGAGTATCACCAGGATCCGCAACCTGCATAGATAATATATTTACAGATTTAATAAACATCGAGGGAAAACTACAAATCCACACTTATCTGGTCATTTTGCGCAGATTGCTAAAGTAACAACAAAAATTACTTAAAAACCAGCTCTTAATCCAACAAAAGGAAGCCTTGACGAGATAGCTGCAGAAGCATATTTAAAGCGATGCAAATATTAACTGTCCCTAGCGTCTACATACTGACGGCAGTTACCCTTCTGCATAAGAACAAAATGAGATATTCATCTCATAGTGATATCCACCAACATGACACTAGGCAGAAGAACAGGATCGTCATTCCATAATACCGCATCAAAAGAGCACAACAAAGCACTAATTATATGTGCATAAAATTATATTATAAATTGCCACCAGCGTATTCTGAGTTGTCGTTGCCCATCTTCAAACCATCTCTCAAATCAATAGAGGAATACTTAAATTGCATTTTTTATTGAATATTATTATTATTTTTTTGTATTGTTGACTATTGTATGCACATAACAATACATTGGGTGAGATTATTATCTTCTTATTTCTCAGAATCGTGCAATAGTTCCAAGGCTGTTTTTAATAAATTGACACTTTATGCGCCTGTTAGGCTTTTAATAAAAAACTAAGCAACTGGAACTTTCGCTGCTTCTGGAAAGTTCACCAAAGCATTCTTTTCCGATGGAATTGAATCATGATTACTTCTAAGATTCACTCATCCATAAAATCTATTTTCATACAAAATTCAAATTTTTTGTAGCAATTTCATTAATAATAAGATTTATTAAAATCTTTTCTGTAAAAGCATCTTATTTTTCCTTATGGAGCTAGCTCTCACCAGAACATTTAGAATTTTCGTTTCTTCCAGAACTGAAGAGTCTGGTAATTTTGCAAGCTCGAATAATACATTTTCATTCTCACAGATGGAACTGTTTTAGGTCTCAACCTCAATTTTTTAATGAAATATTTCTAATTTGACGTTCGAACAAAATCTTTGAGACCTAAAATTATTAAAGATTAAATTTAAATTAAAAAATTTTGGTTCATTTTATTTTATGGTAAGATAACAATACAAAAATAAATATTTTATTATATATATTTGTTAAATAATAAAAATTTTATAAAATTTCTCATTTTAATTGATGTTATAAAAAAAATTGATAATATAATAAAACTCCAACTTCACCTCACTAAGTGAAGCGACCTACCAAAAAAGCAACCCCATTAAAAATACAAAAAAAAAGTCGACGATGTCTGGCACAAGACGCATCGCTTCAACACTACCAAAACCGCCTTTCGGCCGTATATATAAGCACTTGCAGAACGTTTTGCCATCCTATTAGCGTTTAAGTTCTCGTTTGGTACGGGTCGCGGTAAAATCTTCTTTAAACGCCACATGTTTTAGGCCTCATTCACACTTTTCTTCTTATTAAAATACGTTTTTGTTCTTTATAATTTAATTAAAATAGTAAAATGAACGGTGGTGAAGTTGTCGGACCGGAAGAGACGCCAAATTTAAAAAAGGAAAACTGGAGGAATCTTGTTGCCTATTGGATTCTTGGGTTGTGTAACAATTATGGGTACGTCGTTATGTTGAGTGCTGCCAAAGACATTTTACATGCTCAAACGCCGGAAACATGGGGTGATGAGGTGAGTAATTTATTTTTTGAGCCAACCTGAAAACTTATCTTACTGCAATGAGTGCAACCCAAATATTTATTTTCACCGAGATAAATATATTTTTATATGATAAATAAGAATTAAAATACCGGAAATACTAAACATAAAAGCATTTGAATATTTTGTTTATTAAACAACCATGACCAACACTAAAGATAATAACGTTCAGCAAGAAATTCGCTGATAATGAAAGACGGATTTGTTACAATTGAATGAACTTTATTTAAATTTAGATTCGTTTTAATTATTAATAATTTCAACAGAGTATTTTCGCAATCGTCTCAAAAATAAATTTAAAATAAAAAAGAATAATCAAAAACATTTTTGTTTCACAATTTCGTTACAAATTTGATTTATCTGCCCATTTAGGAAGTGCGACAACAACAAAATACATCTTAAAAAAATAATGTGTTTCTTGAAAACAAGTTTTTGAAATCAATTTTTAACGATCTATTGATAAAGGTGTGCAATTATATCGTAAAACAATGAAAAACACCTTCCTTTTTAGTCTAATTATCGGAAAGAAAATGTATATAGATTTTTTGTGTTATCTATCTAACCCAAGTGTGTTCGTACTTAACAAATACTTGAAATAATTTTATAAAAAAACAACAACCAGTACGTTATATAACAATTTTCTTTTTGATTTATTGCGTAGTTAACTTTTTTTTATTACGAGCGATTTTAATTATTTTATGGACGCGAAACCAATAAAAAAATGTTATAAAGATACGCAATACAAGAATTTAATTTTTATTGTATTAAAATTAGATTTCAAAAACATAACCGCAACCTTCGCGGGTCATGAATAAAACAAACGGGATTTAGAAATTTTTTAAGTGGGGAAGTCCCCTTGGTTTGCGCAAGAATTGTCACGACAGGTTGTTTATTGGAATATGTTGGGTATTTTTTTTAAAAGCATTCGCACGCCACATCAATTAATCCCAATTGGCATTCATTGAGGATCAATAAAAACTCACGACCTCTAATCTTTTTTTTTACTTAAAATTTAATGAAATTATCTATTTTTTTTTTATTTTTAGGGCCATAATAGCGAAAGAGACTGCAATTATATGTCAACGGGGGCCATATTACTAGCTGATATCCTTCCTTGTTTAGTTATTAAATTAATAGCACCATTTTTACCGTTTTTCGTCCAGTAAGTTATGATGAAAATTAATTAATTTCCTTGGCTAATTAATTTTTTTTCAGCGTACGCGTCGCTTTATGTGTTTTATCAGCGGCTGGTGGACTCCTTTTGGTTGCTTTCAGTGAAAGCCAGTTTATGTCCATCTTTGGGGTGGTGATAACATCGTTCAGTTCGGGTCTGGGCGAAGTAACTTATTTGCAATACAGTTCGTTTTATCACAAGTAAAAATTACTCAAAAAATGAAATAAAAATCTTTATTACTTTTTTTAATTAATTTAGAAACGTAATTTCTTCGTGGTCATCTGGTACGGGAGGTGCTGGGGTGATCGGAGCTTTATCTTACGCCGCTTTGAATAAGCTCGGAATTAGAAACGCTCTTTTAATCATGTTGATTGTCCCCGTTTTGATGGGAGTATCGTAAGTTTAACTAACAAATATATATATTATTAATTATATTTATTTATTATTAATATATATTTATTTCGATTTTTAGTTTTTGGTTCATTTTACGACAGCCAGACGAGAAAGGCGATGTGGCACTTCAACATAAAATTAACAAAGATGAAATTAATGATCCTTACGAAAGTTTCAAAAAAAAATTGGCTATCTTACCTGGGTTAATGAAGTTTATGATCCCTCTCGGATTAGTTTATCTGTTTGAATACTTTATTAATCAGGGAACTGTAAGAGTCGTTTTAAAAGTATGATTTAATTTTATTTTTTTTAATATTTTAGTTTGAATTAATAAATTATGATGATACATTCATTGACCACGCCGCTCAATATAGATGGTTGCAAGTTGATTATCAAATTGGTGTCTTCATATCGAGATCGTCGGTTAATTTGATTCATATTAAAAATATTTGGATCATGGCGATTCTTCAACTTTTCAACGTCGCCATCTTCACAACGGAAGCTATCTTTTATTACATTCCAGCGTTTTGGGTTGTGTTAATTTTGACTTTGTGGGAAGGTCTTTTAGGGGGTGGAGCTTATGTTAATACTTTTTATAGAATTTCCACTGAGGTGAGTGCTCTACGTGTTTTGTATATTTAATTTAAGGTGGCTAAACATTTTTTGTTTAGGTTTCAGAAGAAAATAAACAATTCTCTATGGCCACAACTAGTTTTGCTGACTCCGTAGGGATTACTTTAGCAGGAATTTTCGCGATTTTCGCACATAACGCAATTTGCGATATGCCGAAACCTGTACGATTAACTTTTTAATTTATTTATTTTTAAGTAGGTTGTTTTAATTTTTATATTATTAATTTTGTTAGAGTAAATTATTTTTTATTGACTAATTTTTGTATTTATATTTTTTGACTCTCAGGTCGAACAAATTTTTTAAGAAAAAATCAAGATTATATGAAAGAAATAAACGATTTTTATACGAATTTGTTTTTTCTCTCATTCTTATCTACATTTCTTTATAAAAATACAGAAATATTTACTTAATTTACGCTAATTTAAATGGCAAACAACTTGTTGTTTCCAACTCAACATATTTGGCGAGGATTATTTCATTAATTTAACATCAAAATTAAACAAACAAGAACAACTTACTACTTAATAAACTACAAAAATGTAGTATAAAAAATATATTAAAAAATTAATAAGCGGTTAATTTAAAATAGGAACTTATTTTAGCTTTTACAAATTCATGTCTTTTTATTCTTCATTTTTTGTTTTATTCACGACCAAAATCAGTCTTCTTAACACCCCCGATTTCTTACAACTCCTTTACCCACTTCTTCGTATTCTTGCTTAGAAACCCAGAGTTGAGTAAAAGTACCCAAGGAACTTAAAATCGAACCACCAAGCCATGATGCAAATCGTTTTTCCGACATTCCAGCTTGGCTAATTATTTTTAAACGCATGCTCTACAAAAAAATTTCAACAAAATGTTATCATGAAAAAACAACATGGTCAAAAATTCATCATAACTCATAAATTAAAACCGATGGATAAAGAAAGTTTTGACAAAAATAGTTCATAATGAACCCATAAAACCTAATTCATAATCAGTTTTAACCTAGATGTTACTATTTTCTAGGAATAAAGTGAAAATTAAGAAAATATCAAAATTGATGGTTTTAATAACAAAAAATTCATCATAACTTAAAAAGTAAAATTGATGCAGTAAAGATTATGCGTGAAATTGTACACAATGAACTAAGATAACTTAATCCATAACCTGTTTCATCGTAGCTTTCGTTACTATTTAATAATAAAGCAAAAATCATCAAAATATTAAAATTGAGTGTTTTCATTCAAAAAATTCATCATAACTCATAAACTAAAAACGATGGATAAAAAAAGTTTTGACGAAAATAATTCATAATGAACCCATAAAACCTAATTCATAATCAGTTTTAACCTAGATGTTACTATTTTTTAGGAATAAAGTGAAAATTAAGAAAATATCAAAATTGATGGTTTTCATAACAAAAAATTCATCATAACTCAAAAAGTAAAATTGATGCAGTAAAGATTATGCGTGAAAATTGTACACGTTGAACTAAGATAACTTAATCCATACCCTGTTTCATCGTAGCTTTCGTTACTATTGAATAATAAAGCAAAAATCATCAAAATATTAAAATTGAGTTTTTTCATTCAAAAAATTCATCATAACTCATAAACTAAAACCGATGGATAAAAAAAGTTTTGACGAAAATAGTTCATAATGAACCCATAAAACATAATTCATAATCAGTTTTACCCTAGATGTTACTATTTTCTAAGAATAAAGTGAAAATTAACAAAACATCAAAATTGATGCTTTTCATAACAAAAAATTCATCATAACTCAAAACTATATATTATAAATTAAGAAAAAAGATTATTACCGGTGGAACTTTGCTTTGTAAATCTCGATTTAATCGATCTGTAAAACCTTGGATGTTTGAATTACCTCCAGTAACAACAACGCTACTATACATAGTCTAAAAATTGAAACAATTAAGTAAATGATTAGAAAAAAATAAGATATTTACAGGTCGATGATCAATTTCGCACATCCCAACACTTGTGGTAACTAGTGTGCTAACATCCAAAGTTGGTTGAATGCCACAACCGTTTCTAGCGGTGAGATTAAATAATGGCTCTGTTATTTTAAATCGTTCGACGCCAAAATCTTTGTGGTAACCGTTGGGAAATTCGTAATGAATAGCTGGCATGGTTTTGACGATTTCCTCGTCGTATGTAGAGTCGGAAATGTGTAAAACGGAAGCTTGGAAATCTTGCATGACTTCTTTGGTCATGTAGTTGTGCCATGACGTGGTCATTCTGGGTAAATTTCTGGATTTCCAATTTGGGATTTCATCTGGTCGTGTTATTTCTTTTGAGGCGACCATTGAGGCGGGGACGATGTCGATGTTTTTTCCTTCGAGGTAAACTTTACATTGTGCGGTTAAATAATCACCACCCGCTGGCGATTTTACCATTGCTTGGCTGATGATGTGACCATCATAAACAGGAACTGCCGATGTATGAGTTGCGCCACTATCGACAACTAAACAAGTTGAACGTCCGTTTGCAAAAGCGACTAATGACGGACTTTTCGCTAAATACAAAGCGGGAACTTTGTATTTTTCAAACATTAATTCAGTCATTTGCTCACGTTTTTGTTGGATGTTCCACTAAAACAAATGTTGGTTATTTTAATGGAAAATGAAAAAAAAAAATTTGATTTACGGCTGGTTCTGAAATTAAAATTGGGTGATTATGTGGTTCAGTTTGGAGGAGTTTATAATAAACGTAATTAACAACATTTTCGTACATGTCCCAATTTTCAACCATTCCCTCTCTTAAAAATGTTCCCATTTCCATTTCCGGTCGAGTGACGTGCAAAGAAACCGTTCCTATGTTATATCTCGTTTTGTATTCATTCACAGAATCCCTCCAAATACCAACTGTTGTTGGTATATCAAACCTTGGAGAATCTTCTCCAGCATATCCAGCCCTTATCGTATTACTACCAACATCCAAAACTAAAGCACCTATTTCATCTAACAAAAAAAATACATTCAATCAAAACATCAATTTGAAAACGTTAAAATACTTACCACCACCATAAACACCTCCACTCATCTTATTTTTCTTTGTATTGGTAAATCTCTTGCTCCAAAGGAGCTTTAGGATTATGCTAAAGCTGTAATTTAGTATCCATGAGACCTGACGGTCAACCTAAGGCGGCTTCTATGGAGGAAATTCCATTTGGAGGATCATATCAGCAGGTGGCAGCACCTATTGGCCAAATAGGACTGGTTACTGGTAGCGGAGTCCTGAAATTTATAGCCCGCCAGCGGATCAATACAACAGGAAAGAAACGCCACTGTTTGGAAACAATACGAAATTGTTTGAATACTTTCAAATTGAAAGGTTTCTGCAAAAGAATAAAATTAAATTAATTATTATTTATTTTATTTATTCATGAAAAATGTAGAAAATTATTGTATTAATATTAAAAAAAAAACTGGTTTGAAAACACATGACATCACCTGCAAAACTTGTTTATTGTGTCTTATCAAGTCTTGAAGTAATGTACTGCGTTTTATGTCTAAAATAAAAATGTTATCTTTTACTAAAGTAAGTTTTCGTAATTTAGTATCTTATATTTTAATTAAAATTATTTTTTTTAAGAATAAGTGTCGTTTTTGTATAAAAGTATTTTGTTGTGAAAAATGTCGCCAAAAGCACGAATTAAAAATTCATGATATTTACCCAAATTGTGATATTTGCGCTTACGGAAGCATAGTTTTAAAATTACCGACCGATGATTTATTGAATCACATCAAAGAGAAACATTGGCCTTTACATTGCGTTGATTGTAATCGAATCTTCGGCGCCGTCCACGAATTAATTTTACATAACAAATGTCCCTTGGCTAAAATCGAAGAAACTCCTTTAAATTACGACGCAGATACAAACGGAAAAATTGTTAATTTTGATTCAGGATCCATCGAAATACCATTCAAAAACATCACACCATCCGGAGGTGAAATATTTGATTATTCAAAAATGGGCTATTTAACAACGAGCACACCGCGAGCCGTTTCCGATAAAGTTATGAACATTTTTGAGTCAGTTACAACCAGCGAAATTAAAAGTAAAACTGATGAAGATTTTGTTAACAACGCAACGACGGATGATGTAAAAGTGAAACGATCTACAAGAACGGTTACTTTTAATGAAACACCCACTTATGAGTCATTAAGAAAAACCCCCCAAGAACAAACATCTTTAAAAAGTTCCTTAAAAAAAACTTCTTTTACAAAAACCCCGGAAAAACTAGAAATCGAAAACGTTTCTAATGATATTCAAACCCCTCAGAACTGCCCAACAATTTGGGAAACAGCAACAGAAACTCCTACACAAGATGAACTAGAAATTGAAAATTCATTTGATACCATGTTTGATTCTTGCGTATCAAGCATCCAAATCGAAGATATAACATTTGAAGGTACCCAAAAAAAAATTAAATCAAATATTTTTGATTAATAATAATTAATATTTTCATCTTCTTTTAGAAATAACAAAAAATAATATTCAAGTTTTAAAGGAGGCCCAAAACATTTTTCAAAAATCCCAACATATCAGCATATGGACCTCCATGACGTGCTTAGTAAAAAATTTTGTGAGCGGATTAAGTTCATCTTCGAATGATTTAAATAAAGATTGCTTACAATTGGAAACGCCGCGTTCCAACGCGAAAAAACGCCGAATCCAAGATGATACCACCTTTGATGAAAACGAGAAATTTGAGAAATTAAAAAAAATGAAATTAACCGATATTAAGTGCCGTAAACCGATTAATAATACGATTCCTTATTTGTTTATAAGAAAAGAGAAACCAAGTTGTGATAAATCAACACAAACTGATTTGGATTGATTTGGAAAAAAACAATTGCTTTAAATAGTAATATATTTATTTCAATAATTTATAAAGTAACCTATTTTTTTTGTTTAAGTTATCCTTCTTTTTGTAGCGATTAAAAATAAAAAAAACGTTATTACAGTTTGATGAAATGTACAGATATGCAAAAATAAATACTGTAAAGAAATCCGTTAATTTTAATTAAATATTTACACAAAAAAACGAAAGTAAGTATACTCGGGGAGGATTGTTTGGGTGGGGTGATCGAACAACTAGAAACTAGCTTTAAGAAATAAATTAAAAGAAAAATAAATCGTCAAAACTAAGGAAATGAGAAAAATATCACATATCGATAGAATATTACATACAGGAAGTTACACGAGTACCCTGGGTCAGTGACTTTTCGTTGGTTTTTGTTTTAGGGGGGAAAGCGGAAATCGGGCAATTTTTTAAGACAGGGAAAAGTGGCCGTTTTACTCGGAAATACTTAAAAGCCTATTTTTTTCTCATTATTTTTTTATCTTCCTCTTCGTAACCATACACGACTTATGTCTAACATATAATGAAGGTTATACAGCGACAGTAGACATCATACGTCTCTCCACTTCTTCCTATGTATTTATATTTATGTATATATTATATATCACAAAATGTTCGATCTGTAACGTTATTTTTTTTATCATTATTTTTTTATCGAAAAACACGACAAGCAAACCTCGCTACACTCGCGCACGCTTTTAGAAAAAGATAAATTGAACTGTATCACAGATATTTCGTAACTAAATTAACAAAATAAAAAAATATATAGGAAGAGAGATAAATGTTTTAATTACAGTAAAACCTCCATATTACGGAAGTCGTTAAAACAACTTAAGACGTGACTTTCTAGTTCTAGGTTCTATGTTTTAATTGTTATTCAGTTAAATTGTTGTATATTCGGATTTAGCACTACGTCTCTTAAGACGGCTAAACCTGAATATTTTTAGTTCAAGGAGTAGTTCTAAAACTAAAACTAGAACTAACACTAGACCTAGAACTAAAAACATTCGGGTTTAGCCGTGCGTCTGAAGACGCACGGCTAAACCCGAAACTTTCTAGTTCTAGGTCTAGTGTTAGTTCTAGTTTTAATTGTTATTCAGCGCTAAATTGTTGTATGTTTTTATTGAACGAAATGTAAAACTTACACTAGAACTAGAAAACTCGATCAAGATCTTATTTTATATAATGAACGAATAAAATAAATTAAGCATTTCCTCCCGAATCCGATATTAATCTGTTATATTGAGGTTTTACTGTATTAAAGAAAAAAGTAAACAAAAAATAAGTATTAAGAGAGGAAAGAATGAAACCTTAAAAAATAATCTAAAACAGTTTATGTTTATTCCCAAGCGCGTGCGCAACGATATTTTTAACTCGTTATAAAATGATGCGCACGCGCGAAAGAATAAAAAAAATTGTTTATATCGTTACTAAATCGATACATTCAAAAAAACTAATCTAAACTAAACTAAACGATTCTTCTTTTTCGTATTTGTACAATCGTGGAAAATAATAGGAAGGAGAAATCATCCACCAAGTCATGATTCATCTTAATCCATTTTTTGTCGTTTTGGTTATTTAAAAGAAACGTTATTTTTGATAATAAATTACAACCATACTCGTTCGTTTTCGTACAGATCGCGTTAATATATATTTTTTTACTTCAATTTTCATCAACATCACGAAAACTTTTTTAACACCCTTTTACATTCGCACCCAGCTAAACTAATTCGTACGCACATCTATAAATATATATATATTATTCATATATAATTCATCTCATATATAGATCGTATTTATATATATGTACATTTACACGGAAGAGTTTTTTTTACTTTTTTTGTAATGCTTTTAGTATTGTTTTTTTAGACAGAGCAACCTCGACACAATAAAAGACAGTGAAAAACTAATGTATGTCATATATATAATATATATTTTTTGAATGAAACGTTTACGTTCGGTATTTTTGAATAATATTTGAATTTTCTTGGTGTTTTTGTTTTTAAAAGGAATCTACAAAACGTAAACGTTTATATCATTACTTTTTTATTTCGTTCTTTCTAAAGTAGGCTCTAGATTTTTTTGATCAACGCAGATACAATCTAAGCGTACCTTCGAAGTTGCGCTAAAAGATCATTGACGTTATTACAACCAGATGAGGCGTACACCTCGTTAAGAACATGCCTTTGGCGAACGGAAACATGTAATCGAGTGCACAGGTACACGAACGAGCAAAACAATTTGTACAACTGGAGAAAGATATATAGAGAGGTATTTTTTAATGAGATAATAACAACGCTAGGGCTAAAAGCAGTGTAACAGCTGTAATTAGTAAATTAAAAGAAGTCTTTGATTAAAAATTTATCAAAAAGATGTTTATTTTTGATCAAAGACATAAGACGAATTAAAAAAAGTGCTACAATTTTCTGTGAGGAAAGAAGATTTGAGGTTTTTTTTTGATCGATCGCTTTTTTATAGTTTTTAAGAAAAACTTTTATTTAAAAATTTGTTCAAAATGACTAGAGTCAAATTTTGGAATCCTCACAATGTAACTGGTCTAGTAAACGTTAATTTTTTTTATGTTTTAAGAAATCACAGCTGTACAATGTACGTGTTCCACCTTAAAAATTCCCGTAGTTCGTTCGGAACTATAAGTACCTTGGCATTATGGAGTGGTAGCCCTGCGTGTCCGACCGAATATGCGGATAAGTGCTTAAGTTATATCTACGGTAAGAAATTGGGACATGACGGGGGTTTTGCAATTCGGCAGGATTTCCATGTAAATGCGCCGCTCCGTCACCTAAATCCAATTCCATTTCTTGTTGTTCCTGTAATTGTATTTGTCCTAATGTTGATGTAGCCATTGCAACGTCGGGCATAATATCGGAAAGGTGTCCATCGCTACACGAACTACTTTCCGGTTCGTTTACAAACCGAAATTCACCCTCGGGAACTAGAGCAGGAAGTTCGTGTCTGGGTGGTTGATATCCACTTTGTCTTGGAAATGTCATATGGTTGTAACAATTACGAACGATAGATAATTTGGCGGGAGAAGGTTGTACGGGTTCTTGACTAACAGTATTAATCTCATTTTCAGCTTTATCGGGTACATAAAAACAGTTTTCTAACATATCCGCTACCGGATCTGGTAGATTGAATTCACGAACAACTCTCAATCGAATTTGTTTGTATATTTCATGCCGTGATGAAAGAGGGTAATTCAAAGCTCTCTGACATATGGGAGATTGTTTTAATTTTTGTTCCCTTTTTAACATCGCGTTCATTATACCCGGATCAGGAACAGGAAGTGACGAAGCTAATACATCAACACCAGCAGTTCCATGTACCCTTGGTTTATCTTCAACCATATACAAAGTATCAGGAATATCTGGTATATATCGAGATCTTCTCATCCGCATTATTTCCCCATCTTGCACTAAATGATCCTCAACCAAAACTTTAACTTCCTCATAATAAGGCATAAATAATCTCGGTTGGACAAACAATCCATTATTTTTTCCTCTTATCCAAGCGTTCACCCGTAAATTTTCACGTTCACCTCCAATCATATGACTAGGAGGTGTACTCACCAAACCACGACGTATCGCTTGGTTTAAAACATCGCTATTTGGCGGAAGCACATGATCCATTCTTACTAATGGCAGAAGATCTGATAAAATTTCACGAAGTTCCACATCACTTAAATCACGCTTTTTTACCCCTTTACGTGTCACAGAATGCGCAGTGTGACTCAATAAATTTGGTTCTAAACAAAAAAATAATAAATATTAATAAAATTATAAAATTATAAAATCGACATCTTACCTCGATCTTCCATACGTCGAATAAGTTCATTTTCACCCCATTTAAGTACAGCATGCAATATTTCAAGTTCACTAGCTTGTAAAAACGGACTTTTCAAAACTTCTATTAAGTGTTCTTTGTCGAGGTGATGAAGAACAGGTGATTGCACAATTGGTTGGAATTCTTCGCGTAGGAAATGCAAAGTCTAAAATTAGATCGGTTAAATTTGATTCATAAAAATAATTTAAAAAAAAATACTTGTCTGTGAACCCAAGCAGAACCGTGAGGTTGTTTAGCCCATTGTAAAATGGTCGGTAACGTGTCTAAAGACAACCAGTCAAGTATAAGATCTTCACAGCCTTGTGCGAGAATATCCAGTTCAAGAAACCGTCCAATTTGATACAGCTCCATGGCCTCTTCAAGTGGTGAAGGACGAACGCGTCCGGTGTGCGCTAATGCTTGAGCTTCGCCGAGTCCGCCTCCACATCCAGCTCGAGAAATAAGGGTTAAATCGACTTGATCTAAATAAATAGCGTGCAATAAAACCCTGGCATATCTTTTTGGAATGACGGTTTCGTCCAAAACGATTCTGGTGGGGATGTGAAGAGCACGTTCGGTGTGTTCTTCACCACTTCTGGATCGTCGCTGCAATAAGTTTCTAAAGAATGGAGATCTAGCGGATAATATAGCTTTGTGACATGGTAATTCTAATTTCGGACGAAATCCGTATTCGGAACTTCCGGAATCGGGTCGTTGGCAATCGGAACCGTCGGATGTAAACACTAAAGCGGCGTCGGCGTAATCTCCGGTTTCTAATAAATATCTTAAGTCTACTTCAAGAGCATTTGGAGTACCAAATTCTTCACGTAATCTTCGCAATAAATTCAAATCGATGTTTGTGTCATGAGGGCAAATATCTCCGGTATACAAATAACGTAATAGAGCAGAGAATAGTTGAACGTCTACCGTTGCCGTACGTAATTCTAAGCAAATTCTTGCGCCATAACCCGGACAACCAGCTAAGAGATCACGGAAATAAGGACAACGGGCTGATAATAGTGCACGGTGTATTGGAAAACAAGCGCCACGATATACCAAATCAGCATCCGTACAGTATTTAAAATCGTACAGGTCTGATAAATCTTGTTTAAACGTTGCCGCGGCCGGCCTGGCCAGTTCGGCTTGAACACATAAATCTTTCAACGATTCCAACGCTTCATATTCTTCCAAAAGAGCAGAAACCTCCAACGAGCTCCAATCAGAGACCAACTCGCGCAACATACGACCATGGTCGCAAGTTTTCGAAGATCTCCTCCTTCTGATGAACTTCTTCTTCAACGTCGCAAAACCAGTTACTTTCTTCTTCCGTTCCCTGCAGACATTTCATTTCTAATCACTTCAGATCGAAAAAGAGATCGATTTTATTTACCTAACAATAACGCCCATAGCATCTCGATATCCTGGCATCGAATCAGTCAGCCCTACGCCTGCAGGCGTCCCACCCGGCTCGCCAGAGCTCGTCGTCGACGCGTTAACCCCCATCCTATGCACAAACTCTTCGGTCATACATGGGTCGCTACGGACGCTCCACCAATTACGCTCCAACGCACACGGAAATAGGCAGCCGAAGAGGTTCATCGCTTGCCCAGACCAACGCCTGACTTGCAGACACAGCCTACATTAAAAACAAAAAGAATTTGAATGAATCATAAAAATTTCAACAACTTAATTAGTGCAATAATAAAATATTATATATAAAGGTGTTTCTGTAAGTCGTGGCATGATTTTAATCACAAATACTAGAGTTAAATATGGATCTTCAAAGTTTTCAATATGGTCTTAGAAAGATAAAATTAGGCAAATAATAAGTATACAACCACAGGATCAAAAAGATACAACCTCGCCCATGAAATACTGAGCATCAATAGTACATATGGCAAAACTGTACTCGCAACGGATGATCAGCAATTTTTAATTCTTGCACAAGTGGTATGGATACAATTGCTGTTATTAAGGCACACGCCAAGTCGTACTTTGGATATTAAGAAATGGCCGAACTGTTGATATCAACTGTATTACGAGTTATTTGCAATATCATCTCACCACTGTGTTAGCATTGCCTAAACACTCTTCCAAAGTTTAATGAGTGCCAGTTTGCTTACTAAAACTGTAATTATTTGTCATTTTAAACAACTATTACCGACTGATAAATGTCTGATGCGTCTAAACAAAAATTTCTAAGAGTTTGATAAGATTTGTTGTAAAATATGAGGGTTTATGACATAATAAAAAAGATTCAAGGATATAATTTGGTGAACATCCTGTATAGCATTGATCCCGTGTTTGCATATTTTCAAAACTGTATACCAAATTTTATCTTTCTAAGACAAACCATATTGAAAATATAAAAGAAAATGTTTAAAAATTTCTTAACTTTGAATATCTTAAGCCATTTATGGGTTTTAACTCTAACATCATCACCCTGTATATAATTTATAAAGTGAGTCACAGAATTAATGTTTATTATACTAGATATATTTCTGGTATAGTCATTCTTTATGAGATAACTCTTAGCGGAAACAACAGCAAGATAAACTTACTGTGTCATCAATGCGTTAAAGAATTCTTGGATCTAATGCACAACTTGATAAAAAACTTAAAACAGAATTTACAAAGAAAGATTTATCTTTGTTGGGAATTAATCTATATTTTCAAATAATTGTTTGCCTTAGATTTCAAGGAATTTAAATGTTTCATATTTAGTCCAAAATATCCCTGAAGATGAGTTTTTTTTCGAAACACGTAAGACAACTTTTATAAATAATATATGAATTATAGATGAAATTAAAAAAGAAACGTGATTAAATAATAATTAATAAGAAAACATATAAGGAAAAACAGAAAATGACATAGATAACCTAATTTTTGTATAAAAACGAAAGCGACAAAATGGAGTAAAACTAAAAAACGAAACGATATCGGGGCCCCTATCGCAATCTCACCTGGGCTAAATAGGATCATGTTGACTGATATCTAGCTTCTAACAAACGTATCATTAACATTCGTTTAAACACATGAGAAGTACACAGTTGTAGTAGCCATGTTTATATCATCGAAACTCCAGGGATAATTGTCTTCTCGTGTCAATACCGTAAACCCGGGGCCACACAATCGAAAACACCGCCTTCTTCACCTCACATTTTCTACGCGAAATAAACGTTAAACATGATTCTCGCGACCGAATACAACGCCCAATAACACAACCTTTTTTTAATACTATTTCTCTCTGCTACTTTAGTTTAACGTGCACGAAACACGTATTAAAATTGTTTGTACTACTGAAAGTTCATTCCATCTTTCTTGTCGGATCGCACTTCAAATCTTGGAACTAGGTCGGTCAGCGTAAGCACCGTTTACACTATAAAAAATGAATAGGAAAATGATAAAGTTGTGTGTAATCTATTAAATTAGGATAGAAAATAGAAAAAGGTGTTGAAACGCATCGGGATTTGTAGGGTTTTTATGGCGGAACGCGCCGCGGCGTTTAATTAATCGAGAAGGAACTGTAAGGTTACATCTGGTATATTGCGTTGGTCGCTACTGCGCATGTATGTTGATATTTACTTGTAAACTTGCCTTAATATCAATACTTTAAAGGGTTTATACAAATTTTAAAATTAAGAACATTTAACATCTCCGACTATTTACTTTATTTACTTCATTCACTTTATTTACACTTTACGTTAAAATATTAAATACAAACGTTTAAAAAGAACGAAAATTTCGAAATCCCAACTTTCTAAAACACTTTCTATATTTTAACTTCAACAAACTTAATGCCAACTTCAAAAATAAAAAGTAATAAAAAATTAATTAATTAATTAAGTGATTTTTTCTTTCTTTTATTATCGAATGTAGATATTGGGTTATCGCAATAAAGAGAGTTTAAACATGAAATTATTGCGACAGCATCGTTTATCGGCATCGTGTAATTGCCACGAAATTAAATCCGGGAATAAACAGCTTGGAGGTGCTAAAAATACCTTTGGGCGGTTTATTTATTAGAAATGAAGTTGGGTTATTATACAAGGTGCCATCTATAAATGAAAATTTGCATTTCATGTTGGTAATATAGATTTTATATGTTTAAGTTTAACAAAAGTACATATTTATGATTTAAATGGGGGGAAAATAAAAGAGAAGGAAAACTCTGAAGTACAACCCTCCTGGTAAGAGGATGAGGCATACAGCGAACTCGAAAATATAAAAATAAAATAATAAAAAAAAGTATTGTTCATGATACTTGGGACGGCCGACGTCTTCGAAGTCGGTCGAGATTATTTCCTATAACACGAACATAACCTGGGGCTTATTATTATTATTTCTAATATCATGAGCAATACTTAGGGCGGCCGACGTCTTCGAAGTCGGCCGCCTCAAATATCACGAACAATACAATAAGTCTACCCTGCATGAAATTTATGGAAGAAATAATTTCGGCCGACTTCGAAGACGTCGGCCGCCCTAAGCATTGTTCATGATACTTGGGACGGCCGACGTCTTCGAAGTCGGCCGAGATTATTTCCTATAACACGAACATAACCTGGGGCTTATTATTATTATTTCTAATATCATGAACAATACTTGGGGCGGCCAACGTCTTCGAAGTCGGCCGAGATGATTTCCTCCGTAAATTTCAAGCAGGTTAAGAGAAATACTCTCGGCCGACTTCGAAGACGTCGGCCGCCTCAAATATCACGAACAATGCAATAAGTCTACCCTGCATGAAATTTATGGAAGAAATAATCTCGGCCGACTTCGAAGACGTCGGCCGCCCTAAGTATTGTTCATGATACTTGGGACGGCCGACGTCTTCGAAGTCGGCCGAGATTATTTCCTATAACACGAACATAACCTGGGGCGGTCGACGTCTTCGAAGTCGGCCGAGATTATTTCTTCCGTAAATTTCAAGCAGCTTAAGAGAAATAATCTCGGCCGACTTTGAAAACATCGGCCTCTCTAAGTATAGTTCATCATCTAGTGTAGCCCACTCATTACTTCTTCTTCTTTTAGCACTATAGTCCGGGGTGGGCCTTGGTTCCTCCACTATCCTCTTCCAATCCATCTGGATTTCAGTGACTCTCCTCAAATTTCCGATCCTCAGAACCCTGGCATCATCATCCTATCTTGCCATTTCGTGCAGGACCTGCTCCTACCTCTTCCGAGGCTGTTTAGGTTCCGTAACTGTTTTTGTTCCTACAGGGTGAGGTTGTTGACCTCACGCCCAACCTCCTAATAGTCGGAGGACCATCTTCCCCGCTCTCGTTCGCCCTGCAGCTTGATTACTGCATCTCCAGCAGGGTTGCTCAGGTTTCCAGGGTTGACAACGTGGAGGTGAGAGTCGGGATTGGGTAGAAGAAGCTATGCACCTTTAACAGGAACGAAAGCTGTGCGGTGGGCATAAAAAGAAGTACATCAATATGGTATTAAATCATACTTAAAAGAGGATAATTAAAAATATAACTGCATTTATATGTTTATTTCTTTAAATCACTTACAAGAATGTTATAAAATGCACATAATCAAACTTTAGCAGAAGGCAATTTTATTTTCTCATTTTTTACGTGAACTTTACAGTCTTAGGCTTGACACTAAAGTTTTTTTTATTCTTTATTGTTACCATATTAACCATATAACAAATATTTAAGTAGATTATGCAAATTAATAAAATGATAATAAAAAGAAATAATAAAATAAAACGTTTTTCTAACTTAATAACAATTATTAAAGGATTAATATATTGGTAATTAATTAATTAAGAATAATCAATTAATAAAACAATATAGAATAATTTAAGAAACAAGTTTTCAATTTTTGAATCAGCTTTTAATAATGAAAAAAAAATTTTAGGCTTCAATATTTCTAACAACGACACGTTTTGTACTATTCTTTGTAAATTATTGTTTTTAATGGGTCAGTCGATATGAGGTAGAACTTGAAAAATGTTTATCATCGAAGTATATATGGATGGTTCAGTGGACAGAGTTTACGTACTTCGGTCTCATTCATATCGTTCTTTATAAAAATAAATCGAAATAAATCAAGTTAAAAAAAAGGTATTGCCTGCCATCATTGATTAAAACATTGTTTTTAAGTACAACAAACCGAAAGTTTTAAGTAATGTTTATTTTTGAAGCCTAAAATTTCAAAAATCGCTGATTTATCATGTCAAGACTCTATAATTAGGCTTGTTTCAATTGGAAAATTTTTCTACGTTTGCACAATAATCTATTATAATAAACTTAAAAAACATATTCTTAAAATGAATAAGAGACCAGAATGGAAATTTTGGATAAACTAAGCTTTGTGTAATTTCTTTTTACAAAAACATATCTACATATTTTGAACTAAATAATTATTGCTTATAGTCAAAACCATTCCAGTCTCCTTGAAAATAATAACAAAAAAATGCAATTATAGAAAAATTTACAATGCATAATTTGAACACCATATGGACACAGGTAGTACAATGGCATTTGATTTGATTATGACCTTGTAACCTGAGCTATTTTTATTCATTTAGTTGTGGTGATGTGTCTAAACGTACGTTCACTGTTATCTTTTAGTACAAAAATGTACAACGATCATAAAAACCTCACAAAAAAAGTCAATATTGGTGTGTTTTATTTAGGCTAAGGTACCCAAATAATTGTAATAATTACAAAAAAATAATTATAAATGACAAAGAAACAAAATTTAACCCTCTACTAAACTTAACGTTGTTTTCTTCCCCGTCCAAATCTCGTCCGTTTGTTGGTGTAGTTTCATTTTTTGTTTACTTATTTATTTCATTTATTTATTTTTTTTGTTTTTTTTTTTTCGAATGGAGAACACTTGAATTTCATGTATAGTAGATGGATTAATTACAAAAATACTATTAAAAATGTCGCTTATTACTAGAGTGAGTTTAAAAATTCACTTAACTTATCATTTATTGGGTAGTCACCGGGTGAATAATATGTGTAAGGCCTCAGGTTATTCGAAAACTAGGGCTGCCGACGCGTAACTAACGGACGAGTCATTCATGTTACGACACTGGCTCGACTGAGCATATTTTAGGAATTTCAAACTTGCAGATTGCGTGTGGTCATTCCTCAATAATTCTTGTACAGCCTAAAAAATCATTTCTAAACATAAACTTTTAATTAGAATTTTTAAATTGAAACCTGTAATAAAATTCCGATTGGATGTCTACCACAAATCGTATTGCCATACTTTTTCAAATAATTCGTAAATTCTGTTGGATTCAACTTTTCTATTATACCCATACCCTGCAAAAATATGTCATTCTCCGCAAATTCTTTTTGTATAAAAAAATTACCGCTCTATCAAGTCCTTCAATAGATTGATAAATACTTCCGTAAGACCGATCGTAATAAGTATAACGAAACCTATGTCCCCAATGACAAAAGTCTGACGATATCACAAAGAGATTCTGTGGATCAGCTAAATAACTAGAGAGTATCCGACCATAACATGCCTCTCTGTCTTGACTAAGTGATCCGACAAGAATCGGTACAACAGTAAACTGGTGTTTAAAACTATAAATCATGCTGATTAATAAAACATACATTAATACAGGGTGTCTCGCGTAACTAGTTCGTTAGAATTAGTTTTTGTGAAATTTTCAAATTTTTTCTTTGTGTTCGACACGTCCTGTCTAAAACTTCCAAAAACTGTCAAAATTACAAGGCTTTCTAATAAAAAAAACCTGCATTCCGTGCATGTTTTGATAAATTTTCCAATATGAGGGAAACTACAACAAATACACTGTTGGAAATAATTCACGAGCACACCCTATATAATCTGAACGCGTGAAGATAAATCCATAATATTTGCGGAGCATAAAGGTTTACTGTAGACTGAAGTGGGTGAATGGAGGGCGATCGCGTTACTTAAGCGAGGAATGGTTGTGGGTATGCACATTGAGGGTGCCCGTAGTAGCATAAAAGTTCTAATGGGTGTTTTTACTGGGCACTGCCGATTAAAAGCACACCTCAACTTGTTGAGTTTAGCCAACGATGTTGAATGCCGACTATGTGCGGAGGCAGCAGAGACGGTTGAGCATGTTTTATGCCACTGCCCTGCCGTTAACCGTATCAGATTATCGATTTTTGGGTCGCAGTTTATCTCCTCAAGGCATCTGAATGACCTTTCGCTGAGCAAGGTATTAATGTTCGTTAAGAGCATTGGACTGCACGGTGAAATTTGATAACGATATCTATCGGGGTACAATAGATCCTTAGGGTCGCAGTGCAAGGTTGGTTGGTCCGCCTACCCGATATATAGTCAATGCAATGTAATGTAATGCACATTGAGGGTGTATCGTTCAAGGCATCTTGGAGCTGTTTGGCCAGCTGGAAGCGAAGGCCAAGGATGACGCACTCACTACGCTAACTGTACGGCGGCGTTTGGTAGACAGTGGATTGCACTAACACCCAAGCACCACCGCATACGTCACGAGTGGGTCGACGCTAGATATTGGTGGGTTGCTGAGTGGAGGGATATTTTGTTTTCCGACGAATCACGATTTGAATTGAGCACCGGTGACGTGCGAATTCACCGCCAACCGGACATTATGGTATGGGGTGCGATTACATATGGTGGATGTACATGTCTGCTGCGTATACAACAGATAATAACGGGTCAACGATACGTAGATGAGGTGCTATGGCCCGTTGTGCTTCCCAACGTTCGGCGAAGCTCACGTCTGCTATACATGCACGACCGCACATGGCGCGTGTTGTACAGACCGTTGTGGAAGAGCACCATATACGAACGTTTCCATGGCCAGCTCGTTCTCGGGATCTAAATCTGATCGAACATATTTGGGACATGATTGCTCGGAAACTTCAACGTTATCCGACTCCCCTGGTTAACGTTGAGGCGGCATGGTTGGCAATCCCTCCCGCTACAATGCAGCGATTTATCGACTCTATGCCAGGTCGTGTAGCGATGGTACGCGCTGCTCACGGGGGATATTCTCGCTATTGATGTGACAGAGTTGCGCCACTCTCCATGTGAGGATAAGTTACACTACTTTAGTACTACTTCCATACCAAATTTCATTGCGCTAGACACACGCGTTCAGATTATACAGGGTGTGCTCGTGAATTATTTCCAACAGTGTAGGTATAGGAATGTTTATATCTGCATCTGAAGAGTAATGGTGCCAATTTAGACCTTTTTTGAATTAATGTTGACTGAGATATGTTGGTTTAAAGAGCATAGTGAAATTTTCCGAAAAAAGCTTCGCCTTGCAAAAGTTCCAACGAACGAGTTACATGAGACGCCGTGTATAATATAAATAATAAAATTACTTTTCCATAACTTTAGCTATATACGGGAGATGCATCTCTATGCTATGCTCATTTTCATCTGTATCCATGTGCATCCACTCGAATTGACCAGTCATTTCTAATTCAGCGTTTACTGCAACATTTCAAAACAAAAAATATTAAACTAAAAATAATTTAAAGAACATATTTAAATTTCTTTTTTGGTTACTTTGGGTATCTACAATTAAATCGTAGAGAGGAGTACGATATTTTTGTGCTCTGGACAAGGCACATCCCAGCAATCTAACATGATGTGACGGCCCCAAAATAAATACTCTACGGACAACTACCGGGCTCACTTGTCGATATGCATATCCACCGCAAGCTCCACAATACTGATAACCTGCATGACTAAAAGATAAAGAAATATAAGACTATTACACATAAATTTCATCATTGCAAGTATGCAACCAACATCACAGTATTGGTATTGTAACACGTAAATCGCGTAGTTGGTTGCATACTTGTAACCAAGAATGAAAGGTCCAAGATTAAAAATTTTCCTTTCACTTAAAATTAATTGAGTAGGTAAGATCCCAAAACATAAATATTCTTCCTACATCAAAATGTGTATTAAAAAAACACCGACCAAGTCATCATCACCAAAATGGGTTCAAAATGACTTTGAAACTTTTTAAAGAACCAAAATTTAGAACAACTTTTGAATCATTTATGTTTCTGTGCAAATTACCAAAACTAAGCTTCCTCTATGCTTGGGTAATCACAATAAACAGAGTGAATCTGGAAAGTGATCTTGAAAACTCCTGAATTGAGATGAATGAAGTTGTTTAAATCCACCCTAACTGATTTTAATTTTCAATACATTTTTCGGTGTTTTTTTAGATACACCCTGTATTAAAAAATATATTTCTTAAATATTAATAGAATACTGTAAGTAATAATGATCAATACTTACGGTGCTATGATAGCTCTAGCAGGTCCATGTGTTAAATCAGCTTGATTAAGCCAATAATCCAATTGGTTCGAAAGTTCTGAGCCTAAAAATAAATAGAAATTATAAAAAAATTATGAACAAAGGTAATTAAAAGTTGAGGTATTGAGAAATAGTGGTAAGGTGAATGACATGATAAAAAAATTGCAATTTTTGAGGTTAAACGTGAATTTACCAGAATCCGTGTACCAACTACCGGCATGGATCGCTCTTCTCACAGACATTTCTCGGGTCGAGACGGTTTTTCCTAAATAAATAACTTAATTATCAAAATGTTTATGTCGGACGAAACTTAGGACAAATTAGGATAAATTACTGGCACAAATGCGCACACCTAGGGGATTTTCGATCCTTCAGTACACAAAAAATTATCTTTTAGGGGAATTTTAACAGATGAAATCGCCAACATACATTTAAATATGAATAATACAAATTATTTTATACAAATGTAATCGTTTTAGCAAGTAATTTTTTTGAAATGAGTTGTAATTAAAATATCTTGTGAAATAAATTGATATTATACATGATATTCTATACTGAATTGATAAACGCACATATTTGTATTAAGACATCGCATGATTAATACTTGTTTGCATAATAAGTTGGGAATTTGATCTCTTGTCGAAAAAAATTCTTTAACATATTTTGTTTATTTCTAATCTTATCATTCGCAATCTTTGTTTTCACATAAGAACAATTTTTTTATGAAACTAAAGAACGAAGACGAGATTTCTGCAACAATCCATTAACTTTTGCGTTAGAAGTAAAATATCTTGGAAAAAGGACTGACTTGGAAATCATACATTAGTTGTAAAACCAAAAAAGCAATGATTGTACTCGCCCAGTGTCGAAGGGCAAATGGGAATACCCTTAAATCCGAGGGTTACAATGTGAGACGTCTGTGATAAGACCCATGGGAGCTCACGGAGCTATAGTTTGGTCTTCCCTGAACCTTTTGTACTTGTAACTTTTAATACATCATCAAAGCTGATCAACTCCATCTCCCATCGTGCTTTTTGCGAAAATCAAAAAGTGACTTGATCCTCACCTACTTCTTGACCCTAAGATATTCAACACCTCAGGGCTACTAAAAAGAGTGCAAAAAGACATACAAAAGTATCAGAACCTCAAGAAATTAAACCATGTTTTTCAAACCACCAATTACATCTCATTGCAAAAAAAGAACAAAAATAGCTCATTTAAGCTAAAACTAGAACTAACATTACCTAGAACTAGAAACTTTCGGGTTAAGCAGTGCGTTTTTTGAAAAAAATGTTTAAAGTTTCGGATGTCATGTTGCAACTTGTGACGAAAGTGACGAAATCGGTTAAAGTTTGACAAATATATAAAAAAAATCCGGGTGGGTAGGTTTTGTTGAGAGAACTAGCATCTTCTATGTGCGGTTGAGTTCTCAGCCGTTTTCTCTATTCATGTTATTCCTATGCCGATGAATCGCCATTCTTTGCAAATAATGTCAGGTTCTAGCTAATACTTTAGTTTTGTCGAACTCTATAGTGTGTCCTCCTTTGTGGCAATGCTCTGCAACTGCAGATTGTTGAATTTTGTTTAGTCTCATGTTTCTTCCTGCAACTGCACGATGGATAGCTGGTAGACTCCTGCTTCATATGTGTCATATGTGTATATACAGGGTGATTTATTAGCTCACCATCAAACTTTGACATATGATAGCTAATCCAATTACCAAAAAAAAATTATTAAAAAAAGAATTTATTAATAGTCAGCAAAATCAAACATTGAACAAAAACAAAGTTGTCATTGTAATATATCAGTTTGCTGTAAGGTTAATTATTACATACAAGAAGAAACTCAAAATGTACGCTTATAGTACTGAAGAGTATGCTTATATAATCTTCGTGTATGGCTTTTGCAATGGAAATGCTCGACAATCAGTACGAGAATATCAAAAAAGATTTCAACAGCGTCATTTGCCATATCATTCAGTTTTTAGCGATTCTTTCAGAAGACTTCGAGAAACAGGAAATCCTGCTCCAGCAAAAGCATGTAGTTAATGTAGAGGACGAAGAAGCTGTAATTAATGCTATTATTGATAATAAAAGTTATTGCAGCAACATGTCCAAAATAATGACTTCATTTCAAATGTTCTCTGGATAGATGAATCATGTTTTACACGAGATGGTATAAATAATTACCATAATGAACATATCTGGGCATTACAAAATCCGCATGCGATCAACGTTTGGGGTGGAATATTTAACAATTTACTAGGTTTGCATGTACTTGATGGACGTTTGAACGCTGTAAATTACAGATTTGTTTTGTACAATACACTTTTTCATTTACTTGAAGATGTACCTCTTAATGTAATTCAAAAGTGTGTGTCAAGTGGAAATTAACACACGAGAATAGTTATTAAACACAATACAAATGGCTACTACTGAAATAAGAAATCAACCAGACATTTTAATTCGGCTGAAGAACTCTTTAATTCGTCGTTGTGAAGCATGTATTCTAGCAGAAGGAGGCTATTTCTAATTATGATATAAAAATTAAAACATTTCATTAAAACATTAAAACTGTCAAAGTTTGATGAAATAGATAGATATAGAAATTTTAATATTTTTCGTGTAGCGCCATCTATAAGTAAATAATTGAACTATTTCATTGACATGAAGTTGTCGCAATTTACTATCATTTTTTTTTTGATAATCAAGAAAATTAAGTTACACATTTAGATTTCGCATTAAAGTTAAATAGTACGCAATAATCAAAAAGTTTATGATATTTTTGTTTCGATTTCTAAATAAGTTAATTAATTGGGTTAAGAAATATGTCATTAATTATTATTGATGATGATTTCCCATAATAAATAATAAATTTATTGTTAAGACAATGATAATAAATAAAAAAAATAAATAATTAATACATATTAAAATTTTCGTTAAAAACAGAAATAAAACATTTTTCGAGTTACAATTGAATATGTAACGGTTACACATAAAAATTTTTATTACAAATTGTAAATTTTTAATCGTAACAATCACCGATAAAAAAAGTTGAGTCAGAATTACTTTACAAATTAAAAATAAAAAAAAATCATGAAACTGTGTTATATGGGTTGCATAGTTTGGAGGAGATTGACGTTAATCAGTAAAAGGGGGAGTGGGTATACGTGTTCAATTCGTTTTCTATCAGAGAACTAGACAGAACTAATCAGAGTGCTAAATTACGTGCAACGGGGTGTGTATCGCATGACAGATAGCCGAAGATGTTCAGCTGGCTGAGCAAAGATAACCACAAACAAGATGTGTACGAAAATGTGGTACAGGGACTCAAGGAAATCTACAAGACAAAACTTCTCCCTCTGGAAACCCACTATCAATTCCATGATTTTCATTCGCCCCAATTGGAGGACTCGGATTTCGATGCAAAACCGATGATTTTACTTGTTGGGCAATATTCAACCGGAAAAACCACTTTTATCAGGTATTTGTTGGAAAAAGAATTTCCTGGAATGAGAATTGGGCCTGAACCTACAACCGATAGATTTATTGCGGTAATGTATGATGAACGTGAAGGCATGATACCAGGTAACGCTTTGGTCGTTGATCCAAAACGACAATATCGACCGCTTTCCAAGTTCGGAAATGCCTTTCTTAATCGCCTACAATGTTCTCTAGTCGATTCACCTGTTTTAAAAAATATATCAATTATTGATACCCCGGGAATTTTATCAGGTGAGAAGCAACGAGTAGATAGAGGATATGACTTTACGGGAGTCTTAGAATGGTTTGCAGAGAGAGTTGATCGTATAATATTACTGTTCGATGCACATAAATTAGATATTTCCGATGAATTCCGTCGTTCTATAGAAGCATTAAGAGGTCACGATGATAAAATCCGTATCGTTTTAAATAAAGCCGATATGATTGATCATCAACAATTAATGAGAGTGTATGGGGCCCTTATGTGGTCATTAGGTAAAGTTTTGCAAACACCCGAAGTTGCAAGAGTTTATATCGGTTCATTTTGGGATCAACCGTTACGTTTTGATACAAATCGACGTCTCTTCGAAGATGAAGAACAAGATTTATTCAAAGATTTACAATCGTTACCCAGAAATGCAGCCTTGCGGAAATTGAACGATTTAATCAAACGAGCTCGACTTGCTAAAGTTCACGCCTTCATCATTTCCGAATTGCGTAAAGATATGCCGAGTGTTTTTGGTAAAGATTCGAAGAAGAAAGAATTAATTAAAAATTTAGGACAAATTTATGAAAAACTTCAACGTGAACACCAAATTTCACCTGGCGATTTTCCGGATATTAAGAAAGTACAAGAAGTTCTCAATAACTTAGATTTCACCAAGTTCCATCCGTTAAAACCAAAATTATTGGAAATTGTTGATCGTATGCTTAGCGACGATATCTCTAAATTAATGGCTATGATTCCTCAAGAAGACATCAACAAAATTGACGATAGTTATATCAAGGGCGGGGCATTTGTTAATGTTGAAGACACAATTTCACCATTTGGTTACAAAAGAGGTGAAGGAATTAATGCCGGGTTTGGTGAACCCGAATGGATTGTTAATAAGGAAAAACAAAGTTACGACAACATCTTTAAATCGTTACAACCCATCGATGGCAAAGTTACGGGAGCTGGTACGTATTTATTTAATTATCGACAACGGAATTTTCTTTTTTCAATTAAGATTAATTGTCGCGTTTGTCTTGCGCAAATTGAAAATTATGGTAATTTTTCCTACTCGCTCATAAATTGCTATACAACACTCTTTTAAAACAATTATTAGGTACGCCAACAGCGTTTTTTTAAGTTCATTCTTCAATTCTTTTTAATCTGTCTGAGAACGTGAACACCACATATTTCGAATTAGTGAACGATATAAATAGAGGGTCAGAAAATACTATGACTTCGTTTACTTTCGTAGTATTATTTTTTTTATATCGATTACATCTTTATCTTAATTATTAAATTGAAACGTTATACAGTCTGTCCGTAAAGTAAGGGATATAAGCGATAAAATGTCGGCCGCCCCAAGTACTATGAATAATAGTTAAGTCGGCCGAGATTATTTCTTTCATAAATTTCAAGCAGGTGAAGAGAAATAATCTCGGCCGACCCAAGTATCACGAATAATACAATAAGTCTACCCTGCTTGAACCCAACCCAAGCACCATGAGCAATATTTAAGGCGGCCTACGTCTTCGAAGTCGGCCGAGATTATTTCTTTCATAAATTTCAAGCAGGTTAAGAGAAATAATCTCGGCCGACTTCGAAGATGTCGGCCGCCCAAAGTATCACGAACAATACAATAACTCTACTCTGCTTGAACACAACCCAAGCACCATGAGCAATATTTAAGGCGGCCGACGTCTTCGAAGTCGGCCGAGATTATTTCTCTTAATCTGCTTGAAATGTATGGAAGAAATAATCTCGGCCGACTTCGAAGACGTCGGCCGCCCTGAGTATCAGGAACAATACAATAAGTCTACCCTGCTTGAACCCAACCCAAGTACCATGAGCAATATTTAAGGCGGCCGACGTCTTCGAAGTCGGCCGATATTATTTCTTCCATAAACTTCAAGCAGGGTAGACTTATTATATTGTTCGTGATATTTGTTGCGGCCGACGTCTTCGAAGTCGGCCGAGATTATTTCTTAATCTGCTTGAAATGTATGAAATAAATAATCTCGGCCGACTTCGAAGACGTCGGCCGCCCCAAATATCACGAACAATACAATAAGTCTACCCTGCTTGAACCCAACCCAAGTACCATGAGCAATATTTAAGGCGGCCGACGTCTTCGAAGTCGGCCGAGATTATTTCTTCCATAAACTTCAAGCAGGATAGACTTATTATATTGTTCTTAATATTTGTTGCGGCCGACGTCTTCGAAGTCGGCCGAGATTATTTCTCTTAATCTGCTTGAAATTTATGGAAGAAATAATCTCGGCCGTCTTCGAAGACGTCGACCGCCCCAAGTACCACGAACAATACAATAAGTCTACCCTGCTTGAACCCAACCCAAGTACCATGAGCAATATTTAAGGCGGCCGATGTCTTCAAAGTCGGCCGAGATTATTTTTCTTAACCTGCTTGAAATTTATGGAAAAAATAATCTCGGACTTCGAAGACATCGGCCGCCCCAAGTAATATTTCTTCCATAAATTTCAAGCAGGATTTTTCGATAATCCCTTTATAATAATTTTATCGCCATGTTTGTTAAAATTAATCAAAACTCGAAACACACCCAAATTGAAATTTTTAATAACCATTATTTACATGCTCATTTAGGATGTTTATTTAACACACCTAAAAAAAAATTGTTTAACTGTGTGCGTTACGCATGATACCATTGTGTATCATTATCCGTTTACGTAATAATAAACTTGATAATATAAGTTGAGATAAGTTATATATAAATATGATTTTGTTTCAGCTGCAAAAACGGAAATGGTAAAATCGAAATTACCGAATACTGTTTTGAGTAAAATTTGGAAATTGGCTGATGTTGATAAGGATGGAATGTTGGATGAAGAAGAGTTTGCACTAGCAATGCACCTAATAAGCGTGAAGATCGGTGGAAATGATATCCCGGCTTCTTTACCGGACCATTTGGTGCCGCCGTCCAAACGTTAATACCATCAAAAAGTATCGCGATAAAACCCCTTATCACAAGTGCTATTTATTCCTTTTTTTAGATTTGTGCCTCTTGTTCATTATTTTTTTCCGTTATTTTTTCCTGAAGGTAATAAACCGGAATCAATGACGTCGGCACCATTACGAGTTTAGGAAAATTTGTGATAGTCGATGTACATATTGTATTATAAAGTCGTGCCGCACGTTTAAATAATATATAAAAATAATAAGGGGTGCGATCAAGCCCTCTTGGTGTGTGTTTTTATTTTGAAATGTTTAACTTTCGTTTATAGATTTACAGATAATGTGTATAGGCATTTTTTCATTTGCTAATTAATATCACCAATGTTCATATATTTAAATTTCTAAAAATATTAAATAAAAAGTTTGTACTTTTATTTTAGTTTTATTTCTTCTTTTCTGTCCCACATAAATAAGGTTCTCGAAAAATTACTGAAGTATTTTATCTATAGATAAGGTAAGCTTATTTAAAGTGTACTCTAATCGCAAGGTAAACGTTACATAACCATTAAACTGGTAGCAAGAAAGGTGATTCATTTCGTATCATATAGATATTGTAACAAATTGATAACACTTTTGCAAACTTATTCTAAACGGCTAGTATTTAGCTAAAGTGTATTTGATTCATTTTTAATGAAGTGTAAACGTTGCTATTTGCTATTTGATTGTAATACTACGTAATTTACTATGCGGTAGGCGGTGTGTTTAAATAACTTTGTGTAGGGAAACTCTTAAGTGCTCTTTATTATTCTTGTTGCTTGTTGATGTTAGTAAGTTAGTAGAGCAAAAGTAGGAAGGATATAACCCATCGTCTCTTAGAAGAAATGTCCTTGTTTATTTATTATCATTCCTACAATTGCATTTACTAACTCATTAATATATATTTTTTTTTTATTTTATAAATAATAATAAAAGTTCGTTGTCCGGGTCTGTTTTAACTTGAATCAACTTGATTCACCAAGTCTCTTAATGACCTCAGTTCCATTTAACTCAACTTCCTGTCGGGTTTTGTATTCTCGTTGTCGTTCGCCATTCATCTCAACCATTGAATTAAATCGCTTTAATTTGATTACCAGAATGCAGTTTATATAATTTCCGTCATAAAAAAACAAACCCTATTTAATCTCTTTTATCGATCAATACAGAATCAAACAATGATGTTGTAAATATATCTGGTTTAAATGGGATTTATTATAGAAAAAGGGATTTTTTATTTTTATATAAATATATAAAAGTTTTTATCATTTTCGTTTCAAAGAAGTAACCGAACCAAAATGGTAAATAAGGCATGAAAATGTTTTCATTTTATTATAGGAAACCGCAACATCTACCGCAAAACTTACCTGCGGTTCTTGATGTCATTTTTATTAATACATAGTAGTACTCAACCTTATAACCAATATTTAATAGAAGTGCTTTCGCTTTTGTAGACACTTTAAAGTCGTTGTTTGGTTATTTATGTTATTTTTAAAATAAATATAAAATTGAATTACTCGTTATAAATTCCAGATTCTAAGAAGAGATCTAGAAGCACTGCAACAAATAATTATCTAGAGTAAAATCGCATATCAACTGAGAAAGGAGTTAGACCAAGGAGAAAAGATCTCATTTATTTTCAAAAAGTTGGAAACTGTGACGATTCCGACAATCGAATTGGCGCTGCGAAAAATAAAATTAACAAGGAAAATTGTAATTATGACGGGAGGAGACAAAATTAAAAATTGCGACCAAACTCAAAGGCCAAAGGAATGCTTTTTAAGACACTGAACACAAGTGGCCCATAATAAGCGAAGAGGCCACCACCATTGTGTAGCGGGGTTGAGTGAGGTTGGGTTGGATTTGGTTGGATTTTGACAAGACGTACAAAATAAAATCGGAAGAGAATTAGATATAAACAGTATCTTTGAAGTACTTCTAGAGACAAAGGATGAAGGAAGAGAAGTGATGAATTACCTGACTGAGGTTATGATGGAGAAGGAATGAGAAGAGAAGAGAGAGACAGGAGGACTCCAACCAAAATGTAGGCGAATAATAAGGAAAAGAAAGAAAGAAAAGATCAAAAACGAGTGTTATGCCCAAGAATAGTTATATTTTTATATTTTATTAGCGAAACCGGTATTCAAAAGCGAAGGAAAGAACAGATATTTCCACCAGCTCGAAAATCTCAGGCACCAACAGTGCGCCAAAAAAAAATTGTTGGATTAGGTTGGGTTGGGTTGGGTGATGGAGATGGTAAATGGCAAAGTTGTCAAATTCTCCAGATGGCTCCAACTTCAGAAACTCTGCAAGTTGATTCTCCATTATATATTAGAACCGTTATACCTTGATAGCTAGTGTTATAGTTCTAGTTTTACTTCAAAAGAAATATACAACAATCTAGCGCTGAATAACAATTAACTTATTGTTAAATTTTCCATTTGGAGGAAATACTCTTCTACAGTGTTGTTAAATACCCGGGTATTTATTTTCAAGGGTAAATTTCCTGGATATATACCCGGGGGTATTTCCCCAAGATGGGTATTTAGAGGTATTTATAAAATTTAATTTAATTTATGTTGATGGTAGTTTTGCAAACACTTCAAGAATGCAGAGTCGATTATCGATATACCAAACTTATTTATAACATCTACAAGAATGTTACAATGATGGTAAAATTGCATGAAAGTACTGAAGAGAGTAGAAGTAGTAAAGTACTGATTGTGAGTAAAACAAGGCGATACACTGTTGAACCCAAATTGTTCATCACAGTCCTGGAGAGTGCATTTAAACAACTGGATTGGACCCAAAAAGGCATAAACATTGATAGCAAATGCTTAAGTAAGTATAGTTCTTATTTCGGATAGCCTTGGAGAGATGACTTAAAGGAGCTGAATTCCACTAGCTCGAAAATCTCAGGCACCAAAAAAAAAAGGGTCGGATTAGGTTGGCTTGGCTTGACTTGGCTTGGCTGGGGTTGGGTTGGGTTGGGTTGGGTTCCTGTCGAAGAGGGAGGTGGTGGCTTCGAACGGAACAGTATGGCAGACCAACAGCGGGGTTCCACAAGGTTCGATACTGGGCCCTACGCTGTGGAATATATTTTATGACGAAATACTGCGAATGGATATGGAGCGTGGAGTGAAATTAGTGGCATATGCTGATGATCTTGCCCTCATCGTATGCGCCAAAACCAAGGAAGAGGTAGAGGACAAGGCTTGTTACGCGAGCGAGAGAGTCATAAGAAGACTAAACGAGATGGGAATCAGGGTGGCGGCCAAAAATACCGAAGTGGTAGTCCTACAAGGAAGACGAAAGGTGCCAAAAATGAAGGTTGTCATTGAAGGCCAAACGGTGGAAAGTTCACCAATGGTAAAATACCTGGGGGTTTATCTCGATAAGGACATGAGAATGACGGCGCATGTCAGGGAGATCACGGAAAAGGCTCTGAAGATGGCTAATATACTTAGGAAGATCATGTCAAATGTGGGGGGACCAATAAGCAGCAAAAGGAAACTGCTAGCTACTACGGTTACGTCGGTCTTGTTGTATGCGGCGCCCACCTGGAGTAGAGCATTAAAATATAAGTGCTACAGGAAGATGCTTAACGCAATAAACAGGAAGTTAGCGATAAGCATAACATTAGCGTATTGCACGGTCTCTGCAGAAAGTGTCGAGGTGATAGCTGGTATGCCTCCGATGGACCTGCTGGTGGAGGAAAGAGTCTCCCTACACGAAAGAGGGAGAGAGAGCAAGAGCGAGATAAGGGAAGATCTGATGAGGATATGGCAGAATAGGTGGGATCAGTATGATGGATGGGCCAGGACCATTATTCCGAAGGTAAAACCATGGATGGAGAGAAAGTGGGGGGAAGTTGACTACTTCCTAACACAGGTGATAACGGGCCACGGTATTTTCGGAACATATTTATGTAAGATCGGGAAAGCATCATCTGCACAGTGTTGGTTCTGTGGGTTAGTGGATACACCAGAACATACGGTGTTCCACTGCCCGAAGTTTGCGGCGGACAGGACGAGGTGTTTTGAAGTGTGTCGGGAAACGGTGACCAAAGATAACATCGCGACACTAATGTTAGCCGATGGCGAGACCTGGGAGAAAATCGGAGGGTACGGGTTGGGTTGGGTTATGGAGATGGTAAATAGCAAAGTTGTCAAATTCCCCAGATGGCTCTTTCAGAAGCTCAGCAAACTGATTCTCCATTATATCTTGATAGCTAGTGTTAGTTCTAGTTTTATTTCAAAAGAAATATACAACAATTTAGAGCTGAATAACAATTAACTTATAGTTAAATTTTCCATTTGGAGGAAATACTCATCTATCATGGAAAACAAAAAAAATCTTATGAAAAGCTCATTGTATTATTGAAAATACATTTGGAATTTTGGTTTCTAGATTCAAAGTCTAAAAAATTACTTATTTTTAAAAATGAGTCAATTTTAAATGTTATTAGATAACAGTTAAAGTATTTTGAAATAAACAAACGTTATCTTAATGATATGATGTAGTTAAAATGTAACTAAAATTATTAGTATTGATTTAGTATAACATAGAGATAAAATGAGAAAAAGTTATGCAACTCAAAATACATACTTGTATTATTGTACGTATAAATTTGAAATATAAGTGTATTTAAAAAAGGAAACTGAATAGTAGATTTAAGTTTTGGGTAGGAAAACGTTAACCGTGAATTAGAAAGTTGTAAAGGAATGCGAATCGATAATTTTTTAAGTAAACCGACCGTGGAAAGGTCGTCCGAAAATGGTTTTAAAACGAATAAAAATTTTAATATTAAAAAAAAAATAAGAAAAAACTTGAAAAGTAATAAATACAAATCCCGACCGAAAGCGTAGAAAGGTCGGAGATGAGTCAGTGTTCCCGAAATATCTGGTAGAAAACCAGATGTTTATTTCGTACTTTCGCACGATTAGAATCGAGTCAAAATGAAATCGTGTCCAAAATAGGAAAGGAATGAAAATATAATTTTATTATATTTTGAATTTAAAATAAAATTGTTTCTCTCTCGTTTTGGTTTTTTGGTTTTTGGTTCGCTTGCGCGAGCCAAGCGATCCTGTCTGTATTAGTCATCTGCACTCTCACCTTCTTTTCGAGGCTGCGCAGAGCTTAGCCGTCGAAGCCAATGATAATACTCGACGGCGGCGAATCGCAATGCGGGTTTAAAACTAAATATACGGCGCGGAGTGAGTCACGTACTGTACGCTCTCAGATACCCAAACGTACGGACGTTGTTACTTAAAAAATAATACTAAAAAAAAACATTTATCTCAAAAAGATAACATCTTTCGAAAAAGTTCAAAAAATCCAAAGGAATATTTTCAAATTCCGATTTAACCAGCGAGCACAGTGATTAATTCAATATAAAATAAAACGTTTTAACCGGGAAAATCGATAAGTTAACATTTTTTTAAATAAAACGTGAAATGTACGTCGACATCCAACGAAATGATAGTGATGAGTGGATGTTGAGTCTCCAAACACCTTGCGGATTATTACTTTGGTGAGATCTTGCGAAATGGGTATTCGCCGCAACGTGAAACAATCGTGACAGTTCCTGGATTATCCAGAAAATCATCTCGTGTCGAACAATTTATTTTTCGTTCAATTTTTTATTAAATCAGCAAAGAAAAGAAATCACGTAAGTTAAAATTATATTACATAAAAATGAAAAAGGAGTAAGATGACACTAATTAAAATTTTAATATAAAGGTTTATTAACCATTGTTTCGTTTAATGTTTATTTTATTTCCTTTTTTAATCTTCATTTTATTAAAAAAAATCAGGTTAATTTTTTGATTTGAAATCCCCCTAAATTTTTTTTTGGTTCAACCCTCGAACAGATGTGTCCAGGTAGAATTTTATCTTCTACAACACGTAGAGGAGACGAATTTAAAACCCCCCATTGAATTCCAAGGTGTTTTAAAATCATATGATTCTTAAACTTCCTTAATTTATTTCTGAAATTTAAATGATGCCATAAAAAAAGAAATAATTGTCATCGTAATCTAATCTAAAAATTTTATTGGACGCCCATAAATTAATGTTGCTTTCTTATTTTATTGTATATAAAAAAATCATTTAAATTTAAAAAAAGTTAATTAAGTTAAAATAACGTCATAAAACGTCACGAATGACGATGTTAAAATCGTTTTCGAAAAGAATGAGCCGGATTTACAACGTTGTTGAATGAGAAAAACGATCAGTAGTACTATTAAATCGTAGTGTAGTAATAAATTTCGGATTAAAATTTAAAAAAAAAAAAAAAAAAGCGGAATTGAATTTAAAATTTGAATCGAGGACACTAAATGAAAGACAAATATTGAAACGAATACCAATTTCGTTGGATTTACACGGAACTATACAAGGTTTTTACAAGTGAAATATCAACCTAGCAACCAAAGCGGAAGCTCCGGATTGAAATTGATTGAAAAATACGGTACGGGAAGTAGCAATGAGCCTTGCAGGGAAAGATAATTCAAATTAACAATTTAAATAGAACCATCGCTTGCTATTCGCTCCGACAATACTCTATGTACGTATTTTTTTAATGACACATCACTATTTTGTTTACACATTTTGTGTATTTGACCGCCTAAATGTTAAGAATAAAACTTTTAATTATATATAAAAAGTGTTCTGACGTTTTATGACGAAACTCTAAGTGAGTGTGTATTTTTTCTCTTTTTATGACGCATCACTACGCATATATGATTCGTTGAAATTAAAAAATCCCCTTCATTTGAAAGTTATTAAAATAAAAATAATAAATACGCCATAATTTTTATGTTTGGAAATAACGTTTCGATACATTTTAAAATTAATTATTTTTAACTTATGCTAAATTAAAATCTTCTTTATCTTCGAACGTATTCAATCTTACAATTCGATCGAATATCTTATCTTAAACACTTAATCATGTTGGTTACTATCTACTATTTCAATCGATCATAAATTAGGGGATCGTGTCAACAGAGTTTTCAACTTTCCCTAAAATCCATTGAGTCTCATTAGTATTTCTGAACGGGTCAGAAAGATTTTGGAATTTTGCCAAGATATATTTATAACCCATTATTTTGTTCAAAATCATAACTTAATTATGTCTTAGCCACCAAGTTGTTGCGATTTGATGAACATATTATATCTTGAACCAAAAATAGTGCTTCTTCAAAAGCAGCTATATTTATTGTATGCCTAATATGTACAAGTAATTTCCTGATTCTTTGAAGATTCCTCTTTAGGAATTTTTTGATTCTCTGGCACTGGATTTGATTGAGGCAAAGTTTTGATTAATCAGTTTTTATTACTGATCTAGACCTAGAACTAGAATCATTTGGGTTTAGCCGCACGTCTCTTAAGACGGCTAAACCGAATGATTCTAGTTCTAGGTCTAGTGTTAGTTCTAAAACTAAAACTAGAACTAACACTAGACCTAGAACTAGAATCATTCGGGTTTAGCCCTAAGTCTCTTAAGACGGCTAAACCCGAATGATTCTAGTTTTAGGTGTAGTGTTAGTTCTAAAACTGGAACTAACACTAGACTTAGAACTAGAATCATTTGGGTTTAGCCGCACGTCTCTTAAGACGGCTAAACCCGAATATTTCTAGTTCTAGGTCTAGTGTTAGTTCTAAAATTAAAACTAGAACTAACACTAGATCTAGAACTAGAAACATTCGGGTTTAGCCGAATGATTCTAGTTCTAGGTGTAGTGTTAGTCCAAAAACTAAAACTAGAACTAACACTAGACCTAGAACTAGAATCATTCGGGTTTAGCCGCACGTCTCTTAAGACGGCTAGACTCGAATATTTCTAGTTCTAGGTCTAGTGTTAGTTCTAAAATTAAAACTAGAACTAACACTATACCTAGAACTAGAATCATTCGGGTTTAGCCGCACGTCTCTTAAGACGGCTAAACCCGAATATTTCTAGTTCTAGGTGTAGTGTTAGTTCTAAAATTAAAACTAGAACTAACACTAGACCTAGAACTAGAAACATTCGGGTTTAGCCGCACGTCTCTTAAGACGGCTAAACCCGAATATTTCTAGTTCTAGATCTAGTGTTAGTTCGAAAACTAAAACTAGAACTAACACTAGACCTAGAACTAGAATCATTCGGGTTTAGCCGCAAGTCTCTTAAGACGGCTAAACCCGAATGATTCTAGTTCTAGGTCTAGTGTTAGTTCTAGTTTTAACTGTTATTCATCGCTAATTAAATTGTTCTATATTTTTATTGAACTAAATGTAAAACTAACACTAGAACCAAAAACATTTAGATTTTGCCGTCTTAAGAGAATGAGATGAATATTGTTAGTTCTAGTCCATCATCTGCGAACATGGTCCATGTCACTTCTAAATAATGTCTCAAATATGTGTCAAAATTTGTCAACATGATTTCTAATAATATAAAAACATCACATCACTAAGAGACTTGTTATGGTTTCTTAGTAGTATGTAAACAATAACATTTTTCCTTAATTTCGAAATAAGAAACTTTAATTTTATATTAATAAATGATTAAAAACAAATTATTTTTAATTTTTAATATTTAATAAGTTGCCTTGTATTTATCGAAACGTTATTTCAAGACACTCTATATAAATTTATCGTAGTATAGTGTATTCAATGAGTATGATAAATATATATATGTATGAATGTTATCATTTATTAGTATTGTTTGGTATAATAATTTAGTTGAGTCAGTCGTTGGAAAACATTTGGGGACGTTTGAAAAAGCGCGTGAACGAGTCCGTTTAGTGTCGTTTCATCTTGCTCCTTAAAAAGAGACGGTGCGTCTTGGCACTCATGACAGCTCTCCGTGGCTATTCTAGTAATAGCAGCTGACGTCCGCCAGCGTCATGTCGGCAGTTTGTCTCGAGCCATCGACGGAAAGATCGAGGGAAGCACTGAAACTGCCGCTGAACAGAAGCCTGAGTGAGCCGGGGCCCCCGCAAAGCCCCACGTTGTTCCTGAATCCACCGAAACGCTGCAAACTGGAGTCCACCAGCCTCCCAACGAGCCCTTGCGCTGAGAGCCTCACTCTCCAGCGGGTTCTGATACTGAGCAAGGTCGGGACCATCGACGCCGACGACCTCAGGCGGAAGCTGGAGACCTCCCGGACGGGCCTCCGGGACTTCCTATTGGTTGATTGTCGAGCCTTCTTCTCCTACAACGTTAGTCACATTATTGGCGCGATCAACATCAATTGTTCCGATAGATTCAATAGAAGACGTCTTCAACAGGGAAAGGTTACTCTTGGTGATCTCGCCGTCACCAGAGAGGGAAAAGAACTTTTTAAGAAAAGAACGCTTAAGGAAGTTATTATTTACGATGATAGTACTTCCGACCTTGAAAGAATCAACGCCACGCATCCACTTCTTTTGGTTCTCACCTCACTTGTTGAAGACAACAGGGAACCGATTTTATTATTGGGTAAGTCTTTTTTATTACTTATTAATATATTAAAGTGCGCATTAACCAAATGTTATTATCGCGCAGACATGCGCAATTTAAAATAAACATCCTTCTATAACTTTCGGTGTAAACACGAAATACGCTGAGCTTTGCAAAGTTTTTCTTGATAGAGTCAACGTAATAAAACACGAGAGGCATAAAATAATATTGAATTTCTGAGCACGGAGCGAAAATTTTAGACCGGCGTCTAACAGCAAAACTGCGCAGTAAAACGGTTTTTGGCACTCGCTGTTTTGTTTTAGTCGTTCCAAAAACACAATTTTATTCATAATTATTTTAACACGTCATTCATTCTATTAAATGTAGATTACATTTATTATTGATGCAACTTGCTTTTTGTTATTGCGAACAAAACCTGTTATTGTTTTATTTTAAGATAACTTTCTGTAACAAGTAAGTAAAACAAAGTGATACTGAAAAGATATATTATCGCTTCATGTTGTCATTGCTTGAAATAAAATGAGATTTCTAAAACAGAGTTGAGCATATTATAACTCTCTAGTAGTAATCTATAATTGAAGTACATATTGACAAATACGATTCATGGTGAGTCAAAAATTAAACACTGCTTGAGTGGGTGACAAGCAATAACAAATAGCCATGTTATCTATTGATAAGAAATTATGATGAGATTTTCTATTGTTTGCAGTTTTTCGTCCCCGTTTTTGTAAAATGTATGTAAAAAAATTTTAATCTAGCTATTGTGTCAGGTTTGCAATGTGTATTTCGTAGTTTAGCCTTTAAATGTTCCAACGTCCTTGAGATATGTACGCAAATTCAACGACAAATACTCGTCGAATGCCAAAGATTAATTGATATCAATGGAAATACGAGATTCGTGAGTCACCGCTTTAAATGTTTATTGAAAATAAAAAAAAAAACTTTCTAGAATTTTATCTACTACGTTTAGACGCAAAACTCTCTCTCGTAACTTTTATATATACTCTAAAGTACGCTGTAGTGTATACTCTTAAGTACAATTAAGATTAGTTTAGCTCCGACGCAGCGGTTACACAACGAGCAAACACCCTTATCATTTCGAGAGTCTTTCTCTACGTTTCTTGCACTCGTACGCCAAAACATCTTCAATGTCGTGTTTAAATATAGAAATTATTTCTCTCCGATTATTATCCATCCGATATAATCACTTTTTTTTGTCGTTAAAAAATATATCGGTGACGTCAATAATAATCAATCGAAAGGATCAAATTGAAACAAGAAATTTTTTTCGCTAAAATGGAAAATATGAAAATTGATAAGATTCGTAAATGGTTTAGTCATTATTGATTAACATGTTGGGTTGGTTAGTAAGAAAATAAATATTTGCACTGTTTTGGGTGATTCCACGGAAATGATTTTTGTCATCCACGTGACGTCAGCTCTCGGCAAATTCGGTCGAATTCCAAACGCGAGTCTTCCTTCGAAATCGATTTGTTTAAGGCTGGCGTGTCGTGTCGTATTTATTTAAATATAACCCTTTATTTCCGAGGCGGTGATTCACAGTTCTATATTTACCTGCCCCGGCCCGAGAGCGTCTCGGCGTCAACATTCAGGCAAAAGCTCATTAAAAAAAATTACAAATTTTTGCCAGGAGTAGTCACGGCGAATTCATGATTAATTGCGTTAATTCTTATTTCATCTATTTTTGGGAAAACCTGAACCGTTTATCGCGTAATCGTAACCGATATCTTAGTCACTACTTTTCTACTACTACGAGTCGTCATTTTTTTCTATACACATTGTCTCGCAATCCCCATGTAATTCTTTATTTACAGTTTCATTGCAACATTCGTGATTCACGCAAGGGGGCAAATATTTAATCGCTGACGACATTTTAACCATTTGGATCATCTCCATCATTTTAACCATACATTTCCAAACAACATATTTGTCATGTTAACTTTTTGTCACAAACAGATAACAAATCGAAACGACAATAATTACTTAAACATAAACTTTTCCATCACGTTTCGGTTTTTTTCGTTATCACCATCGAACGTTCTATTCAGATATAAAACGATAGATAGCGAATACTATCTTTGCTAATAACGCGAAAGTCATCGTATTTTCTCCTTATTATTTTTAATATTATTTTTTTTTTTAATTTTTTATATAGATAACGACGACGAAGTTAAAGTATTAACGAATTTTTTGTCGACTCGATCCTGCTCTCTCTGACATAAGCGTTAAAATTAGACTGACATCGTAAATATTTACAAACACACATTGTACTTTATTTTTTCGTCCAATCTTTGTTTTTTTATATGTTGAGATGTTGTTTTTTTGTTTTGTGTGCATTAAGGTTAAAACTATAGGTCAGTGTCAAGGATTTTATTTTTTTGGATTAGGCTGATGATGAATCAAATAATAACATAAAAAACAGAAACCTGTGTATGTAAAAAAAATATTCATACAATGAGTCATTATTGAACACTGTCACTCGAACGCATTTCCCCCGTGTCAAAGATCGCGCAGGGTCACGTAAACAAAACGCAAAACGAAGGAAGGAGAGAAGGTTCTCCATCCATCGGTTCGTTTCGCGGTCTGTTCGACGTCCGTTCTGGAGGGACTCCATTTGTGACCTTCTGGTGACGCAAGTTTCGGGAGCGAGTTGTGAATGACGCATGCCGTGCGGGGTCCCCCACCACGTCGCGACGCCCCGATTTGGATAGCGCCGCGCCAGTTCCAACTGCGACGCATCTGGGTTGTGACACAACAAAACTTAACGCGATTCCGTCGTGTGAATAACCATTTTCTAACTTAAAACTTTTGTGAAAGACACTTTGTTTATAAAAACGTTTTATAGTTCTCATTCTCCTTTCGGTTACCTATCGAAGAACACAAAATGAGGCTGAAAAGGCAAAGCAGTTGTCTTGTACTTTCATTTTTACCGCTTAAACAAGGACTAAGTAAGATTTTTTTTAATATTTTCTTTTATTATATATATTTTATATATATATTTATATATTTTATATATATTTATATATATTTTATGTATATTTATATATTTAATATATATTTTTATATATTTCATATATATTTGTATATATTTTATATATTTTTTTAAATAATATATTAACAATAAATTTCTTAATAACAAAACGTAATAATTTTTAATAAATTAAAATATATTTAAACATAAATGAGTCACATAATTACTAATGACTTGAAAAACTGAATCATTATGATAATTATTTGTCAATAATTGTATAATCATATAAAAATCGCTTAACTTTAAGCAACAAAAAAAAATTGTTTATTATATAATATTTTGATTTAAAATAGTAAACAATGATTCATAACGGTTTAGAAACAAGGTGATGCTGAAAAAGGAGATTGTTTTCCTGTTTTGATATCTGTTTCAATTGTAATTAAAAACGTGCGTTTGAAATATAATAGTGACCGGGAGAGACGAATATGTTAAAAAGTTTGGTGTTGTTGTTTTATTCTTTACTACTACTATAGCCGCGTAATTTTGGTAGACATAAATGAATCATCTTGAGACGTAAACAACGCCAAAACGATGTCGTTTGTTGATGAATTTGTCGTTCCCACGAAATATTAACCTTTTTTTTCCTTCACCTAATCCTTTGTTTATTGTTTTAACTTTTCTGTTATTTTAACTACAGTGACTTTCTAAGATGATTCATCGTGCCTTGAGAATAATATTTTATATTAATTTATAAACCAAGTCAGTTTTTCTTAATTAAATTAAGAAATTATATCGTTTATTTCTTAATATTAATAACAGAATATTATTTTCTCAATTAGAACAATCAAAAACGAAAATAATCTTGAAATGTCCTGATAGCCTTTACTATATTTATCCTAGTTTTATCAACAGATTACGTCAATCGTCTTGTTTATAACTGATTCAGGTTAAAGTGTAACCACCCAATAATTTAATTCTTTTATTTTTTTTATTTAAAGGGGGCCATCGCGAATTTCACCGCAAACATAAAGAATTTTGCGAGGAAACGTTAGCTACAGCATTACCCTCCAGAGGATTACCATCATCGGCATCTTGTCCATCAATAGCGGATATTGATTCGCATCCGGCTTCGAGGGTGTTACCATTTTTGTACCTCGGGAACAGCCGGGATGCAGCCGATTTGGATCGTCTTCAGGATTTGAGGGCCACGTGGGTATTGAACGTCACCTCGCAGCTGCCCGGATACCACGAAACGTGCGGGATCACCTACAAACAAATTCCGGCATCCGATTCCGGCCAACAGAACCTTAAGCAGTATTTCGAGGAAGCATTTGAGTTTATAGGTATGTTATAAACAATAAGTAGTAACATTTTTTTTTATTCCGGTTTTAAACGTCATTTTGTGACGTTTCCGAGTCACCTTGCCTTGGTTTTTTTTTTCTGATAGCTTGAGGCGGTTGGATTATGTAGTAGGAAATTCTTTTAACATGATTTTTGTTAAGGAAGGGAAATTGATTCATTGATTATATTAAAAACTTGGATTGGATCATTTTCACTTTATAAATATTAATATAAATTAATATTTTTATCTAAATTTTTATACCAATATAGAGTGTTATCTAGGGGAGATACAAAATTTTTTTATTAAAAAAATCTGTTAATAATACAATTTTAACCAATTTTTGTTTGAAACAATTTTCGATAAAAGCGATTTTTTGTATCGATGTATAGTGCCGTGCAAAATTTATTTCATTCTGCGTAATTAGTCATATTAACAGTTCCGGTTCTGGTAAAGGATTTAACCACTATCGCAGGCTTACCACATTTAACCCGTTCCTATAAGTGGTAAGCGCCTAAAACGATTATTTGAAGATATGTTATCTTTCAAAATTTACAAACTAAATGATAAATTTCTTTTTATTAAATAATTGTATGTTTAATATAATTTGTTATTTAAATTTGTTTATTTTGAAATTTAATCCAAGAAAAACATGAAGTATTCAATAATTCGAATGATTCACATATACACATTGTTGAGCATAGTTAAGCGATGAATCAGTGAAATAAGGAAAATCCCCCAAGTCGATTCCGTTATTGCTCAAAGTACACCTTAAAACATAAACATTGGTTTGGAATGGAATAAAAATAACAATAAAAAAATGGGGAAAGAGGGAAAACATATCTTTTTGCCAACGGTCTTCTGAGTCATCAGCGTTTTATGATGAATGTTGGCCGCGTTCGTTAAACGCAGATGTTTCTGTTACCACGGGAGTTTGCGCTCTGTGGCTCGACCGCAGGTAAAATTAGCCGCTGACTAACAACCCAGCTTTCTTTCCACATGCCTCTAGAGATCTCCTCGGTAGAGAGAGGAGCAGGAACTCCAACAAACTCGCCAAGCGGCAACGACGACGACGTCCTTGTCTCTCGGCTTCTTAGGCCGGCGGCCTTGCGCACTTTTGAATCATGGTGTATTACTCATCGCAGTTATTGTTTTCTTAGGGCCATTGGCCGACGTTGTCGTCGTGGCCGTCGCGGGTCGTCGTTGATGGAATGAGTCAGAGGAGGGTGACGGAAAAGAACGTGGTTCGTTTTTGAGGGTTGCGTACGATTTCAGATCCTTTCATCAGCTTGACGGTTTTTAAACAATAAAAAATAAGCGGGTTCTCTTTCGATATCCTTTTACTCACCACCACGTGGGGGTACCCCATCACAATACGGCTGACTCACTCTGCGCACATGTCCGGGGGATGATTCAGTGTTCCCCCGATATTTTACCGGCCACTTGCTGACCCCGTTTTTACTACGTTACCGCATCAACAGATGCGATTTACTTATGACTAATACCTAGTGTACCAGAAAGGATATAGAAACTACGTACATACATGATCCTAATTTAAATAACAATGAATTGCTTTAGGGAGATTTAGAAATTAATACAACAAATTTAATGGTTAAATTTACACCTATTATTTCAAAAAAACGTTCAAATACTTTCATTTCATAGGAAATGATTTACTTTCGTTCAATGTTGAGTAAAACCACAAAAAATAGATAACTCGGAAAAAACGTTTACTCACTCTTACATTAAATTTAATCAATATTACAATTAACTTTTTTGACTCGGTTTAATGAAGACTTTGAAATTGTTATCTATGTCAATGTAAATTATAGTGTCATCACTAAACACAATGCATCTTACGACACGTGTACATAAAACTTCATTACCGATGACTCAAATAAACCTATGTATATTACGGTGTATTGTACATAAGGTTCGTTACAGATGTGACAACTCTAACAGTTTATGTTACGCATAATAAAATTTATGACACGTGTATCGTGATAAACGGCCGCAAATAATTTTTTTTTGAATTATTTTTGTTGATATGTTAATTGCTTGTTTATATATAATGTATTTAGTGGTCCGTTTTCTTAAATTAATTTCGTAAATAAAATAAAATCAGTCAGTAACCATAGGGTACGCACTAAAAATAAATCCGTGATGACTCATAGTTCGTTCGTTCGATCCGCCTGTTGCGCACCGATTTAGATAACGTTCGTTTAACAAGCAAAAACACCGGCTTTCATAGGCAACCCAAAAAGCAAACGTCCGGTCGCGAACCTGCTCTCGGTTTTGAAACGGCGCGATGAGTAATCCGTCCGGATAACGATTTATCTGGGTTACGGTGATACCACCGTGTGTTTACCACCGTCTCTTTTATGCGCACACTCGCACGTGTATATATCTCTATAGGATTTTGGTTTCGTAAGAAATATTTTGTAACATCCAACGTTCATTAATTTTACTCTCGAAATACAGGTGGAAATAACATATTAATTTTGTTTTCTTTATTTTTCAGAGGAAGCAAGAAAAAGTGGTTCAAGAGTATTGGTGCATTGTCAAGCAGGTGTATCGAGAAGTGCAACGATAGCAATAGCATACATAATGAAGTACCAGCAGGTATCGTTGGTGGAAGCTTATAAGATGGTGAAGGCGGCGAGGCCGATAATTTCACCAAATTTGAACTTTATGGGACAGCTGTTAGAGTTAGAACAAAGTTTGCACAGTGAGAACGCGCAACGAAAATCCCCGTGCCACCCGTACCATTGGAGTCAACAGCCGTCGGACGAGGTGACCCAAGGCTGCAGCGTTTAGTTAACTAACAAGAAAAGGTCGCCGAAACCGACATCTGAGTTTTTCTAGTCCGTACAAGTTTTTATTTTGTAATATTATTATAGTTTTTCTTTCATTTTTTTGAAAACGAGGCTGTGCCATAAAAATGTATGGAACGGTTACGGTTTTTGTGCAGTTAAGGACAGTCTTGGCACGAGATAAACATCAGTCATACGATAACATATTAGTTCATAGATTTTCTGTTAATTTATTGCAGCTATTTAGTGATAACGTAGTTAAAATATCTTCTAGCTGGGGGGATGAGTGTTTAGATGTGTATTATGTAAAAATTACCTTTTTAAAACAATACCTTAGGTTTAACATATTGACTGTTACTCTAGATGATATATATTTATTCATTTTTATTCGATTTGTCATTTTTTTCGACAAATTTGTATATATCAAAACAATTATTACAAATATTTGTTTTATTTATTATTCCTTACCATCAATAAATATTTAAAAACATTTTAAATCTCAAATATTTATATAATCCACCGTTTCAATACTCTAAATCACAATCAGAATCTCCAAAATGAAGTCTGGATTGCAAACTTTTGAAAGATTGTGTTATTATTTATTCAAGGACTTCTATGCTAGACCCCGCGTCTTTGTGGTTTTGGTGAAGTTCGTGTCGAGTACACTTCGGTGTTCAAGAGTGTCACATCTCTTTACCTACGGAAGATAAATGCATGATTTCCTTACATCAGCGCTAGATCATGACAAAATAATCCCTAGTGGGAATTCCGAAGTACTGTGTCACGTGGGAAACATCAAAAGTGAGAATTTAGAATTCGAGGAGGTACTAGGACTCTTGGGGCCATGTGGAAAATCGTGGGGATGTAGAGTCAAGTTTCGAAGTCGGCCGAGATTATTTCTTACATCCCAAACAATACTTGAGGTAGCCTCTTATTTTCAAAATCAACTTTTATGACTTTTTGATTTTTCCTCTTTATCTGGCAGTATTTTGCCCATTCTAAGTGGCTAAATCAACCTAACCCATTCTATCTTCATTTAATTTCCTTGCATTTATCTAAGCAAAAAGTGGCAGAACTTATCCAGTAAAGAAATAATTAAAATAAGTATTTTTAAATTAAAAAAATTTTTATTATACATTATTATACATGCTATTTTGGTAAACACCCTTTTTTATCCTCGCTTACTTTGTATCCAGATGGACATTGACATTTGCTATTTCTACACAAAACGTCTTTGCTCAAAGTTTTTTGACATTGCTCGACGTTTGTGCAGTAATCGCCCATTTCTACGGTTTCAAATTTTGAATTAAACAGGATTATTATTAGTAAAAAATTTACCTTTCGCCATTATACATAAATCGCCCACTTCGAGATGGTTGTTAATACAAACGCATTTGCCTTGTTTACACTCGGTGTTGGAGCGCGTGCATTGCAAAGAATGTGTGCAATCTTCATGAATACTTGCACCTATACAAATAAAATTAATAATAAAAGTAAAATAAAAATAAATAATTTACTTTTAAGACAAGTTAACTCGTCAATTTGGACGTAATTTTCTTGGCATGCACATTTTTTATCATCATCATTTTCCTCTTCATCAAGTTCCTCACAAATGCTGTGTTCCAATAAGCATGCAAGCGTGTCATCGCATTTCGAACCTAAATCTAAAAATAAAAAATATTTAATACTTGTACAAAAAAATTTTTAAAAATTTACTTGGAGTGCAAATATTTTCATCTAAATCTAATCGATAACCATCCGGACAAATGCAATTTCCATTTACTTTATCACAAATTGAATTGATTATTGTGCAGTCGCTGTTTTCAGCGCATTCAGCTTCACATTCGGTGGCTAAATATTAAAAAACATTAATTGTATAGTAATAAATTGAGTAATTTAATAATTACAACGAGTACAAATAAAATGTTCGTTGAGTTCTGATCCAAAATTACATATACAATAAGAATCGAGATCTGTTTCTTTTACGCAAGAAGCAAGAGGGCCCATAACGTTGCAGCCCAGATCATTGTTACACACGATTTTATCATTTGATTTATAACCAGCTGGAATTACAATAATAATTAGTTGTTAAAGGAAGATGTTAAAATATGTATTTTACCTTTACTGCATCCATCGAGAGCTGGTTTATAATAATGTGTTTTTGCACAAATACACATTCCATTTTCACATAATCTGGGTGTTGTTTTACAATCTGAATTAGCTGTGCATTCTATATTCATGCCAAGTTCGCCGTAACAAGTTCCAGAACTTAAAAAGTATCCCTTTTTACAAACACATTTTTTTATGATGGGTGAACAATAGGAATTGGGGTCACCTCCAACACAATCTTCATTGGTATTGCAGTCATCGGCAATAGTATTTTTTTGATGATGATCATCTTGCCTTTCAAAAATTTCTTTTTTACTTGGAATATCCGGTTCTGTTGTTTGAGCACAACCGTTGTTGGTGCATTTTGCACCTTCGAGGCCTTGACAATCACTATCCATTGCGCAAGCACCCCCATATTCTATAAAATTTTTTATTAATATACATAAATAATGTTTTTTTGAGAAATAAAAAAATTACCTTTTACTAAAGGTCTACAATCAAACTGTCCTCTTGGGTAATAATCTACATTACACGTACATTTAGAATCTGTACAAACCATAGCTAATAAATCCGGACTAACAAAACAGTCTTCATTTTTTTCGCAAAATTCTCCTAACCCTGCACTTTTTATGCAATTTCCATGATGATATCTGTATCCGGTATCACATTCGCATGCTCCTGATTTACAAATATTTTTTCCAAGAAGAGGTGCGCATTGAACATCATCGGTGCAAGATCCACCATAACTTAGAACAACTAAAAAAAGTTTATGAAATATTTATTTCGAATTTATATTTATTTTGTACCATCTAAACATTTAGTTCCATCTGCTGTAAGTGTTTTTCCGATTGGACATTGACAAAAATTATCGGTACAACTAGATTCCGGTGCCGCACAATCTTCCGCTTCATTACAAACGAAGAAATTTCCAGAAACTCCACCTGTGCAAAAGTTTGATTATCAAGATTGTTTTATATATAAATCAATCGGTGCAGGTGTTTCGAACACCTGCATAAAAAAAGATAAAGTGTTCTCTAGCATCTATTAGGGATTTATTTATCAGATAAAAAATATTTTTTTTTGTAACATTGGATGCAGAAAAAATAGATGAAAATAACTTACCCGTAAAATAAGTTAACATTAACACTAAAACTAACTTGAGTATTTCCATTTTTTGAGTTATACCGTTGTTTTTAGTGTGGCGAGAATTTCGACAATGAGTTAATCCTTGAATAGGTTGTCGATAAATAATGTAGCCACACTTGAAAATTCGAATGATAACGTATTGATTAAAATTGTTTTGCGATCACTATCAATATGACCAAATCAATTTGATGTATTGAAATCGATTATTAGTTTAGTATTAATAAATTTTTTATCCAAAAATATTAATTTAGAGATTTAATGATTTCATGGTTTATTACAAAAATTTCGATTATATCGTTTCGGTGTATTATGAACAATTTTTATTAAAATCTCACCAACAGTTTTTAGTTTTTGAGTTAAAAATTATTTTTAAGCAAGTATGCAACCAATATCGCAGTGCAATACGCATCATACGCAAATCGCGTATTGCAATAAAAATACTGTCATATTGGTTGCATTTATATTTCTATATATAAATTTTCATCATCGTTTTATGCAAAATTAATTTAGGGATTTGATGATTTATTAGGTTGGTAATAAAGGTTATTTGGAACAACTATGTTTCCAAATGTTTTCTTTACTAATAAAGATATACAAACAATGGAATGCTTACATCTAGCACAAAATTAATAATTGAATAAATATTGAATTATTAAACCATTTGGGGTTGAGTGTTTAATATTTCCTCTGAGTTTTGGTCAGCATTAACTGGTAGAAATTCCGTTGGTTTTTTATACAACACTTGAGTATTTCCATCGTGCACCATACAAGTTCTCAATCTTTGTTGGACCTTCACCATATCTTTAAAAGGAGCAACCATGTGCTTGTGATAAAATTCCATGGCCGTTTGGTAAAACACAATAGCACCTTCGTAGTCACCTTGTTTAAATAAATCTTCAGCTTTTGTTGTAAACTCATCCAATTTCTGTCAACAAAAAAAATATTAATTTTTTATAAATAAATTTACAATAAATATTTTTACCATTAATTGTAAAGATGGGAGCATAATATTATTTTTAGTTTTACATTTTTTGCATACAACAAACGGATTGTCTTGATCAACTCCAACAATCAAACAATGTTCGCAAGTTTGACATTTAAGGCGAAGACTTTGCTCGTCCATTTGTTCATATAACGGCCAATTTTCGACGCAAGGAACGCATTGGCAATCGAAATAATATCTTTCCTTCATTTTTCTCTGTCGATCAACGTATTTATGGGTGCAATAAATAGGGCCGTAATTTTCAAATATAGCATCACCAGCCTTGATGTATTTAACGGTTCTCGCAATCATTTTCGTGCCTTTGTTATATCTAATAATACTCGGTTCGCAACTGTGATTAAACAAAGCCAAAGTTGGATAAATGCCACCGCCCACGTGACTGTTACGATAAGAAACGTCACATTTACCATCGGTATTTCTCATTTCCGAAATTTCGTGAGCGTTAAACTGAAGGAGTTGAAGATGCCTTAATAGTAAACTTCCAATGTAAGCTTCTTCATCTTTTAAAACTTCCTCTTGGGTTTCGAATGGAAAGAAGCTCGTTTTTTTTAGTAATCTTAAAAGGAAGATGGCCATAAATGTGTAATGTAAAAATTCGCCTTTTGGCCGGATTTCGGTGTGTGTACACAGTTGATAAAGTCTCGCGTAATCGTTACTTTTGTAAATACTACCATCTTCATGTTTTTTCCCAAAACATTTTCGGTTTTCCCAAAGAAACGCTAAACCTTGTTGGGTTATGATACGTAAAGATAATAAACAATTCACGGAAGCACCGGAAGTGTAAATTGTTGGTAAGATGTTGCATTCTATTTGATGATAATTTGCTTTTTCTTTGCATGAGTTTGAGCAAAAAATGACATGGGTACAATTTTCGCATGGATAAGGAGATAATGTATTTAAGCCGCAATGGCTGCAATTTTTTAGTATGTTATCTTTGCCGACTACAATTGAAAATGGTTCTTCTTCTAATATTATAGTAGCTGCTGGAATATCTTTGGTTGCAATAGCATATCTTCCAACATTAGGGTCATAACGGAAATCAACCGATTCGGATGCTGCTGGATAAAAATTATTTCTGTCAAACTTAACATAAGTTATCTGCTCACTTTTAACATCAATTGAATTTTGGTCACTTTTTGCACATTTTTCTTGGGCGATTTTTAAAATTTGGCGAATCTCTTTCAGTTTTTGTTCCGATAATTTTGTATTTACCCCAACTTTAATTGCTTCTTTGATGCTATCAACAGCCTTCTTATATACTTTTATCTCGCTGCAGCACTTTCCTTTACGCAGAAGAATCTTGTATTGCAAATCTTCGGGGTACCAACCGGTTTGAAGAACCCAATCGACGTCCACGATACATTGTTTATAAAGGGAAAGCTCAAAGAGAACCGCACTTCGGTTTGCAACCAAAACAGCAAGCAACTTTCGGGATTCATCTGGAAAAGTTTTGAAATGTATTTATTATTTTGTGTCCATTTAGTTTATTTGTGGTGTTATTTTGATCACGTTTCCGCCTACATCTACCAACTCCCTGGCTTTTATGGACACTTAGGATGTGTTAACGAAAATAAACGGGCTGATTGTCCTTCTCTAATGCACTGTTTTACGCCTTTAGGTTGCCAAATAATGAAAACTATTGTTAGACGTGTTGAAATTTTAAATGCAATTTCCTGAAAGTTGGAAAATTTTTGGGATCTTTGCCCAGTTTATATATAATTATTTTTTTTAAATCTTTATTAGTTTCTAATAAAATTATTTTTAGAGAGACAGAAAAAGCAATTTCTATATATATATGTATAATTGTGAAAGTAATTTTGACCTACTTTCTGGTTAATTTGAAAAATTGGGATTTTGCCCAAAAAATATCTAACAATACATTTTTTACGTTACAATGCAGCATTTTAGAAAAATATGAATATAAAAAAAAAAAAACGTACCTGTATCAATCGGACAAGTAACAACACCTCGATTATATTGGTGAATGGCTTCAAGAAGATTTTTGTTTTTATAAAACAAATTGGCGTTTGTTTTGAAATTGGCGGCTTCTTGTAATGATTTGCCGCGAGATTGCTCTGCTATCGGTATTTTAATGGCATGCTCGTACATCTGCTTGATGCGGTCCATGTCGTCCGCGCCGTTTTTGAAATTGTTAATCTGCTCATGGTTGAGAAGCTGCACGAGCTTTTCGCAATGTGTTCGAAATGAAAGGAAAACCTCGCCGGTCATAATTTTCAATTAGAGGAAGCGGGATCGCAGCACCACCACTTTATAAACTTTACGACGAAATCAGATTTATAATTAGAATTTACTTTTTGAGACCAACACACAGTAACTCCCTCTAGTGCAGTAGTTTTCAAACCGCTAACATTACTTTCTCTTAAGTAAGAAAGAAAATCACTGTTCACCCCGGAAATTTAAAATTAGATATGATTTAACCTCGCATATTCCTTTATAACATCAAAAAGTTGTTATAAGTAGTTTTACTATTAGAAAAATAAATATTAAAATGTATCAATATAGTATATTAAGAAGTGATGTATTAAAATCGATCATAACTCAAAAATGAAAGGTGATGGAGAAAATTTTTTTAGGAATAAATTGTTTATTATGAACTAAAAAGACATCATCCATAAACATATGTAGTTTAGATATAATGATTTTCTAGTGATAAAGAGAAAATCCCCAAAATGTCAAAATTGAGTACTTTTGGTATTAAAATCGATTATAACTCAAAAACGAAAGGTGATGGAGAAAAGTTTTTTAGGAATAAATCGTTTATTATGAACTAAAAAGACATCATCCATAAACAGATTTAGTTTAGATATAATGATTTTCTAGTGATAAAGAGAAAATCCCCAAAATGTCAAAATTGAGTACTTTTGGTATTAAAATCGATCATAACTCAAAAATGAAAGGTAATGGAGAAAAGTTTTTTAGGAATAAATTGATTATTATGAACTAAAAAGACATCATTCATAAACAAATTTAGTTTAGATATAATGATTTTCTAGTGATAAAGAGAAAATCCCCAAAATGTCCAAATTGAGTACTTTTGGTATTAAAATCGATCATAACTCAAAAATGAAAGGTGATGGAGAAAAGTTTTTTAGAAATAAATTGTTTATTATGAACTAAAAAGACATCATCCATAAACATATTTAGTTTAGATATAATGATTTTCTAGTGATAAAGAGAAAATCCCCAAAATGTCAAAATTGAGTACTTTTGGTATTAAAATCGATCATGACTCAAAAATGAAAGGTGATGGCGAAAAGTTTTTTAGGAATAAATTGTTTATTATGAACTAAAAAGACATCATTCATAAACAAATTTAGTTTAGATATAATGATTTTCTAGTAATAAAGAGAAAATCCCCAAAATGTCAAAATTGAGTACTTTTGGTATTAAAATCGATCATAACTCAAAATTGAAAGGTGATAGAGACAAATTTTTTAGGAATAAATTGTTTATTATGAACTAAAAGGACATCATCCATAAACAGATTTAGTTTAGATATAATGATTTTCTAGTGATAAAAAGAAAATCCCCAAAATGTCAAAATTGAGTACTTTTGGTATTAAAATCGATCATAACTCAAAAATGAAAGGTGATGGAGAAAAGTTTTTTAGGAATAAATTGATTATTATGAACTAAAAGGACATCATCCATAAACAGATTTAGTTTAGATATAATGATTTTCTAGTGATAAAAAGAAAATCCCCAAAATGTCAAAATTGAGTACTTTTGGTATTAAAATCGATCATAACTCAAAAATGAAAGGTGATGGAGAAAAGTTTTTTAGGAATAAATTGATTATTATGAACTAAAAGGACATCATCCATAAACAGATTTAGTTTAGATATAATGATTTTCTAGTAATAAAAAGAAAATCCCCAAAATGTTAAAATTGAGTACTTTTGGTATTAAAATCGATCATAACTCAAAAATGAAAGGTGATGGCGAAAAGTTTTTTAGGAATAAATTGTTTATTATGAACTAAAAAGACATCATCCATAAACAGATTTAGTTTAGTTATAATGATTTCCTAGTGATAAAGAGAAAATCCCCAAAATGTCAAAATTGAGTACTTTTGGTATTAAAATCGATCATAACTCAAAAATGAAAGGTGATGGAGACATTTTTTTTAGGAATAAATTGTTTATTATGAACTAAAAAGACATCATCCATAAACAAATTTAGTTTAGATATAATGATTTTCTAGTGATAAAGAGAAAATCCCCAAAATGTCAAAATTGAGTACTTTTGGTATTAAAATCGATCATAACTCAAAAATGAAAGGTGATGGAGAAAAGTTTTTTGGTAATAAATTGATTATTATGAACTAAAAAGACATCATCCATAAACAGATTTAGTTTAGATATAATCATTTTCTAATGATAAAGAGAAAATCACCAAAATGTCAAAATTGAGTACTTTTGGTATTAAAATCGATCATAACTCAAGTATGAAAGGTGATGGAGAAAAGTTTTTTAGGAATAAATTGTTTATTATGAACTAAAAAGACATCATCCATAAACAGATTTGGTTTAGTTATAATGATTTTCTAGTGATAAAGAAAAAATCACCAAAATGTCAAAATTGAGTACTTTTGGTATTAAAATCGATCATAACTCAAAAATGAAAGGTGATGGAGAAAAGTTTTTTAGGAATAAATTGTTTATTATGAACTAAAAAGACATCATCCATAAACAGATTTAGTTTAGATATAATGATTTTAATGTCAAAATTGAGTACTTTTGGTATTAAAATCAAGCAGCTTAAGATGAGGTTTACGATATGCAGATTGGATTTAAAATAATGGTATTAAATTCAAAATTTATATCGCTTAGGCAACTCAATACACATCTCGCTAAAATAACGTTCATTAAATTTAAAAAAAGAAACAAATTAATTAAATTAAAAACTGTTAGAAGATTGAATAAAACTAAAATGAAAACAAATCCGAAAAGAAATCTAATTTTTCTTCCCATCAATTAACTTTTTTCCTGGTTAATTGATAACGATTGAAATGTCGTCGTGTTAAATTCACATTACACAGTGATAAGCGATGAGATATGTCGGTAATGTTGTCATGTAAGTGCGTAAACAGTTATGACATATTTGATACGTGAAAGATTTGATATTTAAAAATTAAAAATAGGTATCCATGAAGATGTCTTTTAGGTTAGTTTTGGTGTTTACATCATGCGTTAACGGTTAAGACGTGGAGTAACATTTTTATTCAATTTTCAGGAATCGCAGTTTTAAAAGGAACCACGAGTGTCCCAAGCGTTTAAACTGTTTTTTTAAAAATGCCTCAGACAGATGAATTGAGATATAGGAAAATTAAAAAGTCCCACCTGGAAAAACTGAGTATGAACGCCCCTTTGTTAGATACTGTAAGTTTTAATTAAATTGATTAAAGTATTAAATAAAAATCTTATCATTACCTATTATTCAATTTTTTAAACATTATATTTTAAGTGCTATTTGATGAATGAGTGCAATTAATTGATAGTTAGTTGAGAATGTATCGTGTTACTTATGAAAGAATGTTATTAGCACAAGTATTTGTATAAATAAATCAGGGTTATAAAATTTTATTTCGCTTTGTTTTAGGACGAAGAATTCGAATTAATTTCATCAAGTGATGGAACATCACTTTTACCAGGACATGATGATTCAAATGTTTCTTTTGAGCAAAGTAGAGAGTCCATCCTCTCTACAGCTGTACAAATGTTTATCCCGTTCCTTTTGGCTGGATTTGGAATGGTCGCGGCAAGTCTTCTTTTGGATTTGGTTCAACACTGGCCTGTTTATCAACACGTATCTGAAGTTTACATTTTAGTGCCATCCCTTTTAGGTTTGAAAGGAAACTTGGAAATGACTTTAGCGTCGAGGTTATCAACTCACGCGAATTTGGGGCATTTGGATACTAGGCAACAACAGATTAGTTTGATTTTTGGAAATTTGGCGCTGATTCAGTGCCAAGCGATTGTTGTGGGATTTTTAGCTTCAATCGCGGCTGTTATTTTTGGCTGGGTGCCTACTGGCGAATTCAATCTTCAACACACTTTGATTTTGTGTGCTAGCAGTATAGGAACAGCGTTTACGGCTAGCTTAATTCTTGGATTGATTATGGTGGGTGTTATTTTGGTTTCGAGACATTTCCACATCAATCCGGATAATGTTGCGACTCCGATTGCCGCTAGTTTGGGGGATTTAACAACTCTGGCTTTGCTTTCTTGGCTTTCATCCGGTCTTTATAACACCAGGGAGACTATGCCATGGTTGACGGTGGCTGTGATTATTGTTGGAATCTTTTTTGTACCACTTTGGGGGTATTTAGCTAGTCGAAATGAGTATAGTAAGGAAGTTTTGGATAGTGGGTGGTCCCCGGTGATAACAGCAATGGTGATAAGTAGTATAGGTGGTTTGATTTTGGATTATACGGTGTCCCAATACAAAGGGATTGCAGTATTTCAACTAGTCATTAATGGAATTGGTGGTAATTTAGTCGCGGTGCAAGCGAGTCGGATTTCGACGGAGTTGCATAAAACGTCTGTTCTTGGGGAATTACCCGAAGATGAAAAAGTTTGTTTGAGTCCATGCGCCACGTTTTTTGATAGCTCGGAAACAAATCATGCCGCAACAGCGCGCATGTTAATGGTCATGGTGATTCCTGGTCATCTAATATTTACGTACACTATAAGCTATTTGCAAGCTGGGCATACCTCGTTTACCCCCAGCTTTATGTTCGTCTATTTAATCGCCGCTCTCTTACAAGTGTTCTTATTACTCTACATCGCCCAAGTTATGATTTTATGGATGTGGAAGTCCGCGATCGACCCCGATAACTCCGCCATACCGTATTTAACCGCCTTGGGCGATTTATTGGGCACCTTCCTATTGGGAGTCGCCTTCCAAGTGTTGTACATCATCGGAGATAAAGACAGCGATGTCGGCGATTAACGATCTGTACAAAACAAAAATGAGTTGTAGTTGCAATATAGTACTTATTCAGTTCTAGATAATTTATGTTAATTTAGATTTTTCGTTTAGTAAATATGTAAATAATTTGTGAAAGCGCCTTTCGATTTTTGTAAAAATTTGATACTACGAGGCGACCTAAATAAATATGAATTCAAAATTAACGTCTTATTTTTTTTATTAAGGATTAAGTTAATTCAAAAGAATATGACATCTATAACTCAACGGAGAAATCATGCAATAAGTTTGCTGTAATTCTTTGATAACCTTGCTTAAAGATGAATTCTATTTGTAGATGGTGCGAGATGTCTTGAACGGTTTTAATGAAAAAGAATTTTAATTTCCATCGTTTTGAATGTCAGTGTCACGCTAAATACTATTAAATTTTTACCAATTTTTATTTAATCGTTTTTTTCAAAAATTATTGCGAAAACATTTATCTAATGTAAAAATGAAATTGTTAAAATAAAGATATCTATGAAAATTAAATTATCTAATGATAACAATAATATATTTATAGATTACTCAATTCCGGATTAAAAAACATAAATATTAAGATATTAATTACGATTTGATAGTAATAAAACGTCGAAAAAATAACAAGATTTAGAAATTTGATTGATGTTAAAGTAAGTGTTAGTGGAATAGAAGAAGTTTTGGTATAAATGTTTGGTGGAAACGTACTGATATGAAGAATTCAAAATTGGTAATAAATTTATGAGCTATTTTGAGGCATTTGAGCCTTGGTACGAAGGCGTAATAATTTAATAACTTAATAGCTAGTAGCTATTGCTGTCCACTTGTAGTTCTAAAGTAGTTTCGTGCTGGACCGTCTTAGTCATAGGAGTTTGACAAAATTTCAAATTGAACCGTTTTCGTTCAACTCTCGCGTTCTCGTGCCCCGGTTCTTTTTAAAGATGTATTTTTTTTGTGATCGTTTACACCTCGCGTTTCTTCTTTAAGTTGGTGTTACAAATAATGTATCCTCAGTGTGAAAATGTTGTATGAATATTTGTTTTTATCGAAACCAGCGAAAAATAAAACTATTGGCAGATGATCACATTGTAAGTTTTTAATTTTAATTCTTACTTTTATAAATATCCTTAAACATTAAAAAAGAAATAAAAATTAGCTTGTAAAAATTAATGTAATTGAAAGATTATTTATTTATAATTTCTCTTTTTGAATGGGAAAAAGAATAAGAGAGGGAGTAGGAAAGGAAGTTCTTTGAACAAGTTGGCATTGAAACGATTGTCGAGTAACTCCACGTGGCCTAAATTTGCACCGCATCCCTCGAATTTGTATTTGTGTAGCCGGCCGAAAAAAAATGCCATTTCTTACATCATATGTACTGCTAACACGTTATCATTGAGAATAATCGCAAGTTTCCTGCTTCTGAAACTAAGCCGGCGATTGACGCGACGGCAAAATTAAAAAACTCGGCACACTTCGTACACAAATCTTCCTTCCAGAAAATTTTCTCTACCGGTCTAATTGCACAAAATTAGGAAACGACTCAAAACTCGATTAATCTACTTCAACAAATGGATAGTTCAAATTTCAACAATTTTTAATTTTATTTTCATTTCCTATAAAAAAGATTTATTAAAAATTCGAAGAACTTTTACATCATCGTCTCACATTGCACTTCCAAGAATATAATCATATTATCGACCCGATAATCTTGGTTACCTTGATAATACTTCTTTATTATGACTCACTAAAAGTGCAGTCCAAACAATCTCCGTTGTAAAACGTTGCGAAATAGCATCTATATCAATAACTAACAAGTTATAAAACAGTTTTGAATAGTCACGCGGTATAAGCGCGTGCGCCATTTCGCGCCGTTTTCTTTTCGAAGGGGTTGTCGGGTCTGACATTCATCCACAAGTCGTGGATCAATACGTCCAGCAGTACACGATGTAGCCGCGTGTGGCCTCATAGGCTTTTTTAGCCTAAAATTTTTTGGTGCTTTAAGCCAGACCCCGGAGCGTCATTATTAAAAAAATTATCCCGTAATTTCTGCCCATTCAAGGGAATCATTGTTACTTGATCCAGGTGAGATATTCTAATCCACTTTTTTTTGTAGCACCACGTGCCACCACTATACTTTGACGTCAATTGCAATTACATCATCAATTATTATTTTATCATTAATATATCACAATGATGTATTTGATTATGAAAATAAAAAAAAACAGATTATGTCAACGCGATAAATAGAATAATTAATTGCATAAAAGTAACTGGTTAAGTAAGAATTTTTACGTAATCATTCTACAAATCAATCGCAATTACACGTGATACTACCCAGTTCCGGTTTTATTAAGGATTAGCAATTTTAATTTTTTTTTTAAATTTTTTAGTACAGAGAGCTATGGGTCTAACGCAATGGACAGTCCAAACCACATTCAGCCCAGTGGCAAATCAAACGAAGACGGGGGGTCATCAAGTGCCTTCGAGGTGGAGATCGAAAACGACATGGAATTAACCCTGGTGGCGGCGACGAACGATGCCGATAACGATAACGGAAAGTTACCGGATGTGGTAGCTGTCGCCCAAGTTTCCACTGAATACGAAGAAGTTAGGGGACGTAGTCAGGAAACGTACCTTTCCATCGCCATACAAGTTTTCATACCATTTCTGATTGCCGGGTTCGGAATGGTTTGCGCGGGTTTAGTTTTGGATAAAATCCAGCATTGGCCGGTATTTAAAAAAGTGACTGAGTTAATGATCCTCATTCCATCTTTATTGGGATTAAAAGGTAATCTAGAAATGACGTTAGCATCGCGGTTATCAACCCAAGCCAATTTGGGACACATGGATACTCCTAAACAACTTTTTGAAATGATCGTTGGAAATTTAACGTTGATTCAGGTACAACAAAAAAAATATTGTGATGAATATTTTTGTTAAGCATCCCAATTTTAGTGCCAAGCCATTGTGGTAGGATTTCTTGGTTCCGTGGTTGCTGTCGTAATGGGTGCCCTAAAAACTTATACAGTCCAATTAAATCATGCTTATCTCTTGTGTGCCAGCAGTTTGGTAACGGTGTCTTTAGCCAGTTTGGTGTTAGGCATCATCACAGCTGGAGTTATTGTCTTATCGAGACATTGTCATATCAATCCGGATAATGTTGCCACACCAATTGCTGCTAGCCTTGGTGATATTACATCGTTGGCTTTGTTATCATGGATTTCAACAGTTCTTTATGAATCCATAGGTAAGATTTAATAATAATTAAGTTCTGATTATTAATTAATTTAATTTTTTTTGTAGGTATATATGATTGGTTGGCACCATTAATCATAGCGGGATATATTTTAGCGATACCATTATGGGTGTGGATAGCAAAAAGAAATCTTCATACAAGGGATGTATTATATAACGGTTGGACACCCGTAATGGGTGCAATGTTGATAAGTTCTCTGGGTGGATTGATATTAGATTTTATGGCGCCAAGATTTGAAAATATAGCTGTATTTCAGCCGGTAATAAATGGAGTGGGTGGTAATTTGGTAGCGGTACAAGCTAGTAGGATATCGACAGCTTTGCACAAACAGTCAGTATTAGGTATTTTAACCTCGGATATGAATGTCGATGATGATAACGTCATCTTCATATCACCGGTAACCGGGTTTTGCGGAAAAAGCGTTCATGCGAGAACGACGCGCGTTCTGATGGCGATGGTAATACCGGGACACCTCATCTTTGTTTATACGATTGATTATATGAAAGGAGAAGAGAACACCATGACTTCACTTTTTATTGTCGTATATTTGCTCGCTGCCGTCACGCAGGTCGCGACGCTCCTTTATGTTGCCTACAATATGATTCATTGGATGTGGAAGAGGAAGATCGACCCTGACAACTCTGCCATACCCTATTTGACCTCAATGGGCGACCTGCTTGGTATCTCCCTGTTGGCTATTGCCTTTCAGTTTCTTTATTTGGTTGCTAATCATGAAAACGGCAAAAATTGATATGTTTATGATTATAAATATTGATTAAAAAGTTGATAGTTTTTAAATAACATTTGTCTTAAAATAAAATCGTACGAAGGAAACGAAAAATTTTCAATTAATGAGCCGTTTCTTTTGTTCAACGGTGTACGAATACTAAAATACACAAAAATTCACAAAAATATAAAAAAATATAAAAAATACAGCGACGTGGAAAAGTCGCTTACGCTTGCTGTTGGTAAATTTAATAATAAATTTCTTTTTTTTTATAAGCTGCGAGACGTGGTACATATCATACCCTCGAATTGCAATAATTTTTTTTTTTTGGAAATAACTTTAGAACGCTAGTACCTGCGGGGTGCCTCTGGTTAAGCCACAATTCATTCTGTTACTCCTTGCGAAACGAAAGGAATCTCGCAGCCCACACGTTCGTTTGTGATTCAACAGAGGTCTATGTCGTTAAAACCGTTCAAAGTATAATTTTCCTGTGAGAAACGATATTTTTCTAAGCCGTATCGCGTACACTACCTGTAAATCGTCTTCGACTCAAGATTCGTGACAATAGTTGCTAGTATTTTTGCCTTGGCATGTTGTATTGTCAATTTTTGGGATTTAACAATAAAATTAAAAAAATCGGCAACCTAAAATTGTCTATATGTAGATATTAAAAAAAAAACTGTATGTGTAATATATGTAATTAATAAAAACAAATGAGTACAGTAATTGTTTTGGTTTCCTTATTGGTTTTTTTATTGTTATATAGATTAGAAAACCCATTTCATCTTTTACGACCTCTTAACATTTTTTTAAGTGTTACAATTTTAATACCCATTGTGCTTTACATTTTCTAATTTGCTACTAAGTAACTTGTAACAAATTAGGGGAAATTATTTTTATTTTTTGAATATTACAGGATCCATTAAACTTAGGCAACTTCTTATTAAATGAAATTAACCGAATCCAGTTTAGTGTTTCTTATTTAGATGGCGTTGATGTACGAAAATCTGCAAAAATGGTCAAATTCGACGATTTTAAAGCAAATAGAGCGATCGTAAGTCACGTCGATGACTTATGGATCTGTTTAGTGTTCTAAGCACAAAAGGTTCTTTTCACTCCGGACGTTTCGAAATATTTTTCTCACACAGATCTACGCAGCCGATAGTCGCGTTATTGCTGTAATACGTCTTTTATTGGCGTCTTTGTAACCGTGACGTTGTGCAATATTTTTTTTGAGACGTTTTGCAATGATACAGGGTGGCTCATTTAATAACTAAACATAAATCTAAACTCGATTATTAAATTAAATGATTCCTAATCGAAGTGACCTTGGTTAACTAAATTTTTTTTTTGGGAAAAAAATGTAGTTTTGGAAAAAGTAATAAGTTTGAGAAAAAATCCTAACAAAATCGTTCTAATAGATGATAATTAATCAAACAATTCGAAAAACAACGCTCATCTTATAATAAACAATTCTAAAAATAAACTCTGCGCAGTTTATGTAACTACACTTGCTGGGAAAAAGAAAAAAAAAAAAATAAGAAATAATAAGTCCGTCTTATTTTTTCATTTTAAGAGATTTAAAAATTGCATGCCAAAGATCAATTTTCTATTAGACTCCAACGCAAAATTTCTCATGCAAACACCATAAGTATTATGCCTTAAATACGAGTTAAGCAAACGTAGGGATCGATTTCTGGGAAAATCTAACGCTTATTGCCCGATATTGGGTGTCGTGATCACCGGACACGACAATCAATTCAAATCGACAATCTCATAACACGTGCTTTCCAAAACACACATTATCCTCGAAAAAGAAGAAATTGAAACAATTGTTAATTAAATAATAAAAATTGTTAATAAATAAGAAATCGTTATTTTATACAATTGATCAAAACATATTCTTTAATCGTTCTAATAATCATTAATTTTTATTTAGCACTAGAATAAAGATTAATGTTGCGTATTAAAATCTCTCAGCATCCTTAGTTTGAGGAGATTTTGATGCAAGAGAAAGAAAGTAAATCCTACCCGAAATCTCTCAAAAATTGTTATCTTATTAAATTCTCACTGTGGGTGTTTAAATTTTAATACATTTTTAGGTGTGGATGGAATGAGAAGTGGTTAAGAAATAATAACATAACATAGGAGTAGAGCATCATATCTATCCAATTGAATAGGGGGGCCGCTCAGGCCGTTGGAAAGGGCACAGAACGTGGACTCGACGAGGCTCAGACCTCTTAGTGCCAGTGGTGGGTGTCGTAGTACAGCGCTCACGTGGCGAGAAGCATGCGGTGCCGTACCGTGCTTTAATCCGCAGTGTGTGGCGTCGAAGTGTTATATATATGACCTTATCTATCCGCAGCTACAATGTTCACACGGTAAAGTTCATTTATTTACACTATTATAATATCAAAAAAACATCTTCATCGAATGTCATTCATTTTTAACAAATACTTTTAAGTACTTTCAGTACTTAGTGAAGAAATTTCGATTTCCTAATCTTTCAAGATTAACCGTCGGCCGAAGTTTTCAGAAATATATTTCATTTATAACTTAATTTTATATTTTCTTAGAAAAATGTTTCTATTTCTTCAAATTCTTCTTTATTTTTTCGAATTTCCTCTTTTAATATTTTGTTTCTTCATCATCATCCAAAATATTTTCTTCTTGGTACTTTTTCAAAATGTCCTTCCTCACTAAAAATAAATTAAAACATATTATTCTCAAGTCAAAAAATAATTAATAGCGATTTCGAACCGGAACTGTTTTAACTACAGAGTTGCCAAAAATATATACTCAGAAGAAATGTTATTTCTTGAAAATCATAAGAGTTGTATCTTTATCTTAACTTAATTTTCAAGATGGTCGCCACTTCCGGTTTAATTTAAATAAAATGATATAATTTTTATTACATATTCTGATTCTCTATATAAAAATTAGTTAATTTTCATAAGTTGATAAGTTTCTATATAATACTTGGTGCTTTTAGATTTTGAGTTATTTTAGATTAAAAGTTTTTTTAACGATTTCATTATCTTCAAAATTTATCAAAATTATAGATAAATTCGTTTGTTTTTTATAAATAGCAATTATTTTGGGTTATTCAAAACTCAAGAAAATTCCTTATTACAAATTTTTTTTCTTTAATTTTAACTTACATAAATTTGCATAACCTTTATTATCTCATTCGATGACTTCATAATACAAAAATTTTTCATTTTGCGTTTATATTTAATATAGTAAAGTAGTAATTAAATTTTTGAACACCCTGTATAAGATAAAGCGATACATCCAACGAAGTTTCATTTGAAGTAATCTAGGGAGTAACCGAACCAATTTTTATTTTTCTGGCATAATCGATATTTGTATTGAAATAACTCAAAAACTAAAATCATCAGGTATCAAAAGTCCTTATCAAGCTCAATTAATTTTTGTCTGAAGAATCAGAATATGTCATAAAAAGTATACCATATCATTTAAAATAATAGAGTTACATACATATATTTTGCACCGCGAAGATTTATCAGCACAATTCCAAACAGTTTCTGGCAATCCAAATTCTGGTCCAGTTAATTCCAAACATACACATATATATTATTCTTACTAATCATCTTCACTTTTTTTTTTCGTGAATAAAGATACAATCTTAGGGCATCCCCAAAATGTTTTGCACCTTGAAAATTTGTCAGCGTAATTCTAAACAGTTTCTGGAAATCAAGTTAATTCCAGACTTCTTCTTGCAGCCTATATTCTAAGTGGTGTAAAATCAAAACATTTTCTTGAAGTTTTGAGTTCGGTGCAAAATGTTTCGTTTGTTGCTTATTTGAAAATCTTAATTATATCACCGAATTTAATTTTTGGAAGGATTTTTTTGTAATCTTGGTATTTAATAATAGAATAAATTAATCGCTCATTTCAATAAAGAATTCATCAAGCAGTATTCATCAAACATTGAGAAATTACATATATTGCGCTAATTCTTAGTCAACGATTCTCGCCCATATAAATTTATTAGAATGTTTATATATTAAAATTTTAAATATTTGAAATATGTTTTATCATTCTTCGTTCATTACTTTATGATTAACTCATAATCAACCAGGTTATGATTAATTTCCGGCAATACTATTTAATTCCATTTTGATATTCCATTTTTGTTATTTTCTAATCAAGCGAGTGGATTAATACGAAGAAACGTGAAATATAGAGAACTTTAGATAACCGATTGTTTACTAATTACCGAATCAGTTTGTAGTAATCGCGGTTATTTCTTTTATCGGATTTTTTTATTTACTCTGTAAGTATTATATGTCTACTTCGAAAATAGATTAACTTCTCAAAAAAAAAATTTTAACTTAAAAATTGTTCTGATTTCTGAAGTGAATTCAATTTTCTATTGTACAAAGAGCACGCTGTGTGGTCCCGCAAACTGTAAATAATGCGAATTACACATCTAACGTGAAGTGTCCCAGAAAGGAAAAAAAAGTGTCCGGAAAAATAACTTTGTGTGAGCGATCGAAGGTGTGAAATTAACTTTTTCACTTTTTTTCGGTTCAACGCGAAACATGTTAAAAAATCGAATCGTCAAAGCAAACCAGCGCGATTGACACAATCATTTATCAGGATTCGACCCACAAAAAAATATTTTAAATCTTTATTTATATTTATTTTATTTATTACATATGGTTTATTTTTTTATTGATTTTTTTCGGCGATGTTGACGTCTTGAACGAATTTACGGACTGTAGTCTTCGGTTCTTGGCCGCTAATTGGTACGTTCTTCGGCCCAGTTCGTTGCAAACCTGCGGGGAAATAAATTACCGCAAAAGGGCCATAAACTTTTCTCGCCGCTTTACGATACACTTACGCGCGGTAATTAAATACATAAAGTATTTAGAGGCCTTCTCTAGCGCTCGGCCGTTGTTATTAAGATATTAAGAGGCTGGGCTCGTGCTGCAATTAATACGTGCACGTCTGAAACATCGACGGCCACTTTGTGCACACCAAAAAATCTTATTATTATAATTATTTATATTTCTTTTTTCTTCTAATATTAATTATGTTAAGATTATTTAATTTGTTTAGTTGCCTTTTGCTAAAATAATAACTCTTCTGCCTAATAACAGCAATAAGACCATCACAACATCCAATACTAAAGCATGTTTAGATATTTAGAACCAAGTCGAGTTTTTGATGTTCAAATACCTCATAGATACACCATCAGCAAAAGCAAACATTACATCAGCACCCATTGACTTCTCAACTAGAATTAAGTTATTACTTGATGTATATCTTCTGCTGTCTAGCTTCCCTAACCGTTTTGACATCAGTTAAACAGACCAGAATTTAGTCTTTTGCTAAAATAATAACTCTTCTGCCTAATAACAGTAATAAGACCTGAAATATCTAATTCGGTCTAGCAAAGGAATTTATCTAATCATCACCACAACATACAATACTAAGCATTTTTAGATATTTAGAAATATTTAGAACCAAGTCGATCAGCAAAAGCAAACATTACATCAGTACCCATTGACTTCTCAACTAGAATTAAGTTATTACTTGATGTATATCTTCTGCTGTCTAGCTTCCCAAACTGCTTTGAACATACTGACAAAAAACATACTGAGCACTTGGTTCTAAGCATCAACCTAAAGAAGTTGAGCACAATAAGTCTTTGTTTCAAAATATAAACCCAATCTCATCCGTAGAGTACTCAATAGCGAAATTAATGATTAAAATGTATTAATTTTTGGGTTGGCAAATAAAAAATGTTGAGAATTAATTGAATAAATATAAAAAAAAGATAAGTTCTTGTTAATCTGAGTTGCCGGAACTAAGATTTATACAGTTAAAGAGTAAAGGTAAAGTACCCCGAGGTATATATATCTATTGACTTCTCAACTAGAATTAAGTTATTATTTAATGTATATCTTCTGCTGTGTAGCTTCCCAAACTGTTTTGAACATACTGAGCACTTGGTTCTAAGTATCAACCTAAGGAAGTTGAGCACAATAAGTCTTTGTTTCAAAATATAAATTCAATCTCATCCGTAGAGCACTCAATAGCGAAATTAAGGATTAAAATTTCTGGTAACATCAAATTCAAAATGAAAACCGTTAAATTAACTGAATCTAAAGTATGGGGATTATAAAATGTCTTAGGATGTATTAATTTTTGGGTTGCCATATAAAAAATGTTGAGAATTAATTGAATAAATATAAAAAAAAGATAAATTCTTGTTAATCTGAGTTGCCGGAACTAAGATTTATAAAGTTAAAGAGTAAAGGTAAAGTACCCCGAGGTATATATACCTATTGACTTCTCAACTAGAATTAAGTTATTACTTAATGTATATCTTCTGCTGTGTAGCTTCCCAAACTGTTTTGAACATACTGACAAAAACATACTGAGCACTTGGTTCTAAGCATCAACCTAAGGAAGTTGAGCACAATAAGACTGTTTCAAAATATAAACCCAATCTCATCCGTAGAGTACTCAATAGCGAAATTAAGGATTAAAATTTCTGGTAATTAACTGAATCAAATGTATGGGGATTATAAAATGTCTTAGGATGTATTAATTTTTGGGTTGCCATATAAAAAATGTTGAGAATTAATTGAATAAATATAAAAAAAGATAAATTCTTGTTAATCTGAGTTGCCGGAACTAAGATTTATAAAGTTAAAAAGTAAAGGTAAAGTACCCCGAGGTATATATACCTATTGACTTCTCAACTAGAATTAAGTTATTACTTAATGTATATCTTCTGCTGTCTAGCTTCCCAAACTGTTTTGAACATACTGACAAAAAACATACTGAGCACTTGGTTCTAAGCATCAACCTAAGGAAGTTGAGCACAATAAGCCTTTGTTTCAAAATATAAACCCAATCTCATCCGTAGAGTACTCAATAGGCAAATTAAGGATTAAAATTTCTAGTAATTAACTGAATCAAATGTATGGGGATTATAAAATGTCTTAGGATGTATTAATTTTTGGGTTGCCATATAAAAAATGTTGAGAATTAATTGAATAAATATAAAAAAAAGATAAATTCTTGTTAATCTGAGTTGCCGGAACTAAGATTTATAAAGTTAAAGAGTAAAGGTAAAGTACCCCGGGGCATATATACCTATTGACTTCTCAACTAGAATTAAGTTATTACTTAATGTATATCTTCTGCTGTGTAGCTTCCCAAACTGTTTTGAACATACTGACAAAAAACATATTGAGCACTTGGTTCTAAGCATCAACCTAAGGAAGTTGAGCACAATAAGACTTTGTTTCAAAATATAAACCCAATCTCATCCGTAGAGTACTCAATAGGCAAATTAAGGATTGAAATTTCTGGTAATTAACTGAATCAAATGTATGGGGATTATATAATGTCTTAGGATGTATTAATTTTTGGGTTGCCATATAAAAAATGTTGAGAATTAATTGAATAAATATAAAAAAAAGATAAATTCTTGTTAATCTGAGTTGCCGGAACTAAGATTTATAAAGTTAAAGAGTAAAGGTAAAGTACCCCGAGGTATATATACCTATTGACTTCTCAACTAGAATTAAGTTATTACTTAATGTATATCTTCTGCTGTGTAGCTTCCCAAACTGTTTTGAACATACTGATAAAAACATACTGAGCACTTGGTTCTAAGCATCAACCTAAGGAAGTTGAGCACAATAAGACTGTTTCAAAATATAAACCCAATCTCATCCGTAGAGTACTCAATAGGCAAATTAAGGATTAAAATTTCTGGTAATTAACTGAATCAAATGTATGGGGATTATAAAATGTCTTAGGATGTATTAATTTTTGGGTTGCCATATAAAAAATGTTGAGAATTAATTGAATAAATATAAGAAAAAGATAAATTCTTGTCAATCTGAGTTGCCGGTACTAAGATTTATAAAGTTAAAGAGTAAAGGTAAAGTACCCCGAGGTATATATACCTATTGACTTCTCAACTAGAATTAAGTTATTACTTAATGTATATCTTCTGCTGTGTAGCTTCCCAAACTGTTTTGAACATACTGATAAAAACATACTGAGCACTTGGTTCTAAGCATCAACCTAAGGAAGTTGAGCACAATAAGACTGTTTCAAAATATAAACCCAATCTCATCCGTAGAGTACTCAATAGCGAAATTAAGGATTAAAATTTCTGGTAATTAACTGAATCAAATGTATGGGGATTATAAAATGTCTTAGGATGTATTAATTTTTGGGTTGCCATATAAAAAATGTTGAGAATTAATTGAATAAATATAAAAAAAGATAAATTCTTGTTAATCTGAGTTGCCGGAACTAAGATTTATAAAGTTAAAAAGTAAAGGTAAAGTACCCCGAGGTATATATACCTATTGACTTCTCAACTAGAATTAAGTTATTACTTAATGTATATCTTCTGCTGTCTAGCTTCCCAAACTGTTTTGAACATACTGACAAAAAACATACTGAGCACTTGGTTCTAAGCATCAACCTAAGGAAGTTGAGCACAATAAGCCTTTGTTTCAAAATATAAACCCAATCTCATCCGTAGAGTACTCAATAGGCAAATTAAGGATTAAAATTTCTAGTAATTAACTGAATCAAATGTATGGGGATTATAAAATGTCTTAGGATGTATTAATTTTTGGGTTGCCATATAAAAAATGTTGAGAATTAATTGAATAAATATAAAAAAAAGATAAATTCTTGTTAATCTGAGTTGCCGGAACTAAGATTTATAAAGTTAAAGAGTAAAGGTAAAGTACCCCGAGGTATTACGCGTCGCCGGATACAATTGGGAGCTAGATTGAGGAGCGGGCCGAACGCAAACCGAAGAACAAAACTGCCATTATTGTGACAGATAGATCCGGCGGAGATAAACGAGGAATTCGAATATAAAAGAGCGTCGCGGCCGCGGCTCTACGCTGTTCCAGGGACCTCCTCAGCTCCTCTCTTCTTCTTCTTCTTCGCTACGAACCGGTGGTGCCGGAGTCGCTGCCCGTGTGCAATACCGGCACAAGAGCAGCTCGTGTTCTGACCCAGTATGCACATTGCGCGCTACGGTACGGCCCGGACCGCGTTATCGATCATTTGCGGGGGAGCACAAAGGGAACAGACCAGCCAACAGGGCCGTAACAAGGATATTTTAAAAAGGAAAAATCAAAACCGATCATTTCTTAATCAAACATGAACCTAAATGGGTGTCTAAAAATGTGAAAAACTTCAAAAAGTACTTTTTTATTAATAATTTTCTTAATTTTAAGCCAAAAGTTGAGTTGGTATTGCAACTTTTTAATAACGGTGGGAGTATAATGTAATTTATCGTGGGGGGCCTAGGTACGGTTCTGTGGGCATGTACTCGGGCATCCAGAGTCCAAACTGGGTCCGGGCTCCGGTACGGCCTCCCAACTCGGTATCGCAACTTCTGGCCTGCTTTAAGTTACCTAGTTCGCGTTTGAGCGGAGAGGCGTACCGGAGCGCCTCTCCCCCGGATCCCCCCATCGGCCCGCTGTGGCCCCACGCCCCCGCGGCGTCCCCTCTTCGCGACCGCGCGGTGCCATCGCGAGCCGCCGACGTAGCTGCATTGTCTAAAAACGGCGCGCGGACACTCGACGGTTACATTTTGTTATCGCTCTTTTGGGAAAACTAATTTCAATTTAACCCCGTTAAGAAAACAAATATAAATAAATGAATTTAAAAATTTGACGCAATAAAACATGATGAGCATACAACGCATGCGTCGTAGTACATTTCCATCTTAAAACAGTTAATGCGATTGCGCAGCAAATAGTTTACAATTTCGAAATTTCTTTTGTATTTTTACAACAATCCCCATTTAGTTGATCGTTGAGAATCGACGTGTTGAGTTCGTAGAACGTAAAGATAAGATTGGGAGTCTGCCGTTCCAAGAGCGACGTCGCAATTTACCATTCCGAGAACGAGCCCTGCGCTTCGCGGCCGTTTGAGGCTTTCGTTTTAAAACAGATCATGATTGAACCGGGCACTTTTTCCATACTCGACCTCTGATCCTCCGATCCCCGCGTCGCCCCCCTCCCCCGAAGGTACACCGAGGGGGGGCCCGCGAGGTGGATCTTTACTGGAGCGCGGATACAGCGAAAAGAGAGCGCCATCTGGGGAAGGACGTGGGAAATGAAACCGCAAGCGTAAAGCGGCGAGAAACCGAAAAATCGCTCGTTAATTAGCGAAACGACACGGAGGAGCGCGTAATGGGACGTTTACGGCCCCGGATGAGTGCGTTTTGAATGGTCGGGCGTGAATGTGTATGTCGACACCTGTTCGACTCCGTTTTATGTTCATCGCCTACGCAACGACACTATACTCCGATTGGCTTATGTAATGGATTGGGACAATGAAAATTATATCCGGCGCATCCACACAAATTTATTTTACACGTTCTTCTATGATCAATAAACAATAACATACTCTTAATAATATTTTTTCTATATAAATATGTAGTTTAACATAAAAATATTTAATAGGTTGTTATAGAAGAGTTTTCGTGACTAAGAATCCGTTAACTAAGGCATATATGTACGTAACGGTAGGAAGAGGTTTAGAACACAGGCATTTTCAAGCGTTTTAATAATAAATTGACCCGTTAATTGCTATCGCGAGACGATCCCGGAGCGAAGAGAAATCCCGATATTTCGTTAATCTCGGCCTCATTTTCGCGGGCGTCGCGAGAGCATGCGCCGTTAAAATCGAAAAAAGCTCCGCAACTAACAAGCCACGGCGTATACCGTTAAGTTTTCGCCGAACGTCCAAAAGATAAATTGATCCTCGCTAGCAAACAACGTTAAGTATAATTGCTATAATTTATCCATTGTGCCCATGTAAATGCGGCGAAGTCTTCCTGAAATCCGTCCAAGACGTAACTCATAGCGCCTTAGACGTAAACTGCCTCTCGCCATTTTCTATTACGCGCCGATTATTCGGTATTAACCTTTTCATGTCTCTATTTAGCGTTCGATTACACGTTGAGCTATTTTATTACTTAATTCCCGGGGACGAGATAGACCCGTAATAATAGTGATGGTCGTAATGATAATAATAACAATGATGGTAGAGATCCAATCGTTTATTGTTAAAATTCGGATCAGATTCAAATACGCCTCAATTCGTCAAATTGATCTTAATTTGATTTAATCACTTTGCGGTTTTTCCCTTTTTTTAAAGGTTTGATGCCAACAAGTCCACAAAGGGTGCCAGTAAACTTCGTCGAGATTTAATCAACGCAGAAATAGCCAATCTAAGGGAGTTATTACCTCTGCCTCCTTCGACAAGACAACGTCTCTCACAACTTCAACTTATGGCTTTGGTTTGTGTTTACGTGAGAAAAGCCAACTATTTTCAACAAGGTTTGTATCAATTCGATTAAGATTAAGTTTAAATAAGAACTCGGCAACTTGATACGAGTTCTAAGTCGATGGCCAAGTTGTTACCGAAACGATAATTTATAATTTGATCTGTTTACATAAGTCAGTTAGCATGGAAATGCTAAACAATTAGTGAGGACACGAAAGAAATCGAACTCATAGAAAAAATGAGGCTTGGCGTCGTCCGCCACCGCTCTGTCAGAGTCCGTGATTTATGAATTTATTGTCCACTGTCTACGAAAATTACAGGGCACTCGTTGTCAGTGCGGGATTTGCGCGTATAAAAGGAAGATTGATGGACCCGTTCCTACGAAAGTCGACTAGTTTCGAAAAGGAACCGTTTCGGCGATTGCGCTGTCGCTACCCGATCATGCGCCCTGTTACCGCACGTTTCCGAGTGATTCATTAGCGCGAAGCGGAATACAAATTACTCCCGTACATCATACGCGTCGTAAATTTATTAATTGATAATTATCGCGAGGCCCCACTTCGGAAGGGGTCGCTTGATATTAATGATCGGAACCTTCTCTGCGCAAGTCTGTGCTACGGCGCGCGCCTGTGGGCGGGTAATTAGCCAGAATAATGCTTGGATAATTATAAACGGCATGGGAACCACAATGGTGCCAGAACTAAGTACCGCCGGTCCTCGTTTGTCGAACCTGTCCTTGATATTCATACGGAAATTTAGATGCACTATATAATTTTATGCGTACTTACATTTCTATATTCCGGAAGAATTTACTTTAATTGCTTACTTAATAATATCCTTGTTTGCTTTCTAAAAAAATGTGTTAAAACCATAAAATTTACATGTCGTTAGTTAAATTTATTATTTTATGTATGTAATTTGATTGATGAAATGAAAATAACTAAAATATGATTGAAAATGTAGGTAGACCGTGATAGATTTGAGAGAAATGTTTTAACCGCGTTGGAAATGGGCGTTAAGTTAGACGTATTGCCGCGTTCGCAGATCTGCACGGTGAAGAGAAGAGATGTGCACAGGTCGGCGGTCGGGGCAGAAAATAAAAGTCGAGTTAATAGTATATCAATCACGGTGCTTTTTTTCCGTCGGCTGGCGTGGAGTGACGTATCGCGGGAGACAGAAATAATAAAACGTGCGGTGAGGAGGCCTGGATCTCCTTTGCATAAAGCGTGGATCGGGCGTCTGTGGCGTCTCTGCCGTCCCAGGCCCGTCTTTGCGGCCCGTTCCGTCCTGTTCCGGGCCGCAGTACGTGTGTTGTCGGCAGACTGCGGTAGGAAATTTATGTGCACCAGCCGATGCGTAAAAAGTGCCTTAATAAAAGGTCCTCACTTAATTGAAAGTTAATGACACCAGTTAGACACATATTCCTCGCCGATCTATAAACATTTCATCAAGCGCGACGCTGACGTATGTATCAGATAAGACGTGTTTGCAGGCACGTATACATGTCCCGGGGAGAGTTAATTGACAGTCCAATCAATGGGGGATTTTGTCGCGGTGCCCTCGTCCGCGGCGCGTCGACGTTGATTGACTTAATATTGCTGCCTTCAATTTCAATAAACAATGGCCAATTCCGCCCGAAAATAACCACCTTTAATGGGCCACTCTTCTTATGCGACCTTCTCATCCCTTTTACACATCCACCAATGCTCACCACACCATCTGTCTCCATTACTCTGTATTGCGATCTCGGGGATTTCAACGATCACCTAGAAAAGAAAATATAAAACCTTCAATGATCCAACTTTTCTACCCATACACTTTACTACCGTCGTACCATTTCGATCTGGAAATTTAAATAAGGAATATAATAGTATTTTATTATTTCTCTCCTTATCTTTAACGATTTCAACGATTGCAGAGAGATGAAACCTTAAAACCCATAAAGATTGTTTTGTAATCGTTACAAGTTTTGTAACTTGACTGAAAAGTGTGTAATTACATCGAACGGACGAAGACGTCCGTGTCTTGGGTGAAGGCCGGAGGGCGCGCGTCTCCTCGAATATTTCGGTCGGATGTGACAGCGCGCCTTCCGACATATTTTTAATTATACACCGAAGCGGTCTTCACGTATATAGCCGAACTAACGCCGTTCTGTGATCTTTCTTGCAGCTTTCAAATGCCACGACGCTGGATTACACCAACCACCAACGCCCAATATAGGCTTTTCAAAGGTTAGTGCCATTTACAACGCTCACACGTACGCCAGCGCTACCTAGCGGACGCGCTCCTATACTTAGGCGCGTCCCGTTCGCGAAATAACTTTAACGTTAAACGGATTTAAACGGATAATTGCTCGAGAATCAGCCAAAAAAAATTATAATGTGTGTGTTTCTAATCAGTATAATCGGCCTTAGAAATGCAAAATCGGCCATTAATAATCATAAACGATGATGATAGGCGACGTTGTGTAGAAAATCGCAACATTTAACGCGAGGTAAACAAGAAATAACAGCGCGTATTATACAATATATAATTAATTACGTGGTATTATCGCATCATTCGCGAAGCAGGCAAACAACGGCCTTATGCAAATGTATCTTAGCAGAGGGAGGGGAGCACGGACAGTATGACCGTAAGCGCCGGACCCCACGAAACGCGGCCGCGCAGACCTCTAATCGAGCCTCCAGATGAGCCTAATTATAAAGCTGTATCATAGCCGAGCAATTGCGTCACCGACCACGCTGGATTTATGGGTTTTACTCGTCCGGGTAACGAGGAATTTTTTTATCTGATCAGAAACTCAGTACCACCAAAGTCGGAATTATAATTAGCCGCACTTCTATCATGGGACGCCGAAAACCGATCGAGGGGCTTCCAACAACAAGTTGCGAAACGTTTATGTACGCAAACCTCCCCCGCGCATCTCGATCTTATTCGCTAAATCCTTGCGGGGACGACGACGACGTCTACATTCGACGCGCCTACAGGCATTTGCCTCTCGAATGTTTCAATAGAAAAGAAAAAACGCTTCGTTCATCAGCGTTCACCAACGCAACGGACCGCAGTTTAACGTTTCATTATGTCAGCCACAGCGAAAATGGGAGTGAGTCGGCCTTAAGTGGGTAAAAAGGAGGAGAGAAGCGCCGCTCTCCGGGATCTGACACGCCCCGGCCCGATTTCTTTCGCGGGGCGAATTTCCCAGCGGCCGCCTTTTTAATTTATTATTTATCCCGGCGGCGGGGGAGAGAGAAAAAGGAGGCGCCCAGTTTGGCTCTCCGCGCGTCCCCCTTTAGATTGTAAACGGAGATAGGGGATCATTAAAGAATATATTACACAGATAGCAGCATTACTTTGCCGCGCGGTCCACGGGAACGGCGCAACGCCGCAACCAGCGCACTGCTGCCTCTCGCGACGCCCGTACTCGGTGCCGTACCAGCTCCGGATTAAGGCCCCTCATACTAAACGCGATGAAGCGCGGATACCACGGATAGCGACCAGAAATATTAAATTGAAACCCACCAAGAACCAATTTAATTATACCATCGGTTTACTCTTTACTTTATCACTAAACCACCGGATAAATATTTTTGCAAAATATCATATATTACTCATATTCAAGTCATATTATTTTATATTCTTCTCCTTGGAAATAGTGATAAACCATTTTCATTTATGCAGAAATGCAAATAAGTACTTTTTTATAATATTTATTTATCACAACAAAGTAGGTTGACTCAACCTTCTAGGTGAATCTGGACTCTTTATAAAGATTGCAAGATAGTGTGAACATTGAAAATTTTATGAATTATTCATAAATAATATGCACATTATGTATACCGCCATCTTCGCATCATGACCACTAACTAAAGCTTGTTGAATAGCTATAGTTTTATAGACAAGGTTATAGATTCATACAGTACACATGAAGAGTTTTAAATGATAGAAAAGATTTGTTTCGTTTTGAACGAGCGTTGAAAGAAATTGGTCGCGTGAGAGTGACTAACAAAAAATTACATGTAGTGTAATAGATAATTATTGGGCCGATTTGTTTCTGGTTCTCGGTGGTCCGCGGTCAGAACGTACGGTCGGGCGGGCGGCCGCGTCGGCCGAGATTTCTTTTAGGCCTTTTTGGCGCTGGGGCACCCGGCGCAAGAACGGAGCCGGGCCCGGAACGGGGCTAGTTGAGGCGGCCTGGGTGGATCTATATCGGTAAGGTGGACATCGCGGGGCGGCGGGGGCCCGGGCGGCCGGGGTCAACGCGTGACCTCAAGCCGAGGGGTATACAGCTACTTTCCCACGGACCCGCCCGCTGTATCTACCGCTCTTCATCTGAGTACTCTAGCCTGTCATTAAATATGGCAATATGTGGTGAAGCAATCCAGATACAGGCCGCGACTGTATCGATTAGGACGTGTATTGGGCAAAGGGCGTGTGCGATCCGGTGTCGGCGCGAGAGACTCGTACGTTCTTCGTCGTATGCGACGAAGGTCCCCCGCATCAATAAAAAATCATCGCTTCCTGGTCATCTCTCAACCCGACGACCATCGCATACCAAAATTTCACCGAGAAACACCTGTAACAAATTTCGTTTATCAACCAACATTTCAATAACAAGGCAAAATAAATAAAAATTTGATAGAAGTTTTTAACCCTGAGTTTCTCTTGAACATAAACGTTCGTCGCGGGGTTTCTCCTTTGCGCGACCGTTGAGGTCACAAAAGATTCGCTTCCTGTTCCGAAGGTATAGATTTTTTCCGTCGCCAGCTGAGACACCGATAAATACGGCGACTTTCCTCGGAACTATTTCTTAATTGGCGATTGAAATCCGCGAGGATGTAATGCCGCGCTTGCGCAATAAATTTGATAACCTTTCAATAAAAGCAGGAGATGCATCGCGGCGTCTAAAGGGACCACGATAGCCATCGGAGTCATGAGGTGAATTTCGCCTCTATCCCGGGCATTCGTAGAAAGTAATCATAAATATATGTGCTATGTGCTCGCGGGTAGCGACGTTGCCGATTGCGAGAGATCCGCGAAATTAGGCCGTCTCTCTTTCTGCTCACCTCTCTAATATCGTCGTCTTTAGCCCGTTGTTCTGTTTATTTAAAATTAGTTTTCGCCTAGCGCCTACTTCAATTTCACGGTGAATACTATAGTGAAGTCGTCAAAGATGACAAGTCACTTCAATTCGATTAGCTTTTTCGTGATTCCTAGAATCGGCGGAGAAAAAACGAACCGCCTTCGATCGACACATTAAAAATAATCGTTACGCAATACCGATATATCGGAATCTTGGCGGCTACACCATTGTTCCGAAGCGTCGATGATATAAAAAAAATGGAAACGTTCGAAACAAACGATAAACGGACCTTAATTACATCCACATGAACGCCACGCTTTACATAAACACATAAATTTTAACGTACCGTTTGTCAGTGAGTTCCTCTTAAACGTTTAATTGTTTTATACGTTTTGCGAAAAACCAAACACTTACGTCAATACATCAGAAACAAGTATTTCTAGTTGATCATATTGATCAAATAATTTTTCTTTAATTCCAGTTTTTGGCCTCATTAGCCATCTTCAGCAGCAAATCAATAAATATGAAAAATAAGAAATTAAAATAAAAATTAATTGCAGAAATTAGTGTCAGTTGTTTGACATGTAAAATTGAGATTCAAGATAGGTTAAGGAGGGGTTCAAATTAGGATCGAATTGTTGATGATGTAGATAGTCACGTAAAAGTGGAGTTTTTTTAAGCAGAAACATCTTTTGACAGTAGGACCTAAAAGAGGCGGACGAGAACGTTCTAAAATCCATAATTGCTTATGACATTTACATGCGCGGACCGTGTGAACAGTTGCCGCTCGAAATATGAACTTATGGGCAAAAATAAAAAGGCGTCCCGGTCCGGAGATTCGACCAATAATGCGATGCAAACACGCAACCGGGTAATTGTTTCATTTAAGAGCCGAACCGAACTGAGCCATACTCGGATTCCCACGATGTGGTGGAAGGAAGGTAGCGACCGCAGCGCCGCGCCGATGGTGTGCTCAGTGTGCGACCTGTGGATGCCAATTACTTTGCCCATTGAATGCATAATTTCCGCGAGCGCCCGAAATCGACGACAGTATTTGCTAATCTTCAATCATAACATAACGCACAAACGGCCCAATCATCAGTAATAACCGATCACAACCTAAACTGATGTTAAACCGGATCGTTTCCATCTCACACGATAATCGCCTCATTTGTTACACTCACGTGTAAGTGTTTATTTCTTCAAATTGTCGACAAGACAAGACTCAATATATTTTTTTTCCAAATTATTTTCTCCAATCTCATTTCTTCACACTTCTTGTAAGTACATGTGTTATATAATCGAATTTTTATTCCCAAACACCGTTTTATCATCCTTCAATTCTACTCTCTAAGAATAATTTGGTTAGAATGAAATAATTTTGATTCATCTCTTGTTTGAGAGGAGTAAAATGCGATCGATTGGGCGATAGTAAAACAATAATTGATCGCCAACCGCGCCGTCCTTAACATTTCGGTGCCTTTTGTATTGAAATTTCGTTCCTCGGCCGAGGAAATGGATCAGAGCCGCGGGGCCCCGGGCCTGCCCTCTATTGCGCCATTTCTAGAACGGCACACGCCCACGAATTGGTTAAATTAATTGACCGTTTTCTCCGGATTCGACGAAGACGGCCGTGCTCTTTGTGCGCCCTCTACCCGCGTTCGTTATTTGAAGATAAACGGCTAATGGACCGGCCGCGTCTTAGAAGCAGCGGCGCATTTATCTTGTTTTCAAAACGCTACGGACAGAAAAGCGAAAGTCGAACCGACGAAAGGAGTGCTGATCTCGGCAGTTTACTAAGAATTAAGACATTTCTATTCAATACATACTTTAAGATTTACAAGTTAGGACAAATTTGATTACAAAAACTACAGCAATTAAGACATCAAGTTTATTAAAATATTTTTATTTCATTTACATTTTCTTATTGTAGGCATTGAGCGGATTTCTAATGATGATGACGCAAAATGGGAAGTTACTCTACATATCGGATAACGCTGCGGAATACTTGGGCCATTCGATGGTGAGTGCTTGGCAGGTGAGCCCGACGAGCTATAAAGCTCGCGAGCGCGAGCTTTCCATCGTCGCCGGTTCGCGCGTTTGCATAGAGAGCGCCGTACAAAAGACGCTCGCCGTGGGTGGAGCGGATAACTTATTAATAGGGCGACCGAAACCGCTTGGTCATCCACTTTGATGGTCCGAGAAGCGTCGCCACAAACCACGAAATCCCTTTTTGTACACGACCAGACCCATAAATCATTCTTACGGTCGCGTACCGCCGCACTGATTTCAATATCACACTCTTACCCGTTGGATACAATTACTCAAACTACGTTACAACCCGTTTTTATATGTTACCATCTCAATTAGAGTCTTTTAAGATCTTTATTAGATCCCTAACAATAGGTTTACATATATAGTTATTTATAACTATAATTATTTTCTAGGAGGATCTATTGATTCACGGTGACAGTGTATATGACATCATCGATAAACAGGATCATCAAGCTATTCAATGTGAATTAGGGAGACCAGTAAATACAGCAACCAATAACAATGCCGGAGATGAAGCGCGATTATTCTTGTGTAGGATGAATGTGTCGAGGAACGCGAGGAGGCAGATGAGATTTGGGGATCAAAAGGTAAGTGAAAAAAGGAAAAATTTACGTGGATAGATCGGATAACTGAGACGGTTATTGGCCCGATCATTCAATTATCCGCGATCGTAACGTTTCGTCGAAGGAGATTCCCTAGAACGCTGTAGGATCTAACGCAACGACCGCTGGGAGCAAGCGGACGATAACAATAATAAACTCTAATCCGGCCCCTATTCTAAATGTGCAACTTGTATTTAGATAGGTAGTATTCTAGGTGTGGGTGGACCGCGGCGAGGGGGGTCGCGGGGACGAGGTGAGGCGAGTTACTGCATAGTGAAAGGTAGATCCGGCATTCGGCGCGCTCAACACCACAAAGCATCTGTGTACTATCCCGGCGAGGCTGCGCTGGTCCGCTAACGCGCGAGTAAAAATTTCGTAGCCTCCAACGATTTATTTTTAATTCCCCTCTCCGCGCCGCTTCCATCGTTCGAACGACCGCTTTTAAGCCTCACTACGAACTCCTTTTTATCGCTTCATTAAGATAGAATTGTCAGAATAGCAAATTCGTAATCCAATTTAAATACGGCATCTGTTATATCTAATCTAACATTTAACAAATGCCACACGTGGGTATGTATACTCGGGGTAGATGTACTTTAGAATGTGTACCTGGGTGGTTAAATGTTGGAGTATTCGATTTTGCATGATAGAATTGGAAGCATGAAGTCGATGGGAAAAAAGTAGTTGGAAGAGTTACGTTTAGCGGTGGCTGAACAGTATCTCGTGATATATGGTAACATCCTCATCTAGCGGCTATGAGGTGGATCGGTCGAGGACCAACCGGCTCGAGGAGCTCAGCCGCGGGAGAATATGTAAAGCGCGGTCCTTAGGCCGGGCCGAGCACACTACTGGCGTATGTTATGACACCCACACATAAGCCCCGGCGTCCTTATGGAAATGCGACTCATTGGAATACCAAAATGCCGCCATATACATGCATATCTATTCGCAGGTGGTGCTGGTGCAGGGGAGATACTTGTCTTTCCTGCCTTTGTGCAGTCGGAACGAGCCCGTGTTCCTCGCTACCTGCACCCCCATCGCGATGCCCGAGACGCGAGAGTGCGTCGTCCAGGGCGCCACGAACGTCTTCACCTCCATCCACTCCATGGACATGCGCTTCATACACATCGACAGCAAGTAAGTACGCCCTTTGTTGGGCGAGCGCATAAATCTGCCCGCGTCGGAGGTCGGGTCACCGGGTCACTTTATGAACGGCATTATTGCTACACTTGTTTTCCAGCGGTGAGTTCTATCTCGGCTTCGCGAGGGCCGACCTTCAGGGAGTCTCCTGGTACCGCCTACTTCACTGGGAATCGACTAGGGAAGCCCAAACTAAACATAGATTAAGTAAGTTAAAATACCTTAAAAAAAATTCTTTTCTAATCCGATCTTTATTCTAATTTTAGTTACTCAATCGGAACAAGAACGATCTTGCATTCTTTTAGCCCAATTTCAAAGAAGATCTGGCGAATGGATTTGGATGCACTGCGTACTACAAGTAAAAGAAAGCTCGGAGAGTAATCAACAGCCGGTGATAGTTTGCACAAATCAAGTTTTATCAGAGGCGGAAGCAAGCGTAATGAGAACCAATAGTTGGCTATATCACTATTATTCGGTTCAAAATAAACTGCAATACGGTCTCTCCTACGACGTGGGGACTTCGACGAGACTTTTGTACTACCCCGAGCACCATCAAGGACCAGAATATGCAACGAGCCATGAAACGACCGGATACGTGCATTTAGCGCCGATGCCCGCGCCCATTCAGACACATTTGGCGCATCATGGAGCGCCCACGCACGCACACCATAACCAACATCATCACCATCATCGGCGCGCGGAATCGGAGCCAGTAGATTACTCGTATAGTAAGAGGAAACCCAAAGACATGCAGAATTTAGAGTTAGAAGTCGCAGATGTACATACGAACGAGGAGGGTGGAAGCGGACTGCTGGTGGTCTCCCATATGACGGAGAGACCACGAACTCTTCTCAAGGTGGACCCTAGTGACCTCATGGACCAATGGAATCCTAGTCCTCCGTGGTCGGACACTTTACAAAAAGTACCTGACCTATGCCATCAAGAATTAAGTCCATACATCGGCAGTACACCACCGACTCCAACGGCCACTCCTAACGTACACTCCGGAAACGCGTTTTCTTTCGATTGGATGCCTGAGCAATACGTGCCAAGTTTAACAGCCGTTTCCGCCGCGCCGGAAGAAGTGGAACGGCCGAACTATTGGACATCGGAACATAGGTTGTTTCCGTTACAACCTCCACCGAAAAGAAGCCAACCTCCGCCAACCAGATCGGAATCAGCCGATAGAGATACACCATAGCGCTGTGATGTTTATTATGTGAAAATTACTCTCGATTGTATACACGTCAAGTGCAATACACGTATGTCCCCGTTAAGTTTTCGTGATGTCACGCCCACCGAACCCCAGTACAAACACCGATGCGACTCGATGAGTATATAAATTTTATTTATTCGATGGCAACGAGTAGTGCAATTTTCGCGTAAGCATAGGCCCACTGTGAACAAAATCTACCAATGATTCCTACGCAATGTGTTCAAATGGTGGCCAATAGTGAATAATAAGTTAAGCTATTAAAGTAGGATAAAATGGTTCCTCCGACCGTAAACAGCACGAACCGACCAGTTCCTCCTCGCGATGGTATTAGCTGATTTAAAAGAAGCCCGACGGCGTAAAAGTAATTTAGTCAAATTGAAAGTATTACGCTATTTTTTTTTGTTTTACACGGTTGTTAGTGCTACATGAATTTTAAGTCGACGCCTCGTCCGCATTTGGTCTCAACGCGTACGAGATGCACGCATAAAGTTGAAGACGGTACATTGAAGGCGCGCGTGCAACCATCTGTATTCACTGTTCAGTATTAAAGCGAATTTAAGGAGATCAAACGGAACGACGGTGCACCGCGAAGATTTATTAATTTATTGACCTGTTAGTTTAATTAATTGTAATATAATTAAAAATGTTTTTTATTAATATTATTTTTAATTTTAATCCGTCCGGAACATAGTTCAACATAAGGCATGTAAATTTATCAGTATTATTTCCTATTAAAAACGTAAACGTTTTACATAAAACTCGCTTTAGTTCGAATCCCGACCTTTCACCGCGACCTATTAAATAAGTTAATAATTTTTGTCACATACCGTACACTTAAAAGCACATAACGCCATCTATTACCACCAACACTAATTAAAACAGGAATTTTACATCAAATCATACTCCTTCGTTTTGTTTTCCATTTTTTATCCTAAAATAAAATTTTAAAAATGTAACAAAAAACATAATATAAAAAAATTACCGATAATAACTCTTTTTCCAAATAAAAATACTCTTCACTTTGGGCAGGAATACATTTTTTGTACTCAATTAAAGCTTCCCTATCGCGATTTTCTACCAATTTCTCAATAACAAATTTGTGACACTGATATTTCTTTCCAAGATGCATTCCGCGATCTGCGTCACTCATACCTTGTAGAAATTGGCACAAAATGTGTTTAGGAGCCCCGTGTTGGTGTAAAGCGGTGACTAAAGTGTCTACATCAACATCGCATTTAATTTTTTTCATAAAAGCGTTCGGTTTAACGAATTCCTGCAATAATTTTTCCCACAAATCAGACGTCACCAAAACGTTTATTTTTATCCAATGTTGTTGAATTGTGTCAATTTTTAAACTGTTGCAATACAAAACGATATCTTGCGATGAAACTTTATTCTGTACATTTTCTTTAAATAAATTTAATAAGCACTCAATCGGACTATCTGATGTTAGGTTGTATTTTATTAAATAATCTTTAAAAAAAATTGGGTGAGTTTATTAAAAATGTTTTTAAATTTTTTTTTACCTAAGAAGGTTTGGTATTGGGTTAAGGTGGTTTTATTAAACGCTGAAACTATACTACCAAGGCTGTTAAAAAAGTTGCCTATCTCTTCTTTGGTTTTTCTTATACTTGTGTAATTTCTCGCTGGCAAATAAAAAGTGTTTATCTAAAAAGTAATTTAAAAAATTAAATTTTATTAGTTTATAATTAAAGGAGAAAACAAACCAATTCGTTTGTGCTTCCGGTGGCCCTAAAATAAAACAAATTAAGTGAAATATTAATTAATTAATAAAACCTTACATATAAACAGTGTGTAATTCCGGGAATTTATATTGACTAATCAAATAATTTGTGTATTGATTTAAAGCTATTTTATGCTTGGAAATGTGGTAATGAAAGTTTGTGTCATTAAGAGTTCTTCTCAAAAATAAAACAACCTAAAAATTAGTAAATTAATTAGTATATAATGGTAATTTGGCCTCAATGAATTACCTTTAATATAACATTACCATCAAAAGTCTCACAAGCTTTTTGAAGGAGCTCAAGCTTTTGTTCTAAATCTCTATAATGGTCAAGAACGCAAGGAACGCCAAGGAATAATTTTTTAATAGTTTCCTCCACAACAGGGGCACTGTGTCGGGCTGCAAGTTTTGTATCTTGCAAAACTAAAAAAAATATTTTTTACATCATATTATAAAAAATTAAAAAATAAAACGTTCTTACTGCAATCTAATCCCTTTTTTGAAATAACAGAATGTATTGGGAGTGTTGTTGTATTATGCAAGGAGTTGTAAAACAATGTTTCGTTTGTGTCATCACTGTAATCAACAGTTTCCTCTTTGACATCATCGTCGAACGAAAATCCGGAGAGTCTACTTTCTTTCCAGTAATCATCTTCCGTTAAATTAGACATTGTTTAGGCTGATAAATATTATTTAATTCACCAGATGTTGAGTCAGAGGTTATGTTTATGTTTTTGGGTTATTAACTGTTCCTGTTTTACTCCATCTATTGGAGGAGAGACGAAAGAAGAGTTCAATTATTACCTCTTAGATGGCAGTATTATTTAAAAAGTTAAAAATTTAACATGGCTGAATCACGAAATGTGTATTTCCATACCTCCTTTCGCATACTTTCGCATCCAGTGACCTAAATGAAGTTTTCAAACTACAAAAGAAAGCGACAAGAACATTTTAAAACTCTAAAAATACCGACATTACCATCCTCGTATATACTTACGTGCTTAGACTACTTATATACACAAAAACAGGGATTCACTAACCACAATTACAGAGTCTCACCCCTACTGCACCAGACAAGGAGATGACATCAAACTTCCATATCACAGAACAACATCACAAAAAAATTTTAGCTATATATCTATAAAGTTATACAATGTATTATCCCCATTTCAAAACATTGAATATGAAGAGTTTTAAGAGATAGGTCAAGAATAGGCTCTAAGAAAAGGAATTCTACTCCATAGACGAATACTTTACAGCAATGAAGATAAACTAATGAATACCTGTTTTCTTTATTGTCATTATTATTTGACGAGAATATTGTACATTTTGATGCATATTCAATAAACTTATTATTATTATTAGTTAATTAAAAAGATGTTTGAGATCCCGACGAAGACTGGCTTTAGTAGGGTGCATAATCGGCTCATTTGGAACATTTATAAGGACCCTAGGAGTGTTATTGAAGTGGAAACCTCGATATCTCACTCTTAAGCTTAAGAAGCGTTGATAACTTGGAAAGGACAAGTTGCGAAAATGGGTATATGGATGGAAGATCCAATCCTGGTAACCTTTTTCGTTGCTGATGACCAAGTTATGGTAGCAAATGAACTGAATCAATATGAATAAGACACGAAGAGGAAAGTTGATGAAAGGAATCAAGTTGTTACATAACAATGCAAGACCATCTCAAATCAGGCGAAAGCCTAGGTAATTTTATAATTACAATCCTGTATACAAGATAGAAGTAATATAATATATAAATAATATACCACATTCAATACAAGAATGATTTTAAAAAAAAATATGTACAAACAAAAAAATATTATAAAAGAAATTTAATTCCTTTATTAACAAAAAATCCCGAAGATATAGGCGGAGTTCAGGTCAACCCTAATCTTCCACTCAATCTAACAGAAAGAAAGAGTAAAGAAAAAAAAACAAAACAAACAAACAAAAGAAAAAAAAAAGGATACCAATACCATTTGCAAGGAAATAATGAAAACTTAGAAGAATTAGAGATAAAAGTTACAGGTATACATAGACAGGTAGCTACACACAGAAGCCCGCCGTCACTCAAGCCAATCAGGTGCCGAGGTGGTGTTAGTTTACCCCTGAAGCGAACATTAACATTATGTACGTCCGTTCTGAATTTAATCCTATCGTGCAGGTATGGAGGGGTACCTTCAGTGATGACCCTATAATACAAACAGGCCTTGTGGATGTATCTGCTTAAAACCAAAAAGCGGATTGTAATTCATTTCAAAATTCATTCAATCAACGTGTTCACTTATTTCATTAAATTATAATTGTTATTAAATAAATTATTTTATTAACCACACCACACCAGATACCACACCAGTTTTGAAGCTTTTGAATTTTTCCCTGATGCTTGGAATCGTCTTATCCATGACCAATCCGAGGTTTTTGACAGACTCACTCAATGGAATAGGAGTATTTCCTATCGACAGGTGATAAAACCCATCAATAAATTGGAGAAGTATGTGTTGTTGTGGTCGATTCAAAATTTCATCCGTTCTTTCTGTTGGTTCCCTTTGGAAAGGGGCAGACGTTTCGCCAAGATCTCACCTGACATCTTCAGTGGGTTGTCGTAGTCTCACAGCTATATCCTTCCCTGAAACGAGACTGATTCACTAGAACAATGCGCTCAGCCTTCAGAAACTCCGCCAGTTATTTAACTATTTTTTCCAAAACTTTTGATAAGGAACACAAAATGCTTATGGGTTTTAGGCATGAGTATTCGGTTGGGCTTGGTAACTTTGGTACCAATACTAAAATATCACTCTCAGACACCAACTTAAATTTTGCCAAATTTTGCCTTACCAAAGTCATTAATTAAATTATTAACTCTACAGCGGCCATAGCATTGAAATTCCAAAAAGAAGATATTTAGTTATTTTTTAAGTGTTGTAGAAGAGAAATTGTTTTTATAGCTCTTGGATATGTACCTCAACATAGAAGAAAGAGAGGTAGACCAAATACATCCTGCTTTAAGGGATGAAACAGATTATGAAAGAGACATGGAGAAATAGAGAATCAATTATAACATTTAATAATCGTGATTTATTCACCTGATGGATGACTATATTAAACGTCGATTAAGTAATATTAAGAACACGTAAGATTGAAAGTTAAGAAATAGTTTTAAATTAATCATTCGATAAAAATTAAAATTTAATAACTTTGATAACCCAAGCTATAAAAACGCAGATTTTAAGCATCGATAATTATTTGCACAGCAGCTATGAACAGCAGCAGCTCCAAGAACGAGGATTTCAACCAAGTTGATACCTCATCTTTAGAACATAATTTCTACAGCCATTTCATGTTGTAAGTAATTTTTTTAATATTTATTTATTGAAATAAAAGAAATTTTTAAAGAACTATTTATAATTTATTAAATATTTTTTTATTTCTTATAAATGTGAGATCAAATTTTATACAAAAAAAATTTTTTGTATAAATTTTAATGCGAAAATACAGTTTTTGGCAACCATGTTGAATAACGGCAAAACTAACATAAATACATTATTTTTTTTTTAAACTGTTATTAATTATTGGATTCAACTGGAATTCGTTCAAGAAAGATAATATGTCCCTCCTCCGCATCTTCTCTAATATCAAAGTGCAATTGACGATATTTCATTCGAAGGAAAATGAGGATTAACATTACGTCATGGGATGTCAGCGGGATGTTCAAACAATCAGCTAATGTGGTGTAAAGGCATTCGAAAGTAATCATGGACGGTCGAGGGCCTTCTTGTATTAGATGCATAAGGGCCCCACGAGTTTTTCTTACAATCTCAATAAGATTATCATTCGGCGTGATTTTGAACAAATCCGTTTGTGGTCGGAACTTCAATAAAAACAATAATAAACACAAAATGTATATTAAATTTTTTTTTACTTACACATATGATTTCCGGGTAATGCCCTTGGTCTTCTTGTAAATCCGGAATTTCATCCATGACTTCGATTACAAACTTTTTAGGACGATTAAAAAAAAATCTGCGCTCGATCGGACAACCAGCACGCAAGTGGCACTTTTCTAGATACTTCTAACAATAAAAGAAGGGTGCGCACTTGCCTTAGTCCTATTGGTGCATTTAACATCCCAGCGATCTACGCAATCACCGTTTCTTTTTAGCCGGTGCTTTTATTTCCGGTTTTATAATGTGAAGTTGCCGGAAATGATTGGGTAAAAAATTAAATATTTTTATTATTAGTTAACTTTGATTATACTAATTGAAATTTTAAGATTCAGCTTCTATCTATCTTAGCGTGAATATATGACTTCTTCAACTAAGAAACAGCAACAGAAGTATTACTAATTTAAGTTAATTTTAAATGTTTAAATAAATTTGTGCCATCTAGCGGGTGATACATGTAAATGTAAGTTTATTAAGCTGGTTTTTAGATGGCGCTCATGCGAATCCAAATTTTTTTGTTGTGCATCAGTTCCTGTTTTTATAATGAGGTACAACGATGACGCAGTATTTCCAAATATTGCGAAATATTGTGAAAATCATAATTATTTGTTGCCAAACAAACTTTCAAGGACCTAATGCACGCGACGAGATGTACATAAACAAATAATTTTAATGAATACGCATGCGCTATGTTGAAATTCGCTCATTATACATAAGCAAGATGGTGGCAATGTGTTTTGTCCGTTACAACAACACCGGCGTGTGAATTTAATCGTGATAACTGTGGTATTTTAAGTGTTATTTTAGTGTATCCGGTGTAAAAACGTTGTATATTGGTTATTAATCATGTTTGGAAGGCCAAGTGGCTTCGGAACACAGCCTAACACGTTTGGTATGCATCAAAAAACCACATTCTTTAAACGATAAGTTTTTTTAATTTCGTCCGTTAGGTTTCGGAACAACTGCCTCAAATACTTTCGGTCAATCTAATCAATTGTTTGGAAGCACAGCGGGAGGATTTAATTCTGCAGCGCCAGTTTTTGGATCAGCAAACACTCAACCCATGTTTGGAACAACACCATCATCTGCAACACCCTTGTTTGGTACCTCTAATACCTCAACGTTTGGTCAACCATCCCAAACTGGATTTGGATCATCATTATTTGGAACAACTGCCCAAGCTTCTAGTAGTGGCTTATTTGGGACATCTAACACAACAACATTTGGTACACCAAATAAATCCAGTGGATTTGGCTTTCCCTCAAGTAGTGGTGGAGGTTTATTCTCTCAAAGCAATCAAACACCACAGCAAAGTACTTCTGTGTTTCAATCAAACACAACACCAGGACTATTTGGTGGAACAAACACCTTTGGGGCAAATACTGGACAATTAGGAACTGTTATAAAATTTGTGCCTGTTACTGGAACAGATTCCGTTCAAAAGTCAGGTCTTGTTCAATCAATAAACACAAAACATCATTGTATAACATGTATGAAAGAATATGAGGGAAAATCCCTTGAAGAATTACGATTTGAAGACTATCAAAGAAAAAATAAAGGTCAACAACCGTTTGGCCAACCACAACCTTTTGGAATTGCATCAACTTCATCATCAATTTTTGGACAACCAGATAAATCAACGTTTGGTGCTCCAAGAACTGATTTTGGAACGTCAACATTTGGCATGGCAACCCAAACAACAACTCCAAACATGTTTGGAAAACCTGCAACTGGTTTTGGAGCTGCAACTTCAGCAACCGCCTTTCCATTTGCTGCAAATACCTCTTCATCCGGGTTATTCGGATCGACAACAGCTCCTAAACCATTTGCCGCCCCAACTAATCAAATGTTTGGTGCAACTCAACCACAACAAAATACTTTTGGAAATGTTTTTGGACAAACAACAAATCAAAACTCGGGTGGCGGTATTTTCGGCAAACCAACTACCACTGGATTTAATACAACTCAGTCTGGTTTTCCTTTTGGTACAGCACAACCTACCCAAACTAATCTATTTCAACCTCCAAAACCCAACACAGGATTTGGAATTTTCGGACAAACAAACCCTCAAGTTCCTACATTTGGCCAACAACAGCAGCAACCCAGCTTTGGACTCTCCCAAACATTCGGAAAAACAACTCAACCACCCTTCGGACAACCCACACAGTCAACATTCGGTATTTCAATCATTTTAGATTAAAAGTAAATTTAATAAACGATTTTTTGTTTTATATAGGCACCCCATCTATTTTTGGAAACCAACAAAATAAATGTGTGTTTGGAAATACTTCGGGAACATCTCTTTTTGGAAACACATTCCAACAAAATACACCATTTCAACTCAATACACAACAACAACAGCAGACTCCAACTTTGTATGCTATTTAATTTTTTTCTTCAAATTAATTTGTTAAAATAATATTAAGATACAGAATAACAGAATTTTTTATTACCATAGAGGCTTCTTGGATTTGGACAAATTAATATTATATACAAATGTGTGAAAGTTAAGTGTAGGCCACTTCATTTAAATTATAGTATTATTAAATTAGTTCTCTTCTTTTTTATGGAATTAAATGTTGTAGTGAAGTGAGTAATTGAGTGATCAGAAAAGTACCTGTATGCTAAGACAGCTAAGACAATATTTATGGGGCAAGAACCTTAGCACTTCAAAATCTAATGCAATTCCACAGTAGTATGAGTAGATGAGGAGTTACATCATCTCATCCACATCAGATTCGGCTTCAACTCAAGTAACATGAAAGATTCTCCCCAAAAACTAGGAAATTTCAAGAATCCCAGCGTTTAGAATGTTTGGAGATAGAACAAGGACTTCGCCTGGGATGAAATAAAATGAAATATCTTTTAATAAATAGGATATGAGACTTTTTAGATCCGTCTCAAACACACGAAATTCTACACTATGCTGAAAGAAGTTCCAATTTACATCATTTGAGACGAACACAACCACCAGAACAGAATATGTTAAGTCAAGAAGAATAAAACATTTTAAAACTTAATTTTATTATAATAAAAGTGAAATTAAAAAACAATTATGAAATATTTAGTTTATTTTAAATTTTTTCTTAATTAAATTCCTTGTTTTTCTCTTTATTAATACATTCCTTTTTTATTTCTAGTAATCAATTGGAGACTCAAGCACAAGAATTAAGAGCATTGGTTCATTTCACTGACCCATATGGTTACAACAACCACTTAAAAGGATTATCACCTTTAAAACCTTCAAGTGCTGCATACGTAACGAATCCAAAAGATATACAAAAGCTTTTAGAATCGCCTCCTCCGATAGCGGTGGTTTCCCCGATGAACAAAAAATTGTCGGTATTGCCGATATCTGCAAAGAAAACGAATTTATTCGATGATATGTTTGAAAAGGAAACTCCGGAAAATATAAACTTTACGTTGAGAACGTCAGCGAAGCGTTTGGTGATTCGTAAAGATCGTGTAAAAGATGTTGGTGAGAGCCCGAAAATTTCGTTGTTGGATGCAAGCGATACGGGTAGTTCGGTTAATATAACGGCAAGCGCTTCTACGTTGGATATAGTTCCAGCTGAATCATACAAAGATTCATCAACTTTGGATGCTCAGGATTCGATGACATCTTTAATGACTTTTAATTCAAATTTAATCATGGATAACACCAATACCGATACTATTTCTATAAGTTTAACACAAGCGAGTGGCGATACTATAACAACTCAATTGAGGTTGGATGAAGACCTAACGGATGAAACATCTCAAATTGATTCATGTGGGGTGAAATTAACTCGACCTGAATATTACACTGTTCCACCATTAGATAAATTAATAGAACATAAACAAAGTGATGGAAAATGTTTAGTAAAAGGATTTACCATTGGAAGAGTAGCTTATGGAAACGTATCTTTCCCTGATGTTATGGACGTTTCAAACCTTAATCTTGACGAATTAGTACATTTCCGCTACAGAGAAGTAACCATTTATCCTGATGATTCGAAAAAGCCACCGTTAGGTGAAGGATTAAATAGAAGAGCCCAAGTTACGTTAGATCGTGTTTATCCTAAATCAAAAATGGATCGAAAATTAATCACAGATGTGGATATGTTAATTTCAATTAATTTTTCAGATACATTGCGGGATCTTTGTGAAAAGCATGGCACAAAATTTTTGGATTATCGCCCTGAAACGGGGTCGTGGGTTTTTATGGTCGATCATTTTTCCAAATATGCGTTTGATGACGGTGAAGAACCACCAGAAAATAAAGATAACTGCGATAAATTCTCCGGTTTAGAGAAGCAGAAAAATGGTGTAGATGTTATTAAAGGAGATATACTTCCTAATGGGATTATCACAAGAGATGTTAATAACAAGAGCGATTTTGAACATAATCATGTCATAAAAAGCATAGATGATATACAAATTGATGTGGAAATGTTTAACGGAATCGAAGAGGATTCGTTAGGTCCAAATGGGGCTAGTATAGAAACCCTCGATTTTGATTATAGTAGTTTGAGAGACACCGAAAGTGATCAACACTCACTTGCGACTACATTAATTTCAAGAACAAGTCTGGATGGTGCTTCACCTAAAAGTATTTTCGTGATGAAATCATCGCTATTTGACCAAACAGCTTTGGAAGTTATCGAAGGCGAAGATGAGGTCCTTGATACAACGATGAGAAGGTCGTCTATGGCACAAATAATGAAGCGCGGACTCGCAGTCAAAGAAGCAGAGAAACAACTTCGAAAACCAGTTATAATAAAACCGATTATTTTCCCACTCGTTGACGGCGATTTATTTTTTGATAAACCTATGTATAACCCAAGAAATCATCTTGATGCTTCAATTTTTAAAGGGTCTTCTTTTAAAGTGGGCTGGGGACGCGGGTTGGTTTTAGTAAATCCGAGCCATTTTAGTAGAATGGCGGATGAATTAGATTCTGATTGTCCGGAAGATTCAATAGCAAATACTGTCCAAATGGTCGATTTTTCGGGATTAAACGAATTCGATCCTTTTGAAGGAAAATTTGAAGAACATTTACAAATTGTTTTGGATACATCCGATATTGTGATGGATGAGAACAATATTCCACTGTTTACAATTAGGCAAGGAAGAGCGTCTCTTTTGAAACATCAAGCATTAGCGATAGAAACTGCTAAAGAATATCCTGATAATCCGATGGTGTCTTATTACGAAGAAATTTGGAATTTATGTACCGCATTTTGGGGCCCAATAACACCGCCAACAACCAGGCGTGACTTATTCTCGACTTGGTATGTATTAAACACTTTTTTTAGTAGTAAAAATAAATAAAAATTGAATAGTATGGCAAAGGTTCACCTAATCAATTTCCCATTGTTATTAAAATCCATGTTTCCACATCTGAATCACACAACCAACCTATTCCGTAAATACCGTAAAAGTAATTAAATAAACAATTTTTATAAATTTAAGCCGCTCAAAGGTGTAATTAAATTTATATTGATCAGGTTAGAAAGAGTCGTTAAAGCAACCGTCGACGATGAATTAACCGCTTTATCTGAAGAAGAGGTCGAAGACGAAGAAATTCTTTACAAAAGAATATTTATAAACCTAACTGGAAATAGAGTAGAGAAAGCCGCTGAATTGGCGGTTGATAATGAATTGTTTAATTTATCTCTGCTGTTGAGTCAATTAAATTGTAGCGAATCCACAAAATCGATTGCGAGTAAACAGTTAGACCATTGGAATATATCTACAAGTGGGGATCACATAGATCCATCGTTCCTAAAGATTTACATGTTGGTAGCTGGGCAAAACGTAAATGGAACTAAAGATATCACAACAACGGATGTTTTTAGTGTGTGCGAAGACTTAGATTGGAAAAGATGTTTAGCTGTTATGTTGTGGTTTATTTCAAAAGGATATCAAGATATAACGCAGGCCGTCGACTTATTCCAAGAAGATTTTGAAAGCTTTGGGTTATCAGCAAGACCTCTTCCACCTGGTGCACAAGATACAAAAGTGTTAGATATACTTTATCATCTTATGTTATTACATTGTCATAGATCAAAATCATTAGAACCCGTTTTAGAACCAGAAACCCATTCTCTTTTACCCACAGACTACCGTTTTAGTTGGTTAATGTTACACACATTACTAGGTTTAGAGGTAGGCTCAATCAGCCATTTAGCAAAAACGTATATGACCACTTGTTTAGCGCAACAACTCGAAAGTATGGAGTTATACAAATGGGCGATATTCGTATTGCTATTTATAGAGGATATTAATTTGCGAACAAATTCTATTAAAGGAGTCTTGTATAGAAATTTGCCTCAAGATGTAAGAGAAAATGATTTGGAAGAGATATTAGTAAGAGAACTTTGTATTCCCACAGAATGGATACATGAAGTAAAAGCTCATAAATCAGGTATACTTGGTAAAGATTGGGAGGCATATAGGCATTTTGCAAAAGCTGGTAATTGGGAAAAAACCCTGGAAATGGTTATAAATAATATTGTACCTTCATTACTAATAAATGATCATTTTGATTTAGTTCGATACCTTCTTAAAGATATTGAACCGGGTTGTCGAAATCTCGATAGTTGGGAATCGCAAGGTGGCCTTTTATTAATGTTCCTAGATATACACGAAAAATTTTCAGAAAAAGCTTCTATTGATATAGAAGATGCAGCCCTTATCCACAGTTTATTAGCCAATGTGTGTTTTGGTCTTAACCAATTCCCAACTAAAACGGACGCTCAATTTGCCGGTTTAGCAGAAATCGCAAAATATTGTCATTTATACAGAGAACTTTTATACGCGCAAATACCGGCAATCCCATTTCCAATAACACTCCCGGAAAGTCAACTAACAGCTATCGGTATGCCGCCCGATTACCAAATGGAAGATGTTGAAGATTGCAAATATTCAAACGTTAGCTCTAAACCTGAAAGTATCGATTCTTCGTCAATTAAATGGGATGACCACATGATTTTTGAATCCACCATTAATATTGGAGACGCGTAATTTTTGTTCTATATTCTGTATTTTCGTTTTTCTCGTTATAAATGTCTTTTTTTTTCGAAATCGTTAAATATTGTCGTTTGTACAGATCGCTGACGTTTATACATTTAAGTAAACCGATTATCTGCAACACTATGTCTTATGTAACACTACCGTTTAAGGAAAATCGTTTTCTAGTAATTGGAAATAATTCTTTGATTTGTATTTGTGAATTCAATAAACTTTCTTATATTAAAAAATTAATTTTAAAAATATTTTATTTTTATTTACAGAAAAGGTGGGTGTGATGATTCAGACCCCAATTCCTTTAATCTAATTGTGATATAACTTTGTTAAATTTTTGATTTTGAGTATTAGGTTTTATTTGAAAATTAGATACGTTTTGTGAGCACCATCTATCTTTAAAATAATTGTAGTATATTCGAAGATATACAGAGACCTTATTTGCAAATTATTGTAAATAAATTTGATTATATTATTAAATAGATGTGGTGTAATATTTTTGGGCTAACTAATATAGATGTTTTGATATAAAATATTTTATGTTGTGGTTAAAGGGTCTGGCCAAAAGATGGCGCGACGTTTTAAGAAAGTGTAGGTTGACGAAAATTTAGGTTGTGATTAATTTAATAAAACTAGATGTCGTCCCGCGGTGGGAGATTTGAATGTAAAATTGTAAGATAACGTCTTGTAGGAAGGAAATAGGGAAAAGTGGTTGGCGTTAAAGGTTAGATTGGGATATTAACATTCAGAATGGGGTACCGGTAAAGCCTTACACATAGCCCGGGTTAAGATTGGTCCAGATAGAGACCCATTTGTTCTGTGACGCCTGATAGCACAGGCAGAATCTGCATATCTGATTTCGGGTCGGTCGGTTTTGTAAGTCTAGGGGTTGTTGACTTGAAAAATGGCCCTCTTCGGCTTAAGCTATGTTTATTAGAAAAACTGTTAAGAAGAGGACCCTCTCTTTAGTGGGCGCGGGCCATTATTCACTCCGTTTTATCTACTGTCAACTAATACATAAAACGAACGGATAAAATAAAGCTATCCCTCGAGATAAAAAAAGGAGCTGCGATGCCCGAGCATCACATATATTGAAATATGAGGACGATAAAATATGGCGATAAGCAATCGGTACGTTCCCGAAGAAAACGAAAAGCCTAATCTCAATCTAAAAAAACGAGTAATCTTAATTATTACAATCCGTCCTTTTTTAACTTTTTCTCAATTTTAACCGTATAAACATGAAGATATTCCCCGAGATAACGGCGCGGAAAGACAATATTTCATCCCCCCGGCTGCGGTGGGACACATGTTTTTAAAACACTCAGATAGAGCCGGTGGGAGTACATAAAAAAAACGGCGAAATCTCATTTTTGAGACCATCTCATAAAATAAATGGCGCGCGGCAAATACACTTAAAGTAAATGTATTTTTGTGTTTTCCGACGACGTTTCCTACGAATACGGCCGCTAAGAGGTCATTATTTTGTATTCCAAGGGTGCGGTCCCTCTCAAATCTAAAATCCTCAACGTCCAAAACTACCATTGATTTATAAATATTTTCATTTCTTTTTATCCCTTACGAATTCAAATCAGTATCTATCGAATGTGAAAATTGCGACTTTTTGAAAAGGATTTGATGTACATTGAAAAGAAAAAAAAAGTTCGATAATAAGAAGACGGGCGTCAGAATGGGTTTTATTGTAAACTGACGGACGGGAGGCAAATTTGGAAAGCGCCAATCCTTTTCAACTGAAACGTCAAATCGAACGACAAAGCCTCACGCAGTCGAGAGACGACGAGTCCCGACCGTAACCACGTATCCCGAGGGTTTAGTGACAGATGAACGAAAAATTCGCTTCTTATCTGTAGTCTAGTTTTTAAAATCTGCTTTCCGCCGGAGATTGCGTTGGCTTTTTTTAATTTCCATACGAAGAACGTGCGTTCCTTCACGTCGTTTTTCCTTCAATGTGGGGGAAGAAGAAAAAATATAAAAACGGGGATGAGACTTATTCCCATGGATAGCCCCTAAGATCTCTGCGGTCAGTCTCTTCTATTTTTCAAAAGATTTATCACAAACGAAAGGAATTTATACGGCAGTAAAAGCATCCCTTGGACGACGTCCTGATCTCTTCCGCGGAATATGTTTGCATTTATGTTAAACTGTACACGCAAAAAAGCCCCGGGCGACCGGGACCGGAAGTGCCGGAAAAATGCGGAAATATTAGCGTTTTGGTTAAATTTACTATTTGCATAATGGTATCGTCCCCCCTCCCTTTAACTTCTTTTCCTACCACGCGAAAATATGGGATACGGAAATGATTAAATAAACGCACCACCTTTTCTTTGCTCAAATCGTTGAAATCGCTTTATCTCCCCTCTCAACTTCGTTACACATTCCTCACCGAATACAAAATCCCCACATCTGAATCTTTTACAGACGAAACTTCTACAAATGTAAAACTTATCTTTAAAAAAAAAATGATGTTATTTTATATTATATAAGGATGATGGAGATTAATTGTTTAATGACTCTGATGATGGTTTTTGATAAAAATTGGTGACGACGTATACAGTTACAAAGGGATGGTTCCATTTGGATGAACGACGAACCGGTGTTTAATATGGCGCACACGACCGATTTTTCTCTCCATTTTTGAAATCCGAGTAGAGCACTAAACGAACGCTGCGGCCGAAAATGATAACGTACGAGCTACCTGCATAATTTATTTACCGAGATCAAAGCAAGAGGCACAATGCGACGAGTGGCCCAAGTGTTTAATGGGCGATTTTACGGATTATTAGGAATTTAAATGCACTGTCGTTCTGGGCAACTGGGGCACATATTAAGATCAAACGAGCTTTTCTATTGAGAGCGCGGCTTTTGAGCCGACGTTGGCAGCGCATTGAAAAACATGTTTAACCGACCGCCTCGTTACGAAACGAAACCGCCAACCAACTACACCCCTACTCTCCCAAACTGTGTGCCGCCACCGCGTTTCCGTAAACACGATACCCTTCGTAATTAATCGAGACTGTCTCCCGAAAAAGGATTTTATTTTAACACAGGATCGAAAACGTAGAAGCCGCACTTACCAGACCGAACCGAGTTCTGAAACTGTAATAATGCGCACATGCTGCCACTTATTAAGGGTAATTAGTAGTCAACCCCCGGTGACAAGGATAAAACCGCTAAGATTACGTTATCATTTTCTCCCTTACACAAAAATACCGCGGAAATTTGCCGCGAATAATTTCGCGTAAACGAGTAGTCCCAAAAAGGGGTGCTCCGTTTTTGAGGGGGTGGGTTCTCGACAACGGTTTGGGGGGCTAAATGTGTCGTACAACTGCAAAGCGTACAATGATAGCGACGCGGGCGGTTGTCGATTTGAAAAGCGCCGTGAATTCAATTTTAAGCCGCCACAATAGACAATCTGGAAACGCGGTTTTAACTCAGGGGGTTGATACCCAGACACGACGTGCTCCACATCGTCACCGCTTTTACGGATTCGTCCCGTTCCTGTCCCTTGCTTGTTCAAAATTTATATCCCAAAAATTTTCCAACATCACACGTAAATCCCACACTATTTTATTTGGACCTTTTCGTCCACTTTATCGTCAATTGAAAAACTGAAAATTAATCCTTGTTTTTTCTTAATAATAATTGCCTCAAAAACAAATATTTACATAAATATATACATTTATAACAAATATAGACATCAAGGCAAACGGATCAATTTATCGCAATAAGCGATATCTTCCAAGATACCCAACTGGTAACAGTGTATATGTAATTTTAAATAAATAATTATGGCTACTAAAAAAGTAATACTAAATGATGAATATTAATGAAGGAAATAGACACACAAAAAAAGTCCAGTAAAAGATAGATGAAAAGCAGATTAGAGAAGAAAACAAACACGTATAGGTCAAGAAGAAGATAGTTGAAGAGATAGCAGATGGCGCCTCAAGGCATTTTTAAAACTTATTAAACTAAACAAATCGTTCCACAACGCGATCGACTGCACTGTAAAAGATCTGTGGTAGATTTCAGTACTATGGACTGGAAACATGAGTGTAGAGTCCGACATTAATCGAGTGGGCAAGTCATGTGATGCTAAAAAGTGAAAGGCATCAGACAAATAAGCAGGAGTGCGGGTATGGACAATTTTGTACAACATGGTAAGCATACGAAATGATCTACGACTCCGGCAAGCCATTATCTGCAGGTTGTTACGATATGGAGTAATGTGCTGAAACTTTCCTAAATCAAAAATGTACCGTATACAATTGTTCTGAAGTCTTTCCAATTTACCCTAAAGGGCTGCGAACAGATCGGGATACGCAGCATCGGCATAGTCTAAACCAGTCAAGTACGCTAGAGAGATCGTTGTTAAGATGCAGCAATGGAGGTTGTTAACAGTTGGCGAAATATAAAGTTGAACGTCATCTGCCTACAAATGATAGTTACACGAGATACCATCACTAATACTATTTTTGAAAATTGAGAAGAGCAAAGGACCCAGTACACTGCCCTGGGGAACTCCACATTTGATGTCAACAGGAGAAAACAGTACAGATTCCACGCGGACACGTAAAAACCGATAGGAAAGATAGGACTGGAACGAAGATACACAAGAAGAGGTAAAACCAATAGCAGAAAGCCGAGTTAACAGGAGGGCATGGTCCACAGAATCAAAGGTCTTACTTACACAACGCTTATCACAAGCAGATCTAATAATAAACGCTAAACGTTGTTTTTTTATTAGACTAAAATCTCCATTTAATATATTTAATGGACTTTACCGGTTTCGGCCTAGACCATCGTCAGGAGTTTATAAGGTTGTAAACATTCATAAAAATACAATCCATAAGTTCACCCATATCAATATTTAAATGTGTTTCCTAACCTCAACTTTATACGACGAGGTAAAATAACATTTTATTTTCGATTTCATTTATTTTTGATTTTGTCTTTATTCTCATTGTATTTTTATGAATGTTTACAACCTTATAGACTCTTGATGATGGTCTATGCTAGGAAACCGGTAGACTCGATTAAATATATTGGAGTAAAAACATCTATCATTAAAATATACCAATATGGATGAAAAACCTATGATCCCAAATATATTATATTGAAAAATAATTGAAAGAAAAAACATCAAAGTCTGACGTGATTGAGTTATGGGACATTTGTGGGATCACGAAAGGGCATAAGAGAAAGCAAATAGGGTGGGG